GGAAAAAGTGCGATTTGATTGACCCATTGTCTCATGGCCGTTCAGTTGAACTAGAAAAATTTCATTTTGTGCAGATAATGCAGCTTGTTGAACACCATTTGTTGAAAAATTTTCTTCTGAAGTGGTTGAGTTTGGTGTGTTTTCAGATGTTGATGCAGCATGTGATGCAGAAATATTGTTTTCAATTGCTGTAACACGAGGATTAGCCTTGGTTTTTCTGGCTGGTTTTCTGGTTTTGGTTACTCTAGTTGTTGAAGAGGTTGAAGAGGTTGAAGAGGTTGAAGAGGTGTTTCTTCTATTGGAGTTTCTTGTGACAGCCATTGTTTCTAGTTGATGTTGATTTAATGATCACTTGTTTTATTTTATTCGTGGTTTTAACCTGACAGAATATCCTCTACTGTGTGTATATAAGGTAATTCCGATGTTCTATTAATATACATATAATGTTACAATTAGTGGATTCTTGATTCTTCTTATAGTTGATGTGAAATGTTGAGTATTGATGAATTGTGCATAATTGGTTATTCTGGTTATGTAATACCTGACAAAAATCAAACCCTTGCTCAGGAAGAAAAAAAAACATGTTTCGAGATGAAATTGAGAAGAGGTGAAATTTTGATGTTATACACACACAATTGAGTGTTCATTGATTGAATTCACATTGCTTTGATTGATGCCAATTGACCTTTGAGTACCTTATTGATTGTGATCGCTGAAGTTGTATTTGCCTTTCCCTTACATTCTACGAGTTCTTGACAGGTGTTGACACAAAATACCAGTGAACGAAAATAGCAAGGAATTATCAGAAAAGACTTCACAATTACATTGCAAAACGGGACTAAATGACTTTGGATCAATTAGTTGGTCGGAATGCTAGTTCTGATTCACATAACAAGCAGAATGGTAAACCATTGAATGGGTACCAAAATGTTGATGATGAAGATGGTGAAGAAAACAACAGCAATACGTTTAATGAACATGAAAAAGAACAAGTGCAGAAGGGCAATGCTACAGGTGAAAGATTCCAACCTCATTATATACCCAACAGATTTGACTTCAGAGATGATGATATAGAAGAAGGAGTCTTTGAGAATAACTACCAGTCAAGAGATAGTGAGTCTCAAGCTGGCGCGAAAGCTGAAGAGAAGCCAAACACCATCAACAACAATGACAAAAGACCAATACGCATGGGTGAAGATGGTGGCCAAGAAGAAGAATATGTTGAACAAGATGAACCAATTGGTGAACAACAAGTTGATGGTGGATTACCTCAGTCCAGGGCGGATGATAGAGAGGGAGGAACATGGTACAAGAGAATTCCATTATTCACCAGTCCTTCAAGTGGTCCTGGAACACCTACACAGACTGATTCCAATAGATGGAAAGACTTGAAGCATGTTATGAGGTTTGGAAAACAACCTAGAAAAGATTCTGAATTCCAAATACCACAAGCCCCACCACAACAACAAAGAAGACATGATGAATCTGAAGAACAGGCCAAAATGAGAGCATCAAATTTGATAACAAGTTTGATATCTGGATCCCCAGCTGCGCTATTTGCCGGTGCTACATTCATTCAAGATGAACATGGAAGTCGAAGAGCACCATTATTACTATCACTTTTAGGGCTTAGTGTTCAAGATGTTACCAATCCTAGAAGTAAACATAAAAAATACAGAATCAATTTAGAGTATGGTGTTGGCCCAAATAGAGTAAAATGGTTTGTTGTCAAAGATTTGAGAGATTTAATTGGTTTGCATTCTAGATTAAAAGTTGTGTTTTTCCAGTCATTGGGGTTTAGAGGATTCAAGCCTGTTGAATTACCAAGATTCCCAAGAGCCAAGGAAGATATTGAGGACGCACATACATTCAATGATACCTATCTATCAACCCAGATACCACATAATGCCCAAGATACAACAAATAACATTCGCCAACAACTAGCACCAAATTCTGGACAACCTACTTCCAATGGGCAAACTGTTGATGACCCTCCACAAGCAAATGGTATGCTACAAACTGATACAGACGATGCAACCTCTCAGGCAACAAATGAAATCACATCAGTTAGTTCCAGAAGAAGTATGAGATCCCAGTTGCATAATTTTGTTTCAAGAATATCCTCCTTGGGCGAACCTCAACAAGAGGAGGATTATTTGCGTCATGAAAAATATAGAAAGAAAATTGAACATTACCTCAAGCAATTAATATTAGCATTATCATTAAGACCTCAAGCTAATAGATTATTTCAATTTTTTGAACTATCACCATTAAGTGTCTTGTTGAGTTATGAAAAGGGTTATCAAGGTAAACAAGGTTATTTGATTGTGAGATCAACTGCAAAAGTTCAAGGCTGGAGAGTTGGTCATTTGAAGTACAGTGATATCAAGGAAATGGTTGATAGACATACAAACAAATGGTTTTTGGTTAGAAACTCGTACATCATGTATGTTTCAGATATCTATTCAACAACTCCATTAGAAGTGTTTTTGGTTGATCCAAGTTTCAAAATCACGTACTCTGGTGAAGAAAAAGATCGTGAAAGAACTCGTGGTAATGATAATGATTCATTGTATGATGAAAATATGTCATTAAGGGATGAAGCTTTCCAAGAAGATACAGAAGGTAATGCTAAGATTTCAACTCATTTATCAATCAAGTTGGAGAACGGTGAAAGATCAATGAAAGTTTTGGCCAGATCTGAATACCAGTTGAAACTTTGGGTTAAATCAATTGAAACAATGCAAAAGAATACTATTTGGTCCAAGCCTCATAGATTTGATAGTTTTGCTCCAGTTAGGCAAAATTGTTTTGCTCAATGGTTTGTTGATGCAAGAGATCATTTCTGGGCTGTTAGCTCTGCTATGGAAATGGCTAAAGATGTTATCTATATTCATGATTGGTGGTTAAGTCCAGAGCTATACATGAGACGTCCAGCAAATGGTAATCAGGAATGGCGTCTTGACAGAATCTTAAAGAGAAAAGCTGAACAAGGTGTGAAAATCTTTGTTATTGTTTATAGAAATGTTGGCTCTACAGTTGTCACTGATTCATTATGGACCAAACATTCATTGATTGATTTGCATCCAAACATTCATGTTTTACGTTCACCAAACCAATGGTTACAAAACACTTATTTCTGGGCTCATCATGAAAAATTATGTATTATTGATCATACTGTGGCATTTGTTGGTGGTATTGATTTATGTTATGGTAGATATGACACTCCAGACCATGTTTTAGTTGATGATTCTCCTCATGATTTTGCTACCAAACAGAATGCTAATGAAGAATCCATCAAATACCAAAAATTCCCAGGTAAAGATTATTCTAATCCAAGGGTTAAGGATTTCTTTGAGTTGGACAAGCCATATGAATCTATGTATGATAGAGATACTGTTCCACGTATGCCATGGCATGATGTTCATATGGTTACTGCTGGTCAACCTGCTGCTGACCTAGGTAGACATTTTGTTCAAAGATGGAATTATTTGTTGAGACAAAAGAGACCATCGAGACCAACACCAATTTTGACACCACCTTCAGAATTTTCTCCAGATAATTTGGAAAGATTTAATTTGACTGGTAAATGTGAGGTTCAATTGTTGAGATCCTCTGGTAATTGGTCATTGGGTTTGAAGAAAACCGAACACTCCATTCAAAATGCATACTTGAAATTGATTGAAACTTCTGAACATTTCGTTTATCTTGAAAATCAATTCTTTGTTACTGCATCTGCATTTGATGGTACTGTTATTGAAAACAGAATTGGTGATGCTTTAGTTGATAGAATCATTCGTGCTCATAATGAAAAAAAGAAATGGAAAGCTGTTATCATGATTCCATTAATGCCAGGTTTTGAAAGTCAAGTTGATGAAGCTGAGGGTTCTGCTGTTAGAGTTATCATGCAATGTCAGTATATGTCCATTTCAAGAGGTTCGACTTCAATTTTCGCTAAATTGAAAAAGATGAAGATCAATCCCTATGATTATATTCAGTTTTTTTCATTGAGAAAATGGGGTAGAATTGGACCAAACCGTAAGATTGTCAGTGAACAACTTTATATCCATGGTAAAACAATGATTGTTGATGATAGAGTTGCAATTATTGGTTCTGCAAATATCAATGAGAGATCCCAAAGAGGTAATAGGGATTCAGAAGTTGCAGCATGTGTTAGAGATACTGAAACTGTCAACACAACCATGAATGGTAAACCTTATAAAGCCGCAAGATTTGCTCATACTTTAAGAATTAGATTAATGAGAGAGCATTTAGGTATTGACGTTGATATTTTGGAAATTGTTGAAAAAAGATTCAACAAGTTGGAAGAATTAGCAAGATCCACCAAAGTTGGTCAAGATTCTAAGACTCATAATTTTAATCAAAAGGAAAATGAAGTTACATCTTCAATGGTTGAATTAGCTTCAAGGGATGTATTGAATTTACCAAATGGTACTAAAAAATGGCAAACCTTCAAAAAGCAAGCTTTTGGTGATGCTAATGCTGCGCCAAAATATGATGAAAACTATAAAGATATTGATCAACAAGATAATGGTCAAAATTTGCCACCACATTTGAAAGAAAAAGATCACAAGCCAGCTCCATTATTTTATCATTCTTTTAACAATCGTGCTAGGGAGGAAAATACTGGTATTAGAGATAAGAAACAATTTAGTACCGATTCAAGAGTTTCAAATACTACAAAACATAAGGATGATATTGAAGGTAAAGGTCAGGACAGAATGGAATCGAAAGAGTACAAAGCTTACAAATTGAGTGCTGCTAAAACTTTGAAAAGATGGGCTAAAGAGTCTTTGGTTAATGATACTACTGATGTTTTCTTACCAAATGTTGAACAAGTTTTAGAATTTTTGGAAAATGATGATTTCATTGATAATCCATCTTCATTGAGTGACAAGGAGGAATTTGTTTTAGCTGAAAGAAATCAAGAGAGATGGGATTTATTGAAAAGAATCGCATATTTGCAAAGAGTTGCAGCTAAACAAAAGGTTCAGAATGATGATGAAAATGAAAAGCGTGCAAAAGTTGGTATTTCCAGTCTAGATAATACTTTTACAAGATCAGATCACAATGGTAAAACATCTGCTGTTGATAAAGTTTCAAAGCCAAAAGCTAGTCAAGGTGCTGATCCTAAAGATATAGAAGCTAATGCTGGTGTTGATGCTCGTCCTTCAACTGAATTACAAGAAGTTGAAAATTTACCTGGTGATAATATCCCAGTTGTTGCATTGGACTCGCAAGGTATTCGTGATGTTTTGGACAGTCTGAGTGACTCTAAGCAAGGTGATGAGTCTAAGTTTAATAAATTTATTGACCCATATTGCTTTAGTGATCCAATTGATGATGCATTTTATGAAGACGTTTGGTTTGAAAATGCATTAAGAAACTCAAAGATTTTTAGAGAAGTTTTCCATTGTCAACCTGATGATGCTGTCACTACATGGAAAGAGTATAAGGAATTTTCAAGATTGAGTACAGCTTTTGGACTTGCTCAAGAGCAAGAGGTTCATCGCAGAGAAGCTTTATTCAAGTCGATGTCACATTCATCAAATGGTGAAGATGAAGCTGAAACTTTAGCCAATGTTCGTGATCGCATGGAGAGACATAACAGTGTTAGTGCTCAAGATTTGGATGATACAGATGGTGTACTTGGTAAGCCACCAGGTAGACAAACCCAAAACACTGCAGTTGATGAAGGCGAAGACCCAGATGATCAGGCTACATATCCAAGAAGAGGTAAGAGTGGTGCTTATGGTCTAAGAAATAAATTAATGGGTGAAAAAGTGTTTGATCGTGAGACTGCAGATAGATTGTTGAGTGAGATTCAAGGGCACTTGGTGCTTTTCCCAGTTGATTGGTTGTACAAGGAGGTTGAGTCTGGTAACTGGTTTTACAATATGGATAGGCTCCCACCTATTGATATCTATGATTGATCTGTTTATTTATTAGTTTTTTAATATGTAATTTTAGCTGTTTGATTTGAACCTGCCAGTGTAGCCCAGTTATTGCCCAATGCGGCAGTCGAGCCTTATCACATAAAATTTTTCTTATCAGTGAGACGCCCGCGCTCTGCCAAATGAAATTGAATTATCAATGCCGAACTGCAAAATCATTTGACGAGATCAAAAGCGAAAAAGAAAGGCTGCAGATTGATTGATAAACTGTTGATGGGTTTCGTAGACAATCGATCCGTCATGAATTTTTTGTCAGGTACCTTGTTTTGTTCTTTTCTACAATACCTGGCAAGATCTCAACAACATCCAACTTCAGTAAAAACCACTCACTAGACACTTGCTGCTAAACTCCAGATAGTTATAATCACAGAAGAAGCACGTCATAGAACTCACCAATCGAATGCTTAGAGCTGAAAGGCCGAAAGAGAACATTTATCAACACTGGGACATTAGACACAATGAATCATGTTGCTCTGCAAAACTCAGAGTCGACGCTGACGAGGCCCCAAACTTCAAGAACTCATAGCTTGGAAACAAGAGGAAGGTCAACAAGTATAAGATCAAATAATCAAGAGCAAGGTATAATGCAACACCAACAGTCTGAACAGATATACCAATTTAGACCACCAGAAGTTGTGAAAAATATCCAGAAAGTCCCCAATGTAAGGGACCCAACGTTTGAGAAATCAAGATCAAGAGAAACTTCAACAGTTAGAAAAGATTATTTGAGCAATGTGGAAATTATCGATATGAGAAGGTCCTCCAGTGCAGCTTCCACAAATTTTAATAGACCTTCTAGAGTGCCTTCAAATTTGAACCCAAATCCACAATATCCATCAACACATCATGTCAACAATCGCTATAGGAACCCAATGTCTGCGTATAGCAGTAATGAAGCAGTGGATACTATTGTGCCCAATCATTCAAACATTTTGTATCAAAAATATCAAAGACCATCAATTACAAGTAAGCCTAGTATTGAATCCAAGGCACCATCCACTATATCACAGTATCAAACACCCAGATCAAATGTTTCTGTTTCAATGGATCAAGATTTAGTACCAGCATTCAATGATCTCAAGATGGAGTTGGGTGATGCTATGAATGATCACATTGATAAGCAGACAGATACTTTTCAAACTGATAATAGATATGTGAACTCTGATTCAAACAGTACAAAATCTAACAATTCTGAGAACCCAAGCTTGTTAAATGATGCAAATACATCACCTGAAGAGCCAATTTTCAAAACATCTATTAGTGAAGAGATCAGCGATGAAAAACAACTGCCCAAGCATGTTGAAAAGTTTGGTAGAATTCAGCAAAGAGTCAATTTTTTGAAGCAAATGAAAGATGAAGATTCAAATAATTCAGCTTGGAAAAGCGTTAGCGTTGAACAAAAAATGTTTTTCGAATCATTGAATAATGACTTGAGAAATTTGAAAAGGTCAAACCATAAACCATTTTTGAAATCATTGGAGAGAACAGATCAATCTGAGAAGCAAGTATTAAATTCTTCAGCTTCTGTTACTAGCACTCAATATCTATTGAAAACATATAACCCAATGACTGAAGGTAAACACCACTCTTTAGCCAAACCACATCCTACACCAACAAAGGAAATTGATATAGGAAAATTGAAACAGCTCTTGAGTCAAAGCACAAAACTTGCAGAGATGATGTGGGAAGCTGAAGAAGAGAAATACAGACCTTCACAAATAACATTCAAATCAGAAAACAAATCTTCAACAGATACAGCTGTTTCTTCTTTGAATTCAGAAGCTTTCAGTGTTAAATTAGTTTCACATACTTATGAACCAAAAGACCTGGATGCCATCAAGGAATCTTTTGATGGCTATGAAATTAGTACAACTCACCATAATGAGACTGGTGATGTAAGACGTATGAATGATTCCAAACAAGCCAGTCCACTATCACAAAGAGTCTAAAAGCCACACACACACAATAATGACCAACACTTGTAATATAAAGAAATGAAAAGTGAATTTTCAAAAGTTTTGTAGATGGAATTTGGGCCACTGCCATTTGATCCCGTGCCCATAGACCCTGTGTGCCCCTGAACAATAGTTCCGCGAATTTTTCCCTTTCCTAAAACTCGAAATTTCCAAACCCTCAAAGTGAAGGTCTGGGTACAAAACAATTTAGTTTCACTATACGTTCCAGGCGCAAGAGGGCTTGTTCTGCTTAATAAAGATGACTACTCAAACTTTTTCATATTCAAATGACTGTGATTTAGAGGTACATTGCTCGCCTTTTGGTATCTCTGGTCTATATATAAAGCTAGCTAACAGTGACTCTGTTGGTATTGGTTCAACAATGGGAAGACTAACGGGTCATACTTCTGGGAAATTGCACTATAATAAGAATGAAGATCTGGTAAATTCAAAATTTAAATTGTTTGGTGTATTGGAAGATGAAGATATACTAAGGATTGATTTTATAAAGATTTTGAACCCAAAGGGTGATTATTCAGATGACGCTGGCAGTAATGATGGTAGTACCTCAGCTACACCAAAAAATGATCAAGAAGAACAACTACCTAGTGAAAACCCAGGTGATGCAGGTTATGAAATCCCTGATCTTGTGTTTAGAGGGAAAGTTCCAGCTGGTAGGCCAGATGCCGTTGAACCATTCATTGGAATCTTTACTTTTGAAAAAGCTCCAAAATGAAGAGAAGTAAAGGGAATCAGGATTCCCCAATACGGGTTGCTGTATTAATATTGTGTTTAATGTCTACAGTTGATGAGTTATAAATAATGTACATTTTTAATTTGCAAATGTTTATCTTCAATCTGGCTTCTCTGTGTGTGTTGTATAAATGCATGTTGTTCAGCTAAAGTAACTGTTTGTCATGGTTTTTGCAATATTGAATCCAAAAAGACTGACAAAGTAAAGGATTGAAAAGATACCAATTGGGAATAAAACAAGTTGAGTATGTTCCAAAAATGGTAATGCATTGTAACCATAAAAAGTTATCACAAAATAATAACTCAAACTGACAAAATATAAAGTATTCCCCAAAAAGAGACCAAACCAGTTATTCATTGTTAACAAAGGTAATAGAATGAATTGAACCATATAAAGTAGCACCCAAATCACCAAAAAGGAATTGCAATGAACGTCAAAACAATAAGCCCATTCTAAATCACCTTCAGTGACAGCTCCAATTGTAGAATCACCATATGAATTTCTCTTTTTGAAGAAATTATTGGCTAAAACCCAACCTATTGTTGCAACAATGGCCCCGACAACAAAGAAATCAATGAAAACCATATATAGAATCAACTTTAATATGGACACAAAACTTGGTGAATATGCAACACCCCAAGCTATGGCACTCAGTGTCAAAAACAATGCTAATAATATTACAAATGAAGGGTCATCTCTTGCCCATCTGTTTTTCGTTTGCTTGTGGTAATATAATGATCTGTAGACCCTTTTTGGAGAAACAATCAAATAGAAAATTTCCCACATGGCAGTCTCAAAATCCAATGTAGGTGGTTTGAAAAATCTTTTGATGAATATTGGAATCTTAAAATTTGCTCTTGAAGAGCTGAATCTATTGGATCTTGCACTATAACTTTTACTTCTTAATGTTCCTGTTGAGCTATTTGTTCTTCCCGATCTAAAAGATGCTAGATCATCTTGAGATAGATCGTTGATTGTGGATGGCAAAATTGAATTCTGCGAGCTGAGACCCAGTCCTGAGAGGGTGGGCGTAAATGATCTCCTAGACATTGAGAAATTAGCTGTAACTGATCTTGAATTGATTTTATTCGTTGTTTATTCATGAATCGACACCTTTTTGACGTTAAAAAACATTTGGACACTTCGTCAGCAAAAAAAAAAAGCGCGAAACACGGCCTAGACTAGAGGCTTCAGATTAGGCTATAGACCAGACCATTTACGAGGTTCCTAGACCCTACAATGAATTTATTAGAAACAAAATCTATTAAACTTTTTTAACCCAGCTTCAACCCAAATATCTATCTAAAGGTTCACCTAGAACTGCCTCAATGACTTTAACCAATCCTGTACGTACTTCCATTTCAACATCTTCGTCATCATCTTCCAATAATTCTGCAATGATAGGAACCAATTGTGGTAATAATGTTAACCATTGGTCACCAACCTTTTGATAAACTGATTTCAATGATCTAGTAGCCCATAATTTCTCTTTTGGTTTACATTCAGATTTCATATGTGAAATGAACAATTGGTTCAATGCTTTATTGTGTTCATCTGATGAAGCATTTTGTGCCAAAGCAGCAATTGATTTAACCAAGTATTTACCAATACTATCTTCAACATTTTGCAACTGTGATAACAAACTCTCTGAAACAACTTCAAATCTTGCTTGTGCCTGCCAGTATTCATCTTGATCATATTTGAATGAAGAAGTTAAAGCATTCAAAACAATACGACGTAAATTAACATCATCCAATTCTGCAGAAATGTATCTTTTCAAAATACCAATGGTTGGTTCAAAGAAATATGTGAAGTATGATGTGACAATTGATCTCAAGTTTTCTTGTAACCTGTTGAAGAATCTGAAGAATGAAGTTAATCTTTCAACTTCGGTGATATCAGCGTTAGTGACACCTTCACCATCGAATGCCCAACGAACCAATAAAGCAAACAAAGGTCTGAAAGTTTTATCATTCAATTTCATAACATATTTATTGGCAATATCATGGAAGAATGCTTCAATACGATGAATAGCGTTATTGTCAAAGTCACTTTCAGATCTAAACTCAAATAATCTTAACAATAAATTGAAGAATTTTGGAGCTTGTGAAGTAGCAGTCTTCTTTTCAATGACTTCAACAGTTGATTCCAAAGTATTCAAATAAATACCGATTGATGTGGCATTTAATTTTGATGTTTCATCCCAAATAGAAGCCAAAACTTTTAGCAATGCTGTATGATCCATATTTTGAACGATAACTTGAACAATTGAACCTCTGATTTTTTCTGAAACTTCATCAGCCTTGAAAATACATCTCAAAATATCTTGTAAATTAGTGGTGACAAATGCAGGAATACGCTTAACATAACTTGATAACAATAACAAAACAGAAAGTTGTAAAGTTCCTTTAGCTTCTTCATCTTCAATTTGAAATGATTCATTGAAAATTTTCAAAGATGGCGGGATAATTTTTGGGAAGAATGAAATAGTCTTGATACCCAACACTGAAACAATATTTGTAATAACAGTAAGTGATGAAACAATAGCTTCACCATTTGAACTCAACAAACCGGCATCTGAAGTACTTAAATGTAAAGATTTAGTTAATAATTCATCATCAACTTGAGAACCGAATTTTTGTATCAAAGAAGCTAAAGCGTCTAAAGAAGCTTGTGCTAAATCTTCATTTGATTTGATATTGGTGAATAAAACTTCAATCAAGTTATTGGCAGCAAATTGAGCTTCTTCACGTTCTGATGATTCAGCTTCAAATTTCTCTAATGATAATAAAGTTAAGTTTTGACGAACAACAACATCAAGTTGAGAATCTGATAACAGGTTGGAGATTGATGATACAAATTCTTTAATTGGCAATAAAGTAAGGACATCGCTCAACAATTTGAATAAATTGGAACTGATATCTGACTTGGACTTTTCACCAATTAATTGCAACAATGATTGAACCAAATCACCAAATGTTTGGAAAATATCTGCAGATTGTAATTCAGTTTCACTCTCATCATATAAAATTGAAGTAATTTTCAACTGTAATGGTGGAATAGCAACAGATTCACCACCATTCAATGATGAGTCAATAAATTCTAATAAATTACTCTTCAATGACAATAACTCTTCTGAAGTGGATGAAACGACAGTTGAGTTGAAAATTGGACTTGAATAGAACATGTCAGCATTTGGTGATTCTCTTGTAATTTGCTCAGTTGGGATCTTTTTCCAGATTTCAATGAATGAGTTTAAAGCTGCTAATTGTTCAACAGCAGTGAATTGTTTTAAGAGAGATGAAGCAAAATCAATCAATGATCTGGATTCAGAAGTACGATTTTTCAAAACAGCAGCAGAATATTGACCACCAATTAAAAACAAGATGATGTGAAGAGATAATTCAGGTCCCAATGTTGAAGCTAATGTTGAAAATAATCTGACTCTTCTATGTCTTGGGATATGAATAAATGCAGATGCAAAACTTGTAAGCAAGAATTCAACTTCATCAGACTTCTTTTCATTTGAAGCATTGGCCAAAGCTGGAATGACATGGACAACAGTTTGCTCAACAACATGAACTGAGAATTCATCATCTTGACGAATAGTATGTGCACCCATGAAGGTGAAAATTGGCATAACAGAGTGTAAAACAATTTCTGGAGCTAATGCAGCTAATTCAGCAACAACCAACAATAATCTGTTTTGCACTTGTGGAGATGGAGAAGATCTAATTGTGGCGACAACAATATCAGTTCTAACAGAATTAGAATCCAACTGTGCCTTATCAGATTTTAAAGCTCTAATAACTTTAACCATAGTGACGGCCAATGTTTCTTGTGTATACAAGACTGGTAAACCAGCATCACCACCTAGAGTTTCCAAATCTGATAGCAGGTTGAATAGTGCACTCAATAAGGTAGTTGAAGGTTTCAAAGTATCAAGTGACTGATCTAAAGTTTCCAAAATAACGGTAATTTTTTGCAAATGATTCTCAGCAATTTTGGCTAATTCGCCAGTATTCAATGCTTGTCTTGCTGAAGCGGATGATCGTCTTCTTCTTTTTGGAACACCTGGTTCATCCTTTGGTTGATTGATTTGAGAATCTTTTAGTAATGCAACAATAATTTCACTAGATAATGGTAGTGATTGTAAAGTTAAGAGAGCATCATATGAAGTAGATCCTTCAGTGGCAAATGAATCAACAACGGATTTGGCCAACTTGAGTTTGAAATCATACTTTAAACTTTCAAAAATTGCAATTGATCTAGCAGAAGCCAATTCAGCGAGTCCTTCATAAGGTGAGCTCAAACAGTTGACCAAAAAGTTGATAGCAAAAACATTTTTTTCCTTAGCAGACACTAAGTTAACAACTTCAGTTTCAAAATCTTTCAAATCAACTTTGTTTTCTTCAACATTTTTTCTGAAGGACTCTCTCTTAGCAACGTAATTTTCAAGAAGTGATTGGAAGATTTGTGATAAAACAGCACCTTTAACACTTGCGATTGATACTCTAATGATTTTGAGCAAAACAAGTTTTACTGATGGTAAACTTATAACATTTGCTTGATTTGCTAAAAATGCAAGGAATAGTTTGGCATTCTTTTTAGCATTGACCAAAATATCAGAAACACCAGCACTTTCAACAAAATAGTTCTCTAAAACAGCTTTCAAGAAACTTTCACCATCTTTTGGAGAAATCAACTGTAATTCCTTAGATTTAGACCCGAAGATAGAGTTTTCAAGATAGAATTTATCAGTAACTTTTCTTTGAGAGATGATTTTCAAGATATCTGATGATAAACCTCTAACAGAACGACGAGTATCATATAAACCAGCAAATAAAACTGGCACCAAAGTCAACAAATTCACGCTTGGATCAATCTTTGGAATTAAAGATTTGAAAGCAGCTAAGGCAGATGTACGGGCAAACCCTGGAGCTGATGGTGAGATACCAACTCTAACTAAGAAAGTGTAAAGACCATCACTTGATTCAAAAACCTCATTTTGAAATTCTTCAGTAACTTTTGATTGTAATGCTTTAATGTATAATGGTAGCAATTTGTTGAATTCAGCATTTAAATCTGCAGTCAAAAATGAAACAACTTTGGTTTTGTTAGACTTGAATAATTCAATTGTTTTAGCTTTGGATTCTTCAGTTGTTTCTGTGATAACTTCTTGAACAGGAGTGTTTTCAACATCTTCCTTTCCAGTTAATGATAATGATGTTTGTAACTTAGCCTCCAATAAATCTGGTGTCAAGCTCATAACATTCAAACCATCTAACAATAAATCTTTTTGATTTTTGATGTAATATTCAATCAATTCAGTAATATCACTTTTATCTTGTTGAATAACGTCAATAGCCGTGATGGAATCTCTGATGATATATGACATTTCATATTCTGGCAAAGAAACTTTCTTCAAGATGCTCAAGACTAAAGGAATACGTGAGTCAAATTCGTATGCTAATATAGTTTTAACCAAAACAGTGACCAATTTTTCTGAATGAATTGTCTTTGAAGTCAAAATCTCATCAAAACGTTCTAAATCACCAGTAATCAATTTAATCAAAAGTCTGTAGATTCTAACTGGGATGTTTTCATATTTGGAAGAATTCAAAGATTGGAACAACTTTGTAATACATATCAAACCTGAGTTTTCAACTTTCTTTTGAATGTTTGCCAAAATTGTTTCTGTTGCAGCATAAATAATTTCTTGTGATAAAGGGACAGCAGTAGACAAAACAGCTAAAACAGTATGACTTGCAACATGAGCATCTGAGTTTGAGCTTGCTAAAAATTTAGCTGAAACTTCCAAAATCAATGGAATTAATTGTTCAACCTTCTTTGGATCATTTGATAAAATAGCAATACTATTAATTGCTGAACATGTAAAGAATAACAACTGATTTGAGTATAGGATTTTTTTGGTAGCACCATCTTCCAAATATTTGATATACAAGTTCAAGAAGTCCAAGTCTGTGAATAATTTGATCATTGATGTATTTGTTGGTGATCTTTCAGTATTCTTGAAACCAGCTAGACCTGAAAATAATGGAGGTAATTTGGTGATTTCTAAAATTCTCTTGAAGACTGGACCTTGATAGTAATTTATGGTACTCAATAACAAGTTTTCAGCATTGAAAATGTGGATTTGGAAACGACGGACCAACCACTCAGTAGCTTGAACGGCTGGATTCAAGTTCCATCTTGGTGAAATCAAAGAGAGGTAGGCATTAATTGCATTGTCCAAGTCTTTATTTTGTTCAGCAGTTTGAACATTTCTATCAACAGAGACAGAGGTTTCACTGAACAAAGAGTTTTTGAAGAAACTGAATCTTTTATCAATAGTAATCAGTTCCTCTAAAGCTTCATAAGCGTTGGAATAAATTATTTCATAATCTTGGGTAGCTGCAACTTTTGAGTTGTAAATCAAGGAGACAGAGTGTAATTTTTGTCTTCTTTTACGATCAAACGCAACAGTACTGTTGGCAGCAGCTATTGAACCCAGCTGAGATGCTAAAGACATGATTTTCACCCCCGATAATTTCAATACTTTAAATAAAAGACATATGAAATCTTCTATGTTATTTTTTTTTTTTTCACATAAAAAAAAATTTTGAGATGCCCATTCGCGGAAACCGTAAACGCACGATTATTCGCGAATGCGTTTTACAAATGACTACAACATTCTCGAAAATATCATCAAAGGGTATTATTTTAAAGTCATTAAATAAGTATTCAGTCAGCTTGGTAAAGAACAGGACCAGCAACAACATGTCCATTGATTTGGGTAATGTTGAAAGGTGTAATAGGAACTTGCTCATCTGTCAAAACAACGAAAACAGTTCCATTGACAATAGTATTGTTGCTGTTAGGGAAGACTGTAGCATTTGGTTGAATAGCCCAAGCAGTGTTTTCATCTGTGTTAACATCTTGTAATTCAGTGTATGTTGTGTTCAATTGAGAGATCCAGGCTGCATATTTTGGAGGACCATCGACAAAAGTAAAAGTTTTGTAAAGAGGATCTGTTGATACATTACTATTCAATGCTTGACTTCCATTAAATTGGGAAACTGTACTTCCGTTATAGTAACCAGCATTGGTATAGTTGATGTTTGGTGCATCTTGAACTGGAGTCCACCCAACTGGTAATCCAGGGTTTTCCCATTTGAACTCCACTCTTCTACCCGGTTCAGTTAAAGTGTTGTTAACAACAGAAATAGCAGGCCATGAACCAGTGGAATTACTTAAAGCATCCGGACCATTGGTCACTTGCAAGCCTGGGAAGTTTTGGAAGTTAATAGTTGGGTTCTTAGCAGGACATGTAGTGATATAAGGAGCAAGTAAAGTCCATGCAAATGATTGAGGAACACCGACAATAAAATCATATGGCATAGCACTTAATCCTTGGAATTGACGGAAAACAAATTGTTGTCTAGCTTCAGTTGTGATAGAGTTGGTCAATAAAGTAGCAGCAGCTCTTGAATCTAAATGGTTGAGGAATCCATAAACACCACTTTCACCCCATCTTGTTAATTGTTGGGAAAATGCAACAAATTCAGGGACAGTTTCAAATGGATAAGTGTAGTTACATCTTTCTGGAGCAGATTCACCAAGCATATTTGTAATCAACTCAGCATGTCCAACCTCTTGAAGGGCCATGAAATGGATCAATTCACGATCAGCAGAATTCAAACCAGCAGCTTCGAAATCTTCAGCTGAAAATTTTGCCAAACCATAGTTGAATAGATCCAATTCAATATATTCTTGGTTCAAAGCAAGTAACAAAGACTGGTAATCAAAATCTGATAACGGATGATAGTATGGAATTGTGCTGTTATCCGTACCTAACCCACCTGCTGGGGTGAAAGGGCGTGGAGCAAATGGGTCTTTTGAATCATTTCCTGGTAATGGAAATGATGTGACAACATTTAGAATAGCGAAAGCAGTTAGCAAAGCACAGCTTTTCAATGACATCTGTAAAATAGCTTTTATAGAATCTTTGGTAATTGTAGTTCTCTCGAAACCTTAAAGTAATTTTAGGAATAGTTCATGATATTTATACCTCTTGAGCAAGACGAATTTCAAAACACATGTTTGCTGCGAATATGCTTATGAAGTGGAATCCTTTTCGGATGTTTAGGGCCTTGATTCGTTACCATTATTAATAACTGCTATTTTTTTTTGCTGTTATGCTTATGATTAATCAGACTTCCAGAAATAAACAACTCAGTTGCTCAATTTGTACTTGTGGCCCAACTTTTCACCCAGATCTTGTAGAGGAGCACATCCTAATCGGGTGACATCTGCACATCTATTAAATCATCTGCATGGAGCTCAGCAATAACCATCAAGTTGAATCTGGTACACAATTGGGTTTGTAATGCTACACTTTTTGAGCATGTTTGCTGATTTTTAGATCGTGAGAACGTTGGAGCTTAATTGTTCGCGAAATGTACATCCGCGAATTGCCTCGATCTCACCATAGTTAGAGGTACAAAGCTGAGATCAACCAATAGTACTTTAATCACTACAATTGCAATTAATTTCTAACCGATATTCTTTATTAAATAAAAAATTATAAAATTTCCCTTATAAAGTGAAAATACTTGTTGATTTTTTACCAAATGGATAAACGAAAATAGTTGAAGCAAATAAACCAACAGAAATACCAATAGCAACTTGAACCATGGTAACACCGAAACTCAAACTTGAACCTTCAGCTGGAGCAGTAGCAGCTCCTGAAGTTGAATTTGTAGTTAATTGATTTGCTGATTGAACACCTGCCAATAAAGATGCTTGTGATGCAATACCAGAAGGAACTTGGACGAAAATAGCTGGCAACATTGCAGAAACCGCAAGACCTTTCCATATTCTTGAATACAAATTACCTAAAACACCAATGACAAAAGCACCCATTGCTGCAGTAAATTCTGTTGAATTTTGAAAATGTTTTGAAGCAAAGAAATTAACAACATAACCTGCACAAGAAATGAAGAGCATGACTGGCAATTGGAACCATTTTGCTTGGTTAATTAAGCATAACCCAATAGTAAAGAATGGAACAAAGATAAATCTATACCATGGACTAATTTGTTCAGCACAGGTTGTTTCAGAAGTTGCATTTTTATCAATCCAACCATAAAGAGCAGCTCCTAAAGTGATACCAAAACCTAAGAATAACGAATAAATGATTGCATAAAACATACGAACAGCACCTGCAACCAAATTTCTCGATTGTAATTCTAAAGAACCACATAAAATGATATAACCAGGTAAAATCAAAGCTAATGAACCTTGAACAACAGCAGAGAAGCAAATATGTGAACCACTAATAGAACCCAAGGCACGACCAACAAAAGCAACAACAATGGCAGCTGTGACTTCAAAAACATTTGAATATAAATTGGATCTTGGAGCAATTAAAAATTGTAAAGAACCAACACATAAACCAATCAAAAATGAAACAGGTAAATTAACCCAACCACCACCAAAGGCAAATGGAGTAACCATAGCTGATGAAAAAGCATAAATCAAAACACATAACCAAGGAGGGAATGCAGGTTTTGAAGATAATAAATCATCCAGATCATTACTTGCTTCTTCAACACCAACTAAATCATGAATAACTTGCTTATAAATTCTGTGAACACGGTGCAATTTGTACAAGTTCAAACCTTGTGGACATCTAACCAATTGAACTTCTGAAGTTCTTGTAGTTGCATCACCAAATGAAACAATCATACAACCTGGGAAATAAATGAATTGACCATCAATTTCTAAAACTCTTGCAGTCATTGTCAAATATTCTTCCAATCTATGAGTTGGAGCACCATACAACATTAATGCCTTACACATACGCAAAACAAAACGTTGTCTTTGTAAAATATCAGCAATATGAACAGTGATTCTTGCTTGAGTTTGTTCCTTTTTAGCTTTAGCCATTAATCCACTTGCACCTTTTTTCAATTTTGGTCTAGTCTTTTCAAAACTTGGTAAATGAGGATTTGATACATTATTCTTCAAAGTTTTCAATTTTGATGATTTACCAACAGGTGTATTTGAACCTTCAGCACCTAAATCCACTGAACTTTCAATTCTATGTTTTTGGATCATATCTTGTTGTTGATTCAAATTATTATCATCAATTGCAACTTTTCTTTTACCCAAGTTTTTCAAACGACCAGCTAAAGTTTGATGATCAATTTTAGAATCACCATGGATTTCAGTTGGAGTTGTGGAACCTGAAGTGATAGGAGAACCACCAGTTGATCTTGTCATTAAGCTTTGTTGAGATTTTGAAGCTTCTTGAGGATTTTGGTACATTTTCAATAGTGAAGATAAAACACCACCACGGACTCTATCTGGTGGAGCAATATAACCGGCACCACTGTCATCTAAATTCATTTCAAAAATACCATCTTCATCACGTAAATACAAATCTGGATTTGGTGCTAAGAAACTACCTTGATGTGAGCTGATGGAGGCATTATCTTTCAAAGTGGTTTCATCAGAGTTATCTGGTTTAGTTTTAGGTTTTGAACGACTTGAAGAATGTGCATTGACGATACCATTAGCTTCTTTTGCAAATAATTCTGGATCTAAAGTTTGCATTTCAGTTCCTTCATCACTGACAATTCTATTTTGAGCTTCTTCATCATCTTTCTTTTCTTGTTCAGATTTAGCAGCACCTGGAGCTAACCCACCACCACTTAGATTAACCAATTTTGAAAAAAAGCCTTCATCTGGTGGTTTATTCTTTTCAGATTCTTTCAATTCATCTTCAGAATCAGAGCTATAGTTTTCTGGATTAACCAATTTTTGGAAAACACTCTTTAGTTTCTTTGCAGCTTTGTTTTCACTTGAGTTACTTGAAGTGGATGAAGAACCAGTGTTTGTTCTTTCAGCTTTTTCTAATTTGGTTGCACCATCTTTGTCTCTAGCTGTAGCATTTGAAGAATCTTCATTATCAGAGTTGATATCAACATCACTACCTGAATCACTATTATAAAATTCAACGTTTTTCTTTCTTTTAGCCTTTTCATTCTTGATATTTTCCAATTTCTCTTTGTATTGTCTATCAACGTCTGGATCATTTTGATCAGGTTTATCAGCTAAATCAGTATTTGACATGAATTCTTCTTTGAAATTTTGGTTTGCATCATCTTCAAATTCTTTTTCTCTAGCTCTTCTTCTATCATAAATCTTTGAAGAGCTCAAGTTTGGTGAAACATGAGTAGAATCACCACCTTGACCTTGACTGGCAGCAACGGCAGCAGCAGTTGTGGAAACTGGTTCACTTTCACCAGCAGGAGGTGTGAAGTTTTCCATTCTTTGGAAAGTTGGTAATTTAACAGCACCTGGAGATTGAGGAGATGCACCTTCGAGGTTTGATGAAGGGGAAGCACCACCAGAATTAGACTTGTTTGATCTGCCACTAGTTGAAAAATAATCATCTTTTAAAGAACCACCTGATAAAACACGACGATGCAATTTTTTGTTGGAGTTGTTTTTAGGTAGGAAAGATGAGGCTTTTGGACTATGCAAACGATGTGTATGAGAAGGATGACCACCTGGTGATAAAGTACCGCTTTGTCCAGCTGAACCAGCTTGTTGTTGTTGCTGTTGGTAAAGTTTTGACATTGTCAAAATACTTGAACTTGATCTTTGAGATGGAGAAGCTGGCCTCATTGGAGGTCTTGGGTTTGAAGAAGCATTCTCATAATGAGAATTCCCAGATCCAGGTGATGATGGATCTTGTTGTGACATTTCGTTCCCGCTCACCTTGTGATACACTTATTATGAGCTATCTCTTTCTAAATGGATATTGACAGAGTAGATGGATGATAGTTAAGCAAAGAATCCTAGAAAAAACCACGGTATCTTTTGATGGATCTAATGAGCTAACTAGTTGATGTTTGTTATGCAAAATGCTAGATGTTTTAAATTTAACTTGGATAAGTTTATTTGAGCTGTGTTGTATATGCTTGTAAGCGATGGATGTGAGTGTTCTTTCTCTAAGGGATACGAATATTATGATGAGTCTAGGGATGTTGTAGAAGAAGAGGATTTCAGAAGAATCACGGTCGTTGAAGAAAGATTTGCTTTTATATAAATTGGTTTCAACTTTTGACTCGAGTGTTACGTAAGCTTTGCGCGTTACAGCCTTTTGGCAATTGGAAAGTGCACACTACGTCATTGTGCGAGTTGGCGGTCAATTTGATATTTTTGGCCAGGAAAAAAAGGATTTCTGGCCGAGGGCTCAATCTTTATGAGCTGTTCTATGGATGTTGTGCTTCTTGGGGAGCCTTGGTGTGTAGAAGGCTTTGTAGTTGTGAGAGTGTATTGCTGCTTAGACTTCGTGGGTTGAAAAAGATTGTCCACCGTGAACCTTTGGATTTTCGATACAGCCAGTAGCAGGGTGAAGCTAGACGGAGAAATTAAAAAAAGATTAGGCAGAGACGCGTGTAATTAGACGGAGCGTCTAGGCAGGGCCCTTCCAGAGCTACACAGCAGAACTTAAAAGGGCCCTCCGGCCTACAACCTTAAATTAAAATCTGAAACAAAGCATCGTTTCTTTCTTCAATTATAGTTATAGTGAATATTTAGTAGATGTTCCGGAAAACTATCTGTGTATGGTGGTGTCCATAAGATGGTGGTAGTCATTGGTGTATGTTCCTTACTTGTGAAGAGAAATTGTAAGATGATGCGTAGAAGCTGCTTGAATAGACAGTGGTTTTATTTTGCAGCTTGAGCCTTGGACACGTCGTTGTCTGGCAAATTGAAGGCTTCAAAGAAAATCACTTGCACAGAAGAAAAGATTCTGAAGGGAAACGAAGTTGACTGTTGTACAGTCTTGGTTGAAACTTGAAACTTGATGACTCCAATTCACGATCAATTGGCATCATGATTGATTAACAGGGCGGTTTGTTCAAGAATCGCTCAACTTAGCACAAGTTGGAATTCGTAATAGGAGATTCAGAAACAACAGTATAGTGAACGTAGTTGCTAATAGGTACAGACTCCAGAGTGTAATTGGCTTTTGTATCGTTGACATAAAGAGAAAATTCTAGTATTATAGCTCAGTCTCTCAGCTAGTCGGCCAAAGAAGATCCAGATTTCAATCTTTCTTCCTCTTTCCAATCGCTTGCTACAATCCAGCACGCTAGTTGGGGACAAACCCTAGTTGATGTACTATATCTGGAATCTTTCCACGTAACTTGAGAATACTGATTCCTGAACTTGAAAGAAAGAGAACCCGTTGGAAATTAAGCTTGTTCAGATCTGATTAATTTCCCGTTGCAGAATCCAGAACTGAATTGATGTTGCTCGTATTGATTTAAGCATTATGTAAAGCATTACGTGTGCATTTCAACGATGTAATTTGGTACTGTGAGCGATTTTGTAGAGTTTGAGCTTGTCATGATTTAGTGGAGTAGTTTTGTAATTAAACTCAACAGTTCTCCTATTTACAAAGATGATTGCTTTCTTGTCCAGGATTTTGTTGATGATGTTGATGATTTTGGTCTCTGAAAAATTTCCTTCACCGTGAAAATCATCGCGCGCTGTGCCTGCAGCTTTTTTCTTTTTGCAATTATCCGGGTTTCCAAAAATAGAGAGAATCATAGTGGGCCAACCGATTAATCAAGTCACATGATAATCACATGATAGTCACATCATACATGTAAGCTTTCGCGAACGCTTCACTCAATGGTTTGATAAAGAAGTATACAAGAGATCTCAGATGTCTCATAGATACACTTCCCACTTTTTCATGAAAGCTTATGAAGTGAAAGACGTTTAAGATTACAATTTTAGCTATTAAGCCCTATAGCTGTCACTTATACATACTCATAATGCATTTGCTTTAAGAATGACCTCTATTACATGCATAGTTCATTTGTTACCTCCAAATTTTACAAAACACAAAACCAAAAAAAATTGACATTTTTGTTTGCAACTACTTTATATGGCTACACAAATTCAGCATTCTGAGCTGCAACAAATATATCCCATACTGGGCGCTTGGTGAATTGAGACTCAAGACGGATTAATTCAGGTTCAAATCAAACAAGTGCGTTGGTTTAACATGTAACTTTTAAACCTTAATGGAGAGCATCTTGAGTTCTCCATCTACATGATTCTTTGCTTGGACTAATGCTAACATAAACTTTAGATATATTATCCAACTGTTATATTTTACTTGGTTGTTCAGGTGTGTGGTTTATTCTAGCTCGGTAAACATTATTGTTGATATTAGAGATTTGGTTAGATCTTTCCCTTTGTTAGTTAGCCGCCTTGTTGGTTTTGGAACCGTTTCGTGTTATTGAAGAGTTATTACTTTCAAAGCTTGATTGTTGATATAAATCTCCATCCTTAGGTTATTCAAGTTAAGTTCAACACATTATATCGTGTGGTTTTTTTGTTCTGTGAATTGTTTATGTTTATCTCCCGTTTATTTGTTGATTGTGTGTGTTGGTTCTTGTTCCACATCTTTTATTTGAAAGAATATTATTTTTAGGTCGTTTTAGCTTGGATTTCAGTGATAAATAACAATGGGTAATGCTAGTGATTCACCAAGAAAACAAAAACAAAAAATACCACCAGATGTTGATAATCCACCTTTTTATTTACCTTTGAAACCATTTAATGGAAGGTATAGAGTCGTCAGCAATCTTGGGAATGGTAGTTTTGGTAGTGTTGGATTGGCTAAATCATCTCAGGATTTACTAGATAGTTCAAAATTCAGAATCTATCGCAATACATTATTAGATAGAAATGAATTTTACAAGCATGAGAATTACTTCAACAAGAAGACAGGATTAGTTGCCATCAAAACAATGACAAAGAAATTGAATGCATTGAATGATTACTCAAAAGTTAAGGAAATAAGATTTATATTGGCCATTCCCTATCACCCAAATCTTGTTCAAGTTTTTGAGTTATTCATTGATAATGTTAGTTTCAAACTACACATTGTTATGGAATGCTTAGACCAAAATCTTTATCAATTGATGAAAGCTAGAAAAAACAGCTTTTTCTCGCAAACAACATTGAAGTCTATCTTATCTCAAATTTTGAATGGTATTCGTCATATTCACAGGAACCAATATTTCCACAGAGATATAAAGCCTGAAAATATATTAGTTTCACCTTCCAATAGATTCTATGATCAAGAATTTATAAATTCCAAAAACTTCAAATATCATGATTGTTTTATTGTTAAAATTGCAGATTATGGGCTTGCTCGCCATGTGGATAACAAAAGGCCATATACCTCTTATGTATCAACAAGATGGTACAGAGCTCCAGAGATTTTGTTGAGAAAAAATTGGTATTCCAGACCTGTTGATATTTGGGCATTCGGATCCGTCGCAGCTGAAATTGCAACTTTTAGACCATTATTTCCAGGTTCAGATGAAATTGAGCAAACTTGGAAAGTGCTAGATGTCCTAGGTACTCCAATTTCCAACAATAATATTGGAAATTATTTTCCCTGTTATGGATACTGGGATGAGGCAGCTGTTTTGTGCTCTCAATTAGGATTGAAGTTACCTGTTAAAGAATGCATTGATATTACACATTTAATTCCAAATCGTGATTTGACACCACTTTGTGATGTAATTAAAGCATGTTTAGCATGGAATCCAAATACCAGAGCTGATGTGGAGGCTATCTGTGCAATGCCTTACTTCAAAGGGACATGTGTTGATGATTCACCAACAATGCCTATTCCTGTCCCAGCTTACACTAAAGCACCAATTGGGAAAAAGTACGCCAATTATGACAAGTCTAACAGCAGTTTTGATTTCTCAAGGTCAGAAATGCTTGCAGGTATCCCAAGCTTGAAAAAAGAAGAATTTATTAACGTGGTCACTAACGAAAATAATGGATCAATTTCACCGGATGCAACAGAGGTTAATTATTCATTTTCAAATGATGTTCAACAATCACCATCTGAAAGTAAGCTCTTTTTAAATGACTTTGAGCTTCAACTTCCTCCAAAAGTTCTCAAGCCTGAAGAATCAGCACCAAACCTTACACAAGAGAGTATCGTCACAAATGATGAAAATTACAATGGCTTTAGCCAAAATCTCAACAACTATAACTACATCAGTGAAACCCAATTCAACTTGAATAACGCAAAACCAAGAACAACCAATCTCAAATTTGTTAGCAATATGTCGGTGTTCAATTTTAATGGATCTAACTCAAGCAACTATTACAATGATGTGAGTCCTAATATTGATCCAAACTTCATCTCTTATCAGCCGCAACAAGCTCATCATAATTACAATATTGTTGGAGAGCATGGATCTATAAACATGAGATCAGATAGTCTTGATGACTTTGATGACTGGAACAAACCAATTGCTGGTGTTCAAAACATGAGAAATGGATCAAATTACAATGGTAACTCATCTTTGAATGGCCAAATAGACCATTTTGATGACAAGTTTAGGTATGATGGTTCAAATAATGATAGCCTCTTGGGGCTTTACACTACAGATCAAGAACAAAATGACATAACGAATCATTCAATCAGTTCCAATATTCCAAATTTTACGGGTGAGCTACTATCAAAGTTCAATTTGCGTCGTATTTCACTGAATGACTCTAATCATTACACCAATAGCCATGATCAAACTGGCTCATTCCATAGCTATAAACAATAAGTAGTATTTCTTGGTTGTTCAAGGAGTACTGTTGAAGTCCTAGAGCTTCAATTGCTTTTGCCAAGTTTATCGTTATTAAAATCTTGTGACAGTTTATTGATAGGTAATGTTCCAACTATTATAATAAACGTCGAATTATCTATAAAACCAAGGCTCAATTATTCTTATCCTACAAAAGTAAATTCAAGAAGTAATCTATCGACTACATATGTTCTGATGGCATATAAGAAACGTTTCACAAAATCTGATAATTGAATAGAACACCCTCCATACTGAAATGCAAGTCTATAAAATATTAAGATCTAAAAAGATTGAAAGCAACTATTAAAAAACACCTTTAAAACTCTAAAACGACCGTGAAAATGAAAACAAATCAAAAATGAATGAATTAAATAATTTTCTATAGAACTGCACTTGCGTAATAACATGAACGTTGAAAACATTTATCCCAATTAAAAAACAAGACTAATAAAAAGTAGCAACATTTCGACATAAACCCATATAAATATATTCAGGCAGGTTTCTTCTTTTTTTTATAATCTGCAAAACTTAACTTCTTGACTGGCTTAGCAGGAGCATTAGGGACTGTAGCTGAGGATAAATCAGGTTTCTTTTCTTCAGGGATAACTTCAATTGGAATGGGTAGATACTCATTTCCTTCCTTTTGATGGCCATCCAACTTTCTCTTTCTAGTCAAATAATTGAAAATAAAAGGTCTAACATTAATATCTTCAGTTGATGATGAAACTGACCCATCTCTATTTGGGATTGGGATGGAAGATTTAACTTGATCTAAAGAGTCACGGATATTTGAAGTCTCTCTTTCCAATAATCTTTCTTGAATTGATGAATATTTGGCTTCTTTTTGTAATAGTTTCAACCCACTAGTATTATTACCTTTTCTTGTTGCTCTGTAAATATGGGCACTTGCCTTTTTGACTTTTGCCAAACAACAGTCACCAACTGAGGTACAACCACATTCCAAAAATGTCAAAATAGATTCCACCGATAATACAAGACTTGGTTTAACAGCATCATTAATTTGATCAAAAGGTTTACCTTCTTGTATTCCTTTTATAGGGTGGTTTATATCCCAATTCCAATTCAAAGTCAATTCAGCACCAGGCTTAATAGGCTTTATAGAATATATGATAAACTTGACTAAATCTTTTGAAACAACCACAGTTTGTAGTTCACAATTTGCATTACAGCTTCTTCTAATGTAACGAGCTGAATTTCCTGAAAATCTAGCATCAATGACTAAAGGTAATCCTGGGATGAATTGGACGTGAGGTTTTTCAACTCCCCAAATTCTATAATGATTTCTTGTATCTGTAATGTACTTATCTTTATTACCAATCTCACCTAAATATTCAGCAACCATTTTACCCTGTGGGATAGCAGTATCTGTGAATAATCCCAATCTTGAAATACCATTAAATTTCTTGTTGTTAACTTCAGAATATGGTTTGACATTCAGTTTTGGTAGTTCTACCCTGTTGAATTCAGATTTAGCAATCTTGATGAATCTAGGATTATCCAAGTTCTTTAAACTGTCAACAAAACTGAAAACCTCTTCATCTTGGTATTCATAATTTTTCAATGCATAATAAATGGATTTATACGAATCTTTGGCGTCAAGCACATGGATATCATCATCCTCTAAATTTTTACCATAAGAATTTGGTTTTGGTTTTGGTTTTGGTTTAGCTTGGTTACCTTCTTGTTGTTCCTTATCTTTGGAAAGATTGGCTGTGGATGTAGTTGATTCTGAGATTGAAGAGGTATCATTAGTTTCTGGATCAGCAGAGTTTCTACCTTTTTTCTCTTTTCTTCTCTTCAAGGAATTCAATCTTTGGGTTTGAATGGCTCTGGCTTTTTTGATATCAATTTTCCTTGGTGAACAGACGTTACACAGGAAATTTTCAGGTGCATTATCAATGGAATCAATACCCATACAAACAGCATGTTGCCATCTGAAACAGTTATCACATTGAATTGTAAAACCATCATCATCTTCATAGCCACAACAACATGTAATGATACCAGCATCTGGGTCCACTATGTAATCTTTTGGAACGGTAACTGTAGCTTTTGTATTCTCGATCTGCTCTTTCTTCTTCGTTTTACGTTGCTTCTTAGGTTTGAGCTCTTCATGACCTCCTTCCTCATTCTCGACTTGGTCTTCTTCCTGTTTATCCAGTAACGTGGAAGTTTCTTCTTCTGTTTCATTATTTTGTATATCATCATTTGTTACATCCTTCATTATAGTATCATCATTATCTTTACTTTCAACATCTGTGTCATGAGACGATTGATTATCCTCATTAGCAGTTTCTTCTTCATTCTTTAAAACAGTTGTTGCATTAGCATCTTCTTCGGTTTTTAATTCTTGATTCTGATTCTCTGGTTTGTCTTCTTCCTTGCTTTTCAGGCCTTGTCTAATGACTTCAGCTCTTTCTTGTAAAGCATGTAGTTGTTCTTTAGGAACTTGATCCTGTGCTTTTTGAAGAATTGCCTCTGATGATTCAACACTCTTGGTTTTAAGTTTCTCTATTATTTGCATATTTAGTTTGTTTTGATCATCATGATTTATTAGTGGCAAAGGAATCCCTGCAGCAGCAGCTAGAGCAGCAGCAGCCACTATACCCTTCTGAGATTTATCATTCTCGCCACCTTCTGTATCTGAATCTGCTAATGCTGCAATTGCTGGACCTGGTGAAGCTATTGTATTGATCTTGGGACTCCGTATAGCGACAGGGTTTGGTGTTGACCCTGGTCTTGATGATCCAGCCGATGTTGGCTTGATTGAATGGCTAGGTAGTAGTGAAGTAGTTGATGCTTTTGGAATTGGCTGAACTGGTCTCTCTAATTGTTGTTGTTGCTGTTGATTCTCGTGTTTATTATTCACAGCTGCATTATGAAACATCAATAAGGTAGAAGCATCCTCCAACAAGGAAGAATTCTCAGTCTCCATGGAATTAGCAGCTGTAGAAGATGATGGTTCCTCTGACATGGCTCCGTCACTTTCCTTGCTGTGTTTTCTTATCTGGTGCTTTCGTTTAACCTTGATTCAGCCTCTGTTTATGTTATTCTGTGGGTATTAAACGATTAGCTAAAGGGCTCTTGTAACAGTAGCAGCAGCAGCACACGGTCTCTCTAGCAAGGGTGAAGCACTCAGCGAAGCAATGGACAGGTCCTCTTCTTAATATATAACCAGCTCTCTTTCTTGGGAATGAGGTGATTCTATTGTCGTGAGCTATCTAACTGGCAACCGCTCGTTAACACATAAACGAATCAATTTCACATACTAAAAAAAAAATAAAAAAAAAAAGTCTGGGAAACGAGTTCCGGGATATTTTACTATACGAGATCATGTGACTGATTGCGTCGGAATTGGTTATTATATGGAGCTTTGGCAGGGTAAATTTGGCGATTTTTTAATTGATGGATGATTCAAGTACAATTTTTGAGTATCTAGCTCCATCGATAGAGAACATCTCTCTATATCTTCAAAGATCTCATTAAGTGAACTCTTGTTGAAACGCATATTCAGTTGAAATGGTATGTGATTTAATTTATTCATGACGTTGTGGGACCTCCCATTTGATCATGTATATGTTTAGTAAATATACTAACTAATTTAAGGCTCATAGATTACTAGTTCAAGTTATATTCACAGGTGCTCAAGTTTTTGGTAGAGCATTCACTGAAGCCTACCGTCAAGCTGCACAACAAACTGCCAAACAATCAGCTAGCTCGGCAGGAAAAGCTGCACAAAATTTCGGTATAACATTAGATGAATCCGCAAAGATTTTGGATGTTGATTTAAAGAATGTTTCAATGGACAAAGTTGATGAAAGATATAATTATTTATTTGATGTGAATTCTAAAGAAAAAGCCAATTCATTTTATTTACAGTCCAAGATCTATTGGGCTGCTGAACGTTTAAAAAGTGAATTGAAAGAGAAAGATGCTGCTGCAAAGGGAGAGAAGAGTGAAGCAAAAACAGAAGGAGGCGAACAACAGACAAAGCCGTGAAGGTGATATGGGAATAGTTTGAGTTTTAATTATATTTGGTATCATGATTATGGAGAGAAAAAAGTACGGTTTATTCTTGGATCATCAAATCAATATGCATTTGCATCACTTGTATATAAGTTAATGGAGAAATGGTTTAGAAAACAAATCAAGAATCGTAGAGTAATTAAAGCAAGTACTGGAAGTTATTATAAAATAACATATTATTTTATTAAGCTAATCTATAAACAAAAATTTGTCGCATCATGGAAATAGGACAATTTACCATCATCTATTACCTTAAGTAAAGATTACTCAATTGTCAAAATGCATTCAACCTATTTCATAACGCTATTACTCTAAGAAACCGAAACGAAAATTTTACTGTGACTAATCTGTTAAAAAAGTCAGCAAAATTTTAGCTGATACGTATAACATCCAGTTATATCAAATAACGAATAACCAGACCCATACTAGGTTTCTAAGAAGAGTGGCCCCCGAAAGAACCCCCTTCTATAGTGTATTTGTTATATATCTTTATATGAGATAGTATAACCACTACTGATGATGGTTTTATTAAGAAAAAGGGAGTTTGCAGAGGGAAATCCGTTGAATTTATACTCGTTGGAAAATTGCAATTTTTTTTCTCGTTGCCCAGGTGATCGGTGAAAAAAAATTTTGTTAGGGCTATTACGTAAGAATTTTGAAATCATAGCGTAATACTCTTCTAGTTTCAACTTATTAGTTGAATCTGGTTGATCAAGAACTATATCTGATCTCTTTTGAACAACTAGCACGTTTTCTCGAACTAGCTAGCCTTCAAATTGGAAAGTCCTTTGAAAAAACTAAAGTAATCAGTTAACTAGTACAAGATATTCTACAGATTGAAATAGTCAAGTTACTTTTTATTATACAGGTGATATAGCTATACACTCAGACCTTAGAAATGAATAAAGTCAGCATTGACCTCTAGGCCATCAGGACCTGTGGATCTGACACTTCCCTCGCCAAGGTCATCATCACTTTCACTATCATATAATTCAAACTTTGACGCATCTTCTTCAATTTCTGATTTTTGGATTCTTGGATCACCATGTAAGTTATCCAATTTTGTCAGATTTGGTAACTGATAATAATCAGGATTCAATGTGTTGAACAACAATTTGGCATCTAAGTTATCCTTTTCTGAATGAGTTAATTTACAATTCTTACCTCTTGGACATTCTTTTGATAATTGAAAATCTGGACATTCAAAACTATGAGTAAATTTACAATTCTTACCTCTGAAGCAATATCCACCGATAGAAAATGGACGACACACCAACTCCAACTCAGGTTCAACATGTAAAAACAAACATTGAGGATTCTTACACCCTCCCCTTGCGAAAAAATGACATAATGGAACATTGAATTCGTTAGGTTCATGAGATAGGGCACAGTCACCATGACATCTTCCTCTGATGTAGTTTTTGCAAAGCGCAACCTTGGTTGAATTATGTGTATATTTGCACTTTGTTCCTCTTGAACAAACACCTAAAATGATATTAGTTAACATTTCAGTAAATTATATGAACCAGGATACTCACCTGTTTTTTGGAAATAACGACATTGTTCTTTCAGGAAGCTAAAATTCTGTTAGTAATAATACCTCAGAAGAAAACTAAAAGTAACGTACACTTTTGTGTTGACCAGTTTCAAATTACCAGTCTTCAGTCTCTGATACTGATATCCATTCCAGTTGATTCTTCTTGGCTTAATCCCACTTGGAATATCCAACAACACCAATCTTGCCCCATATCTTGAAATTGAATATAAATCACCATCAATAATACAACGATCACATAAATCCAAACGCACTCTATTTTTTGAAGCTCTAGTTTCCAATTTTTTCATTGTTATTTTAAATTGTGCCTCTTTAAGTTTCTCAACTTTCTCCTCTTTACTTAGGTTCTTCTCTTGTAGTTCCTTCTCATATATTGATTTGTTGATAAGTTTGCGACCATTTGAAGAAACTGTTGAGACGAATTCAGAATCACTGTTGGTGTTATTATTCACAACAAGTGTTCTGTTTCTTATTGGGAAGCCTCCTCTTGCTCCTCTAAATGATCCGCGCCCTCTTCCTCTAAAAGAACCTCCCCTGGTGGAATAGTTGGCCTCATAAGGTTTACTTGATGTGATATCTTTGGGTTCAGCTTTGTAAGTGTTGATGGCACCTAAGAAAATGTTAATTCTGTTTCATTCCACCTGAACAACTTGAGAAACTCACCTCGCAGCTTAGATATTTGATCTAAAAGATTTGAATCACCCATTTTCTGAAGAACTGTCGTACTATCACTATTTGTTTTTGGTGATTTCAAAAGGAAAAAGCTCAATCGAAATGCTTCATCAACACTTTTCGCGAAAATGCTGATTACACAAGAATTTTTGCCTTCAGAAATTGTTCTTAAAGCCCATATTGAACGAAATTACAGAAAGAGACTCTAAAATGGATCTCAAATCAAGCTCAATAAAGGATTTGAAAGATTTGCTACCGATTGACGATGAGTCGCTTGGTCAAATGGTGGATAATGCCTTAAGTTTAGCATCACAAACTGCAATCACAGAATATTGGCTCGGACTACTAGGTGAATCTCCAGATGCTCTTGATTTCATTGGTAAATTCACTTCAAGATTGACTAAACCTTCTGCTCCTACTCAAAAGCCCAAATTCCAATCAGTGGAAAGAACACCATCACCATCAGGTAGCAATAGTGGTCGAAACGTAAAGAACCCATGGAATCAACCAGTTGCAGAAAAACAAAAACTGATAAACAAACCAAGATTAGCAAAGAATGTCAATACAACCACTTCTCAACTTTTAGATAAGCCACAGGAGAAACCTTCAAAACAAAGTGCTAAGCGTGACAAGCAGAGGAAAGTTGATAATTTAAAAGATCTTGATGAGATTTTAAAGCAATTAGAAATATCAGATGGGATCAATACTGATGAGAAAGTCGTCTGTAACTGTATGGCTACAAGACATCCATTATTTGAAGCTGCTCCTAATTGTTTAAATTGTGGGAAGATCATTTGTGTTAAAGAAGGTTATAGGCCTTGTAGTTTTTGTGGTAAAGAATTGATTAGTTCTCAAGAGAAGCAACAAATTATTTCAATGTTGAAGAATGAAAAAAATCAATTGGAATCACCATCCAAAACACCTGAACCACCATTGGTGGCAAAGACTAAGAAAAAGAAAATAACTGTTGGTTCGGGTGCTGGTGTCAACCTGTGGACCCAACAAGAGGCATTATTCAAAAAACTGGAGGCTGAAGATTTGAAAAGAGCTGAATTGCAAAAGAAGCTACAAAAAGAAGCTAAGGAACGTGAGGAACAGAATCGAGAACTAGATTTTTATAATAGTCAGAAGGGAATTGATCCTGATTTATTAAATGCACAAAAGAATCTGGAGAATTTGTTGAATTTTCAAGCAAATAGTGCAGAAAGAACTAAAATCATTGACCAAGCTTCAGATTTTGAAATACCCACAGGTTCAAATCTGAATATGTGGTCAAGTAGTGTTGAAAAAGCGTTGCAATTAAAGAAACAACAGAAGCAAATGCGTAAACTTGAAAAGAAGCAAAAGGAACTGACAGGGAGAGGTAAAAAAGTTATGGATATGAGTATTGGGAAAGATGGGAAAGTTGTTCTTCGAGAACGTAAAGGTGAAGATCATGATAGTGAAGATGATGAAGCTGATGAAGAGATTAAAAAATTGGAGCAAGACCTTCAACAAACTAAGGATAAAAAGAATGAAGAAGCTTTTCAAAATGTTTGGGATTTTGAAAAAGATAAATCTAAATGGTCCAAACCAACATATACAGGGACTGAAGTTCAAGATGAAGGAAGTACAAAAGATGATGAATTGAAATCCTCGAAATGGGAAAGAGTTCAATTACCTGGTGAGACTGGTGATTTAGAGGAAATACTAGTGGGATTATGAACACAATGAGGGGTGGTGAAGCTCATGTCGAGCTTGCTGAATTACATTTGAAAGAGAGGTATGGCTCTAGAGTTGTCTTAGCTTTAATTGAGTCTACAGGCGTTCGAACAGCCTTTCTTTATATGTTGATCATAAATAGAACTAGATCATATAATACATCATTAAATTGTAATCTTTCGACACTAGTTTATCCACAAAGATTTTATTGGTACGAAATAATTAACTACAAGTATCTTTCATAAAATAGAATCAAATTTCCTTTCATGGCAATATACAACAACTTGTGGAGTTTATTGTTGACATATTACTTGAAATTCAATAGTCGTGGGCATCCAAAGTCGATTAATGACTATGTGCTATGGTATTTGTTTGTGGTGAAATTTTGCTGCTTAATATACAGTTTTGAGGTGCCACTCAGGAAAATGTAGATATAATGTACTAAACATAAATGTATCCTCTATTGCTGAAGGATCTTGTAGAAGCAGTGGTGTAGTATTATGATGAGCATTTAGCATTGGTGGCACACTTTGAAGTTGCAATCGGATAGCATAATAGGAGGCATTAGCACAAATATGTCTTTGTCCTAATATCTAGTCCTCCTATCAGCAATATTTCCCATCCGCATATCCTGTCCTACTTCCCGAAGGTGCTGAGGGCTGACAACAATTTAATTATTAAGGTGCTAACAGACCACCAGCCATTGTCCGAGTCAAGACTTGTGGGATATCGTTTTAAAATTAAGAAGAAAGGATTTCAATTTGATGAAAATTCTGTTTTTTTTTCTCCTTGGACCTTCGTCGAGTGGTGGTGTCCTGATGTTTTCCCCAGATGATTCGCGGAAGATCCCGTTTACGTTTTTGCCTTTCATAACGCTGGGTTCTTCTCAGGTTATCCGGTCTCAAGTACTAGCCCAAACAAGACAGGTAGTTACACAGCAATTATTTTGAAATCAAATATTTTGAGATAAATCCAAACCCTGTGGCTCTATATAGCTTAGTAAGTAATTAGAAAATACAGGTATATTTTTGTAAAAAAAAAAAAACCAGACTGTTTTTTTCTTTCCTTCAAACAACAACAACAAAACAGTTGAAACGTCAGGTCAATGGCGCCAATATGACAAAGAAACTGCCCTTGAACGAACGGTTGAACAGGAAGCCGATATCCAGAGCATGCAAGTTCTGCCACCAGAAGCATCTACAGTGCGACCAAGGTGAGTCTATAAACAATTACCATCTCAATTCAGTATTAACACATCAAAAGGACGGCCTTGTAAGAATTGTACTAAAAGAGGTATAGCTCATGAGTGTCAAGACGTGGAAAGGAAAAGAGCCAAGTATCTTTCAGATGAACAATCCAAAGGTGAAAAATCAACAAGAAAGAGGAATCATTCTTCATCTTCATCCTCAGAGACACCAGATGTTACTTCAAGAAGAACTTCATCAGTCGCTGTGAATGATGCCAAATTCCAACCAATACTACCAAATGTTGGTGATACCAACCATAAGTCATTGTTCCCCAATACTACATCACCTCCAATGAAAACTAACACCTCAACAACAACAATTGATCCAACACGAAGCACAGCATCTCCACAAATAACGCGACTCATTAATGAATCACATTCTGATTCACCTCATCAACAAGATGTATTCTCATCATTGTTTGCCAATCAAGAATATACCCAATTGACAGACATTCTGGATAAAGAAGGAGGGGCAGAAACCCCTGCAAGCTCAGGAAGTAATGCTCCTGTTTATAACACTGAGTTTCAAACCTCGTTCCAATCAGATAACAACACAAGACCTTATATTTCCCTAAGTGATAATTCTACAGGGACAGGCTCAATCCATCATCTACCACTAGTTGATTCAAATGATCGAGATTACACATCACCTTTGATAATCAGACATATGATTAAAATTCCTGAGGATGTTTATACAACACAAATTCAATCTTATAATTATCCCAAGGCATATCATGCCCTACTAAACTATTTGAAAACGAGGTTTACTAAAGAACAACTGATCAAGATTGCAGAATTCATGGCTGATTATAGACCAAGTTTCATTGCAGCTACAAGATCTTTAGTAGAGATGGATCTATTATTTGCCGAAAGATCATTTCAAAGATCCTTATTAGAATATGAATCAATGTCGAGTCTAAGTTCATCACCAACAATTATGTGGAGAAGAACAGGTGAAATAGTTGCAGTTAGCACTGAGTTTTCTTCATTAACTTCTCATACAAAGACTCAACTCTTATCGAAAAGAACATTTATCATTGAGTTGATGAATGATTCTTCTGCATTAGACTATTTCAAACTGTTTAGTTCGGTGGCATTTGGTGATTTGAATGGTGTTATAATCACAGAATGTACATTATTGAGCCCCAATGGTGAACCTATTAGATGTGCATCAACTTGGACCGTTAAAAGAGATGTGTTTGACATACCGATGTTGATTGTTGGGCAATTTTTACCTATTTTGCAAGTAAGATGATCTCAAGAAGCTGTTATTTTTAATCATACTCTTTGTAGTTTTTCATACCAAATTTCAATGTCTTTTTCTGAATGTTTTTGATAGTCTTTGGCCTAGCCTTCAAAGTTTATACCATTGGTACACGCCGCACCTAAAAAAAAAAATTTCTTTTCTCCAAAATTTTCAAAGATCTATAAACATTGAAAAACTTCAATCTTTTCTCATTCTTATTCCAATTTCCAATTGATCAATTTCAAGTTCAGTTATCATTTATAATTTCCCAAGATGGCTTCAGACTCAGCTACAGACAAGGCTTCATTGCCATTCTCAGAACAACATTATTTCAGTTCTTATGATCATTTCGGTATTCATGAAGAAATGTTAAAAGATCAAGTTAGAACACTAAGTTATAGACAGGCAATTTTGAAAAACAAATCATTATTTAAAGATAAAATTGTCTTAGATGTTGGTTGTGGTACTGGTATCTTATCATTATTCGCTGCCCAAGCTGGTGCAAAACATGTTATTGCCGTTGATATGTCAAATATTATTGAAATGGCTCAAAAAATTGTCGATTTAAATGGTTATAGTGATAAAATTACTTTAGTTAGAGGGAAATTAGAAGATGTTAAATTACCTTATCCTGAAGTTGATATCATTATTAGTGAATGGATGGGTTATTTCTTATTATATGAAAGTATGTTGGATACTGTTTTATATGCAAGAGATCATTTTTTGAAAAAAGGTGGATTAATCTTCCCAGATAAAGCTACTATGAGAATTGCAGCCATTGAAGATGGTCATTATAAAGATGATAAAATTCATTATTGGGAAAATGTTTATGGATTTGATTATAGTCCTTTCATCGACATTGCTATGTGTGAACCATTAGTTGATATTGTGGAAAATACTGCAGTTGCCACTACAAGTGCCTTATTAACTGAAATCGATATCAACACTGTCAAGATTGAAGATTTAGCATTTTTCACAAAATTCAAATTAAAAGCTGTTAGAGATGATCAAATTCATGGATTAGTTGCATGGTTTGATATTTGGTTCCCATGTGATGAAGAGAAAAACAGAGTTTATTTCTCAACTGGTCCACATGCCAATTATACTCATTGGAAACAAACTGTTGTTTATTTAGATCAAGTTTTAGATGTTAAAAAAGATGAAGAAATTGAATTCACTTTAGCTAATAGACCAAATGCTGTTAATCCAAGAGAATTAGATATTGAAGTTAATTGGGATCTCAAAGTTGATGATGAATATAGATCAACAAAGGGTAAATACAACTACTTCATGCGTTAAGAGATTAATCTTGACAATATTATTAGCTATAGATCATGTACCATATTATTTACCAAGTGTTTTTTTGCATAAATGTTTGTATATTAGTGAGATTTTTAAAGATTACTTTATTTTATTACGGCTAGAAGAAATAAAGCTGTAGATTTCGAAACTTTAGTTTATTGTCCTATCTTCCTTCAACCCATTTCCCATGAAACCTTGTGTTAAATTCCCTTGTTTATCTATTGTGTCAAAGATGTACCCAAATATTTGTATGGTGATTACTCAGCATTCATAGCCAACTTACATAATAATTTGATTGTCAACAAATTTTTGTTTTCTCAAGACAAGATGAAATTTTTCAACAAATTTTGAGCCAAAGAAAATAGAGAAAACAATTGGATGAATAGGAAACGGTTCTACGATGGTGACGGAATAGTGTTTATGTCTGTGTACTCTGCCCTTTAGGCTGTTTGTAGCACCGTTTCCAACGCTTTCAAAAGCTGCTTGTTTCGATACGTAAAAGACTTACGTCAACTCCCAAACAGTCTTGTTGGGCCCTCAGCACTATCAACAAACAGGGTAAACCCAACACCAGGAACAAAGACAAGTACGTTTTAGATCCAGTGTGTATGGGCAGCTCAAATCAAATAAAACACAGGCGATTCCTCTTTTTCTACATAATCTGATTCGATTGTTCCTTACTACAGACTATTGACTTGGTACAATTGATACAAATTCCCTTTGAAATAAGAATAATATACTACCCACACCCACACTCATATTAGAATTATATTCAAAAGGCCGTTTTTTTCAATCCACAACTAAATTACTGTCAATTTTTTCAATAGATCGAAAAGTTAATATTAGCAGGATTACAGCTAATACGGTGAGTACAAAACAAGCACAAAGAAAGAGAGAAGAAGAATTTCAATCCAATTCTTCCCAATTGACCTATAATCTTACAAATTTCACTTCATAAATCAATTTTTTGGCTTCAATTAAGCTCATCTCTGGGATGAAAAAAAAATCCCCTTTGGCGTTGGTCTGTTGCGGTGCGTACCGTGTTTTCATGTTGTTGGGAAGTGAGCTTAGACCGTTGAACAAAAAAATAGAGAGAACTTAATAATGGAGAATTTGATCTTGAAGAAGCAAAAGCTGAAGTGGAAGAGATTGATTAGTTGAAAATTTGGAAGGAAATTATAGTGTTTTTTTGATTCTCTTTTATTGTGTGTTTCTTTCTTTGCATTCAGCTAACATTTTATCCAGTATTTATTCCTCTAGACCCATTTTTAACACTTTTAAATCTTATTGCCCAATAGGGCCCATAATATCCAAAAGATCATTATTATTTAAAAGTGCTAGATTATTATCATATTCATCCTCATTTCAATCAATTTCCAATCATAACAATATCCACATTAATAATAAGAATTTGAACAAAATGAGTGAAGAAAATTTGAGCGAAGTTGCAGCTCCTCAAACTACAACAAACATTCCAGATTTCTCAGCTCTTCATAAATCGATACCTCAACATTTCATAGGTTTAAACACTTTGGAAGTTGCTGAAGAAGGTCCAGTCAAGGATTTCGTTAGAGAACATGGTGGTCACACTGTGATTTCAAAAGTTTTAATTGCCAACAATGGTATTGCCGCTGTTAAAGAGATCAGATCAGTTAGAAAATGGTCATATGAAACTTTTGGTAATGAAAGAGCTATTCAATTTGTTGCAATGGCTACTCCAGAAGATTTGGAAGCTAATTCTGAATATATCCGTATGGCGGATCAATATGTTGAAGTCCCAGGTGGTACAAACAATAACAATTATGCCAATGTTGATTTGATTGTTGAAATTGCTGAAAGAACAGAAGTTGATGCTGTTTGGGCAGGTTGGGGTCATGCTTCTGAAAACCCATTATTACCAGAACAATTGGCTGCTTCTAAAAGAAAGATTTTATTCATTGGTCCTCCAGGTTCTGCTATGAGATCTTTAGGTGATAAGATTTCTTCCACTATCGTTGCACAACATGCAGATGTTCCTTGTATTCCATGGTCAGGTACTGGTGTTAAAGATGTTGAATTGGATCCAAAGACTAACTTGGTTTCTGTTAATGACACCATTTATGCTAAAGGTTGTGTTAACTCACCTCAAGAAGGTTTGGAAGCTGCAAGAAAAATTGGTTTCCCAGTCATGATTAAAGCCTCAGAAGGTGGTGGTGGTAAAGGTATTAGAAAAGTTGAAGATGAAAAAGATTTCGTTTCCTTATATCATCAAGCTGCTAATGAAATTCCAGGTTCTCCAATTTTCATCATGAAATTGGCTGGTAATGCAAGACATTTGGAAGTTCAATTATTAGCTGATCAATACGGTAAAAACATTTCCTTATTTGGTCGTGATTGTTCAGTTCAAAGACGTCATCAAAAAATCATTGAAGAAGCACCTGTAACCATTGCTAGAAATGATACTTTTGGTGAAATGGAAAAAGCTGCAGTCAGATTAGGTAAATTGGTTGGTTACGTTTCAGCAGGTACTGTGGAATATCTATATTCTCATTCAGATGATAAATTTTACTTTTTAGAATTAAATCCAAGATTACAAGTTGAACATCCAACAACTGAAATGGTTACCGGTGTTAATTTACCATCTGCTCAATTACAAATTGCCATGGGTATTCCAATGCATAGAATTAGAGATATTAGATTATACTATGGTGTTGATCCTCATACTTCAACTGACATTGATTTCAACTTTGAAAATGAAGGTTCTTTAACTTCACAAAGAAGACCAGTTCCAAAAGGTCATTGTACAGCTTGTCGTATCACTTCAGAAGATCCAGGTGAAGGTTTCAAACCATCTGGTGGTTCTTTACATGATTTAAACTTCAGATCTTCTTCAAATGTTTGGGGTTATTTCTCCGTTAGTAACCAAGGTGGTATTCATTCATTTTCAGATTCTCAATTTGGTCATATCTTTGCCTTTGGTGAAAACAGACAAGCTTCAAGAAAACATATGGTTGTTGCCTTGAAAGAATTATCAATTAGAGGTGACTTCAAAACTACTGTTGAATATTTGATCAAATTATTGGAAACTTCGGATTTTGAAGATAATACCATCACCACTGGTTGGTTAGATGAATTGATTTCAAAGAAATTAACTGCTGAAAGACCAGATCCTAATGTTGCAGTCTTGTGTGGTGCTGTCACCAAAGCTCATATCATTTCTGAAGAAGCTCGTCAACAATATATTTCTTCATTAGAAAAAGGTCAAGTTTCTTCAAAAGATTTATTGAAAACCATTTATCCAATTGATTTCATCTATGAAGGTTACAAATATAAATTCACTGCTGCTAAATCTGCTAATGAAACTTATACTTTATTCATCAATGGTTCAAAAGTTGAAGTTGGTGCTAAACCTTTATCTGATGGTTCTTTATTGGTTGCATTGGGTGGTAAATCACATACTGTTTACTGGAAGGAACAAGTTGGTGCAACAAGATTATCTGTTGATTCTAAAACTTGTTTATTAGAGGTTGAAAATGATCCAACTCAACTACGTACTCCATCCCCAGGTAAATTGGTTAAGTATTTAGTTGAAAATGGTGAACATGTCAATGCTGGTCAACCATATGCAGAAGTTGAAGTTATGAAGATGTGTATGCCTTTGATTGCTCAAGAAAATGGTATTGTTCAATTAGTTAAACAACCAGGTTCAAATGTTCAAGCAGGTGATATCTTGGCTATCTTGGCTTTGGATGATCCATCAAAAGTTAAACATGCTCTACCATTTGAAGGTATTATGCCACAATTTGGTGCTCCAACTGTTCAAGGTACTAAACCTGCTTATAAGTTTAAATCATTGGTATCAACTTTACAACATACATTGGGTGGTTATGATAACCAAGTTGTTATGAATGCTACTTTACAAAACTTGATTGAAATCTTGAGAGATCCATCTTTACCATACTCTGAATGGAACCAACAAGTTTCTGCATTGCATTCAAGATTACCACAAAAATTAGATTCTGATTTATCAAGTTTGATTAGTCGCTCTGAACAACGTTCTGCACCATTCCCAGCTAGACAATTGACTAAATTATTGGAAAAAGCTGCTACTGCACCAGAAGTTGATGGATTATTTGGTCAAGTTATTGCACCATTATTAGATATCACTCAACGTTTTTCTAATGGTTTGGAAGCTCATGAACATTCAGTCTTTGCCTCATTATTGAATGAGTATTACAACGTTGAAAGTTTATTCACTGGTCCAAACAACAGAGAAGAAGATGTTATTTTGAAACTACGTGATGAGAATAAAAATGATTTATCCAAAGTTGTTGCTACTGTCTTGTCCCATTCAAGAGTTTCATCTAAAAACAATTTAATTTTAGCCATTTTGAAACATTACCAACCATTATGTCAACAAAACTCAGAAGTTGCCGATGCATTACGTTCTTCTTTGAAACAAATTGTTGAATTGGAATCAAGAGCTACTGCTAAAGTTTCATTAAAAGCTAGAGAAATATTGATTCAATGTGCTTTGCCATCAATTAAAGAAAGATCTGATCAATTGGAACATATTTTGAAATCATCTGTTACACAAACACGTTATGGTGAAATTGGTGCTAGTCATCGTGAGCCTCAATTGGAAGTTTTGAAAGATGTTATTGATTCCAAATATGTGGTTTTCGATGTGTTGACTCAATTCTTGGTTCATCCAGATCCTTTCGTTGCATCTGCAGCTGCTGAAGTTTACATTCGTCGTGCTTATCGTGCTTATAATGTCATTGGTAGCTTAGTTTATCACACAACAAATGACTTGCCAATTGTTGAATGGAAATTCCAATTACCATCATTGTCCACTGCTGCTTATAATGCTGTTCCTCAATCAAAGAACTTGTTGGGTAAATCACCAATGGGTAGAGCTGTCTCGGTTTCTGATTTAACATTCATTTCAACTGATGATTCTCAACCATTAAGAACTGGTATCTTGGTCCCAGCTAATCATTTAGATGACGTTGAAGATGCTTTGGTTAGAGGTTTAGAAAAGATTCCACATCGTCATTCAAGCGTTTCTGAATCTCGTGGTCCTGCTCCAGATAGATCAAATCCTCAAACAAATGCTGTTTTATCAAATATTGCTAGTGTTGTTGTTGCAAACGCTGATGGTTTTGAATCTGAAGCTGAAATCTTGGCTAAATTAAATGAGATCTTGGCTGAAACTAAAGAAGAGTTAGTTGCTACTTCTATTCGTCGTATTACTTTCATCTTTGGTTCTACTGATGGTTCTTATCCAAAATACTACACATTCAGAGGTCCAAACTATGAAGAAGATGAAACTATTCGTCATATTGAACCAGCTTTGGCTTTCCAATTGGAATTAGGAAGATTATCAAATTTCCACATCAAACCAGTATTCACTGATAACAGAAACTTGCATGTTTATGAAGCTGTTGGTAAGAACTCTGCTGTTGATAAAAGATTCTTTACAAGAGGTATTATCAGAACTGGTCGTATTCGTGATGATATCACAATTCAAGAATACTTGACTTCAGAAGCTAATAGATTGATGTCTGATATTTTGGATGCTTTAGAAGTTATTGATACTTCCAACTCTGATTTGAACCATATTTTCATCAACTTCTCTGCGGTTTTCAATGTTTTACCTGAAGATGTTGAAGCTGCTTTTGGTGGATTCTTGGAAAGATTTGGTAGAAGATTATGGAGACTACGTGTTGCTGCTGCTGAAATTAGAATCATGTGTAACGATCCAAAGACTGGTGTTCCATTTCCATTGAGAGCTATGATTAACAATGTTTCTGGTTACGTTATTAAATCAGAATTATACATTGAAGTTAAAAACAGTCAAGGTGATTGGGTTTTCAAATCAATTGGTACCCCAGGTTCTATGCACTTGAGACCAATTTCAACACCATATCCAGCAAAAGAATGGTTACAACCAAAACGTTACAAAGCGCATTTGATGGGTACAACATATGTCTATGATTTCCCAGAATTGTTCCGTCAATCTACTTTGGCACAATGGAAGAAATATGCACCAGATGCTAAAGTTCCAGATGATTTCTTCAACTCTGTTGAATTAATTCTAGATGATAGTGATGATGTTACTGAAATTCAACGTGAACCAGGTGCTAATAACATTGGTATGGTTGCTTTCAAAGTTATTGTCAAGACTCCAGAATATCCTCGTGGTCGTCAAATTATTATTGTTGCCAATGATATTACTTATAAGATTGGTTCATTTGGTCCTCAAGAAGATTATTTCTTCAACAAGATTACTGAATTGGCTAGAAAATTAGGTATTCCAAGAATTTACTTGTCTGCTAACTCTGGTGCAAGAATTGGTATTGCTGAGGAATTAGTACCATTGTATCAAGTTGCTTGGAATGAACCTGGTAACCCAGAAAAAGGTTTCCAATATTTGTACTTAACTCAAGGAGGTCTTGATGAATTGGCCAAGAATGAAAATAGTAAGAGTGTTGTCACTGAAAGAATTGTTGAAGAAGGTGAAGTTAGACATGTCATCAAAGCTATCATTGGTGCCGAAGACGGTTTAGGTGTTGAATGTTTGAGAGGTTCTGGTTTGATTGCTGGTGCCACATCAAAGGCTTACAAGGATATTTTCACCATCACTTTGGTCACTTGTAGATCAGTTGGTATCGGTGCTTACTTGGTCAGATTGGGTCAAAGAGCTATTCAAGTTGAAGGTCAACCAATTATTTTAACTGGTGCTCCTGCTATCAACAAGTTGTTGGGTAGAGAAGTTTATTCTTCAAACTTACAATTAGGTGGTACACAAATCATGTACAGAAATGGTGTTTCCCATTTGACTGCATCAGATGATTTGGCTGGTGTTGAACAAATTATGAACTGGTTATCATATGTCCCAGCTAAACGTAACATGCCAGTTCCAATCTTGGAATCACAAGAAGATTCATGGGATAGAGATGTTGACTATGCTCCAAAACGTGGTGAACCATATGATGTTAGATGGATGATTGCAGGTCGTCAAGGCGAAGATGGTTCTTTCGAATCTGGTTTATTTGATAAGAACTCATTCCAAGAAACTTTATCAGGATGGGCCAAAGGTGTTGTTGTTGGTAGAGCTCGTCTTGGTGGTATTCCATTTGGTGTTATCGGTGTTGAAACTCAAACCGTTGAAAACTTGATTCCAGCTGATCCAGCAAATCCAGATTCTACTGAAGTTTTAGTTCAAGAAGCTGGTCAAGTTTGGTATCCAAATTCTGCTTTCAAAACTGCTCAGGCTATTAATGATTTCAACAATGGTGAACAATTACCATTAATGATTCTTGCAAACTGGAGAGGTTTCTCTGGTGGTCAACGTGACATGTACAATGAAGTTTTGAAATATGGTTCATTCATTGTTGATGCTTTAGTTGATTTCAAACAACCAATTATCACTTACATTCCTCCAACTGGTGAATTAAGAGGTGGTTCATGGGTCGTTGTTGATCCAACCATCAATGCTGATATGATGGAAATGTATGCTGATGTTGAATCTAGAGCTGGTGTTTTGGAACCAGAAGGTATGGTTGGTATTAAATACAGACGTGAAAAATTATTAGCTACCATGGCCAGATTAGATAAAACTTATGGTGATTTGAAGAGACAATTAGGTGATTCATCATTATCTGCTGAAGAACATTCTGCTATTTCTGCTAAATTAGCTGCTCGTGAACGTGCCTTATTACCAATTTATCAACAAATTTCTGTTCAATTTGCTGACTTACATGATAGATCAGGCCGTATGGTGGCTAAAGAAACTATTCGTAAAGAATTGGAGTGGGTTAATGCTCGTCGTTTCTTCTTCTGGAGAATCCGTCGTCGTTTGAATGAAGAATATTTAATCAAACGTATTGGTGAAGAATTAAAACATGCTACTAGAATTGAAAAAGTTGCTAGATTAAGATCATGGTATCCATCTACTGTTGATTTTGAAGATGATAGAGCTGTTGCAACATGGATTGAAGAGAACCATGAACAACTAGATTTATCTGTTAAACAATTGAAAGATGAAGCATTTGCTCAAAACATTGCTCAATTGATTAGAACTAACCATGATTCTGCTATTAGTGGGTTAGCTGAGGTTATTGGTTTACTTTCTACTGAAGATAAAGAAAAGATCTTAAAAAATTTGAAATGAGGTGATGTTTAAAGAGGTAAATGGGCTAGTGGGTATCCTGTTTTGTTCCTCCAATTATAATTCATGTATCTAGTTTAATATTTGTTAATTCTTTTCTTTTATTTATGAACCTTTCTTGTTTAATATGGATGATATTTGTGTACTTTTAATATAGTTTACTGATTTGTTATAACAGGCCATGAGCTGGTAGGATTAGTAGTACGCTATACGTTAGATATAATCAGGGCCTTGAGGCCCTCGTTTTTGAAAGTTGGCTTCGTTGGGAATCGGAACAATTTTTTTTGTTTTTCTGATCCGAGGTCCCGAGTGTGTGGTGCACACCAACTATGGTTCGAACGTCGAACTGTAATGAGAAAATTGAATTGTTTGTATTTATGTACTTTTGTTGTTTAGAAGATTATCTTTATTCACTTATAACTTTATTGCAATTGTATTCCAATTAATACTAATTGATTATACTATCAGAGAAGCTAGTTGAGCCTAAACACCTTTGATTATCTTACTCTACAACTAAGCCTAAACACCATTAGTCGTCTTGATAAACAGTCAGTTATTATTTCACATTACAATCTACAAATCCAGTTATAACAAACTTATCAAATTCGTCTTTGTGATCACGTTTCGAACCATAGTTGGTGTGCACCACACACGAGTTCATTTTCTATTATATAAGGACTACAATGTACAATAAGTGGCCTTCCTTCTATAAATTGGCTTGATTAAGGCAGCTGCTGGTAATACTTTGCACAACAAATATTGTGATATTGTGGTGAATATAGTACCGCTAAATAATCAAATGATGGAGTTGGCACCACTAGATGAATCTAGGTTGGGCTGGATAGTGACTTTTGTAAGCTTTCTGATAACTTACACTGCAATACGTATCTTCAAGTTTGACCAGATGGTTCTTCAATGGCTAAATCAACGCTTTCCTTGAAATGAATATGGTGATGAAATCGTTAATGCTGGTCGGTAATTAAGGATTCGCCCGATCACGATTAATGATTGGATACTTTAATACATCTTCATGTGCAGCCAATATTAAAGAAACTAGTGTTAATTGGTTGTAACTTGTCATGTACTACTCAGCTGATTTCTATTGTTAGGTAGAGGGAATGAGGATATTCACATAGAAGTGTTGTATTGGAATCAGGCGCTTGAATTGTTAATATAATAGTAATACTTTGAAATTGCAAGGTGTAACCTTGGGAGTCTCGACGTCTCTTGACTGGATCTGCTGGTAGCCATGAGATACCGAATGCTCTTCGAGGTACCTCGACCCGTAATTAATCCAAGTCATGTCAGCCATTTTCAAATACACACATGGTTAGTTAGCCAAGCAGGCCACTTTGTCAGCCTATACTAGTTTTTTGTAAACGCCTGTCATAAATTGACCATAGGCAGCTAGACAGCTTCTTTCGACATTAATTTTGATCTAGTTCTGCTGATCTCAGATTTTTATAGACATCATTGTAGTGTTAAAAATATGTGTACAGGGTACAGGGGTTAATAATAACCTAATTGAAAGTTACAGGTACCTAATTCGGATCTCGTAATATATACGGTCGCCTGTTATACTTATGTGTTGAGACATATTGCGCTTCTCACTCGTATGTATTTGGTGTTGCCTCATGAAAAAGTTTAGCAGGGGAACATACCTAATCATTGGCCAGGATTCAAAGCCAGTGCAATATAGTAATTCTATTTAAGGGGCCTTAATCTCCCTTTTTCTCAAAGCTATATTGGTATTTTGAGGTCACTAGTGCAGTAAAATTTGTTTCTTATGTCATTAGCTGCCATTGAAGCTGGTTACAGTAAAGCCGCCATTGCGGCTTACTATAAGAAAGTTAAAGCCCGGTACAGAAACTTTCTTGGCTTTGTTATCATGTCAATTATTTTCTTAGCAATTTCATCAATCTTATACTTTAGATATTACAACAATACGGCCAACCCTCTTGATGCGCTTTTGCCTTCCAAAAGAGTCGAAGGAACTGTCAGCACTTACCTTTACAAGAGAAACAACTGGATATGGGTTGCTAGAAGAGGTGTCACAGGTGCTTTGATAGCTGTTGCTGGTATTTCTGGTCAAATGGCAGCAACAGCTTGTCTTGGTGGACTAGCAGCTTTGGCTAGCCCTGCTTGTTGGATTACTGCTGCTGTTTCAATTGTTGCTTCTGCTGCTGCTTATATTGCTGCTGGTTCCAATGGGGGATCTGATAGTGGTGGTGGTGGTGAACACAAGAGGTCTATTGGTGGGTCAGAATATCTGTTTTGGGACAACCCTGAGCATGTCGAATATGACTCTGTTTCAAGAATACTGGAAAGTGCAAGCTTGGAACTCTTATCCATATATACTTATAATGGCAGCTCTACTTTGAGTAAAAGGGATGAGGAGGCTTTCCAACTTCACACTGTCCATTGGAAGAGCTCTTATGGAAGCCATGTTGCTGCAAGAATTCCTGACTCCAATTTGACACAATTAGCTGTTGACATTGTTAGTGCTGATATAGGTAGCCAGCCAGCTCTTTCTTCTTCCACTAATCAATCCTCAACTCATTTGAACAAACGCTGGAATTACTTTGATGTTCAATGGACAAGTTATACTTATGATAACGTCAATAGAGATCTTGCCAAAAAAGTTGCGAGCGATAGAAATTTTGAAGAGCTTGATTATGATTCAGAGGTTTATAACTTCTTTGACAACAACCCTGGTTGGAAATATTGCATCACACCAACCGTCAACCCACATCCTGGACAAGATGAAGGGTACGACCAAATTGGTGATGATAATGCGTTCCATGGAGAGCTGTATTTCAATACTTATGGTGGTATTGATGGCTTCTGCAATGACAACAAAGATGGTGCTCAGTGTAGTACTGACGGCTGTGGTGATTAGATACTATATAGCGTTTATAATGCAGCTATTATTGATTATTATAGGTGATGTTGTAGCTTTTAAAACTCATCCAAACACCATTTGAATCAAAACTGTGGATCTGATTTCTCTACAAACATCAAATTCACAGAACTCGAGATTTGAAGAAGCGCTTGCTTGTCCTCAATTGTTTTCTTGGGGCTTACAGATGTTATAAAAGGGACCCAAGAACCCTACTATAGCAATATGATTCTGTTTTTGTACGATAAAAAGACCATTCAACAATGACAAATTCCCCTGATCTAAAGAAACGTAAAGTCAAGAAGCAGCTTATTCTGAGTGCTGCTAACGTCAATAACTCAAACTACGTATGGAGGGACCCAAAAGATACAGGTAGAGAGTTTGCTCATAGCCTTGAACCATGGATCGAATTTGCCAAACTTGCTGAAGAGGCAAAATTCCATAATGTGTTCTTTGTTGATCAATTGAGTTGGTTTGATGTATATGGAGGTGATTTCAATGCAAGTGCTAAACACGGTGTTCATGCTGCTAGAATAGATCCAGCAGCTGTTGCTACTGCAATTGCTTCTCATACTGAAAATGTCGGTATTGTTATCACTTTTAGTACCATCAGTGAGCATCCTTATCATTTTGCTAGAAGATTGGCTTCTTTAGATTTACTTACAAATGGTCGAGTCGGATGGAATATTGTATCATCATATTTGAAAAGCATGGGACCAAATCTTCTCAATGGTGAACCTTTCCCGGAACATGATGAGAGATATGTGAAAACTCGTGAATTTGTTGATGTTGTTTATAAGCTTTTATTATCATCTTGGAGAGAAGATGCTATAGTTTATGATAAAGAAAAAGGTATTTTTGCTGACCCAAAGGCCATTAGGGAGATTAATCATGAAGGCAAGTACTACAATGTCAAAGGTCCTTCAATAACTGAGCCTACTCCTCAAGGTTTCCCGTTGATTGTCCAAGCTGGCACTTCTGAAAAGGGGATTGATTTTGCTGCTGAAAATGCTGAATTGATTTTTGTTCCAATTCATAGTCCAAAATCTACAACTGAAAAGATTGCCAAAATCAGAAAGTTAGCTTCTCAGAAATATAAAAGGGATCCTCATTCTCTGAAATTCATTGCTCCATTAATCCCATTCTTGGGGAAGACTCATGAAGAAGCTGAACAAAAATTGGAGCATTCTTTGAAATATGAAGACCCCTACGATTCATTGATCTCACTTGGTGGTATGATTGGTATTGATCTTTCAGGCTTCGCTTTCGATGAACCTATTCAATTTGAAGGTGAGGGTACTGGTATTACTTCGATCACTAAGAATGTCTTTTTAAAACCGGATGGAACACCAAGAACACCTAGAGAAATTGCAACATTTTGGAGAAGTACAACTCGTGCTGTTGGGACAGGTGAAGAAGTTGCACAATACATTCAAAAGCTGGTTGAAGAAACAGATATCGATGGTATAAATTTTGTTTTCCCACAATTCCCAGATGGTTTCAGAGATGTGGTGGATATCCTAGTCCCAGAATTACAACGCTTAGGGCTGGCACAAAAAGAATATCCGGTTCCTGGGGGAACTTTTAGAGAGAATTTTTGGGGTGAGAAAGGACATGTCTTTTTGGATGAATCACATCCAGCTTTTAAACAAAAATGGGGAAAGGGATTCACAAAAGAGCAATTTGAGAAGCGTTTGAATGAGCATCTAAAGGTTGTCAATGAATATAGAGCCTAATTCATCAAGTACCCTACTACAGTATCATCAGCCTTTAAGTGTAGTTATTATGCATATCTCTCATTCACTCGGATCATCACAATGTACCGTCGCCAGTATTTGTCTAAGCGTCAGGAACCAGGCTTCTATTTTTGATGCTTCTCTGGCTAAAATCTAGCTCTATGGTTACTTAAGCACACATTAAATTCAATGTCACTTATTAAAATTGTTAATGTGGGTGGGAATAGGAAAAGCCCTGCTGAAAGTAGTACTTGGTGGGATCCTAAATTCACTTAAAAGCACCCTCATCACCAAACTTGGTAGTTGTTTATTGGCACGTATTCTGTCCTCTCCTTCTCATAAAAAAACTGTGGATTCAAAACACAAATCCTTAACAATTCATACTCAGATCAGTGCGCTTGTGAACCCAAATGGAGATACTGTATCGTGAACATGATACTATAGTAAGGATCTGGCAATATGGCTCTGCCAACACTGGTATAAAATGCAGTTGTCACCCACCCAAACAGCTCTGATTGTTAAATATTTCCAAAAGAACACCTGAATAATGACCAAATCACCACAATTGAAGAAACAAAAAGTTAAGAAGCAATTGATCCTTAGTGCTGCAACTGTTGGTACCTCCTCAAATAACTGGAGGAATCCAACTGATCAATCAAGAGAGTTCTCACATAGTTTAGAACCATGGATTGAATTTGCTAAGCTTGCTGAAAAAGCTAAATTCCACAACATCTTCTTTGTTGATCATCTAAGTTGGTATGATGTCTATGGTGGCGAATATAAGACCGCAGCTAAACATGGTGTTAATGCTACTAGAATTGATCCAGCTGCTCCAGTTCTTGCAATCGCCTCGCATACAAAAAACGTTGGTATTGCTGTTACTTTCAGTACTGTGAGTGAGCATCCGTATCATTTTGCAAGAAGATTGGCTAGTTTGGATTTACTTTCTGGTGGTAGAATTGCTTGGAATATTGTTTCGTCCTACTTGCCCAGTCTTGGTAAGAATTTGTTAAATGGGGGTCCATTACCTGAACATGATGAAAGATATGTCAAGACTACAGAATATTTGGATACCGTTTATGAGTTATTATTATCATCCTGGAGAGATGATGCGGTGGTCTATGATAAAGAAAGGGGGGTCTTTGCTGAGCCTGAGGCAATCAGAGAAATCAACCACGTTGGTAAGTACTTCAATGTTAAAGGACCTGCAATTACAGAACCTTCACCACAAAGATTCCCATTGATTGCACAAGCTGGTACTTCTTCGAAAGGTATTGATTTTGCTGCTGAAAATGCTGAACTTGTCTTTGTTAATTTACACAAGGCTGAACATACTACCAAGAGTATTGCTAAAATCAGAAAAGTTGCACATGAAAAATATGGTAGAGATCCTTATTCCATTAAGTTCATTGCACCTCTCACACCAATTACTGGAAAGACACATGAAGAAGCTCAAGCAAAATTTGATGAGTATAACAAATACGAAGATCCAATTGACTCATTAGTGTACTTTGGAGGAGTTTCTGGTATTGATGTTTCTGGTTTTGGTTTTGATGAGCCAGTTGTGTTTGAAGGAAAAAGTAATGGAATTACTTCAGCTACAGACAACACTTTGTACAAGCCAGATGGATCCAGAAGAACACCAAGAGAAATCTCAGAAATGTGGAGAGGCGGTACCACCGTCTTTGGTACTGGTAAAGAAATTGCTGAGTATATTCAAAACTTAGTTGAAGCGACAGATATTGACGGTATTAATTTTGGTTTCAGAGATTTCCCTGGTGGTTTTAAAGATGCTGTTGACTATTTAGTTCCTGAATTACAAAAATTAGGTTTAGCTCAGACTGAATATGCTGTTCCTGGTGGAACTTTGAGAGAGAACTTTTATGGTGAAAAGGGACATACCTATTTCCCAGAATCTCATCCAGCTTATAATTTGAGATGGGAGAAAGGTGTTAGTAAAGAACAATTTGAAAAGAATTTAAAAGACTATGTTGTCAAAAGAAATCAAAAGAGGGAGGCTGAAATCTAAATACTCTAAATCGCAATGTCTTTTCAAGTTCATACAGATGTAGTAAAAAAAACTTTTATTCAAAAGTAGACTACAATTTATTATTTGAAACAACGCTATCAAGAAAGTATTATTTAACTAAACAAAACATTCGACAAACAATTCCCTCTTTACAACAATTTCAGTTATCTTTATTCAACAAAATATTTCTGTTGGAATAAATCTAATCTTGTTTCAAAACTTCAGCGAATTGACCTTTTGATGGTTTAGCTGATTTTTGTTCAACTTTCTTTGAACCTAATTTTTCAGCAGAGAAAACTTTAGCGTATGGGTTCAATCTTAATAAAACTTGTTTGTTTTTCAATGGGTTTTTCTTTAAAACGTGGGTACGTTTTTGAGTAGCTTGACCAGCTGGTCTAACAACGTTTTGGATTTCAGAAGAGTTGATGATTCTGGTAACATCAGCGTTTGAGATGATGTTGTTTGGTAATGAGTAACCAGATTTAGCAGAAGCAACTGATTCAGAACCCCAGACGGAGTCTAATTTAGCAAAAGCTGATTCAGTCCAGATAACGAATCTACCTAAATGAGCACCTGGAGCTAATTGTAATAAACCTAAAGCAGAGACTGAAGCAGTTTCAACACCTGGAATGTTTCTGAAGGCCTTAACTAAACCTTTATCTTCACCATAGACAACTAATGGACCACGACGTTGAGTGTAACGACGACCTCTTAATTTACCTTTACCAGCACGTAATTTCTTGGATTTCAAGACTTTAACGACATCTCTGTGAGCACCAACGGCTTTTAAGACAGCAACGGCTTCTTTGGTTTTGGTGATTGATTCAACTTCTGAAGAAACAACTAATGGAACTTCTGGAATTTCTTCAACACGGTGACCTCTAGCTAAAACTAATGATGGAACACCTGAAGCAGCAATGGCTGAAGCGGTAGCATAACGTTTTTCGTTATGGTTGACCTTAACGTGCCATTTTCTCCATGTTTTAGTTGGAGCAAACATACGACCACCACGACACATATTACCGAAGGCAGCTTGACCAGAACGGTGAGTACCACCACCACCAACACGTGGAATACGGGCAACAGCACGACCAGTACCCCATGATTCAGCTGAAGTTTGATGACCAGCGTTTTCAGCGACAGCGTAAGCTTGACGTTTGTTTTTGTTAACAGCAGTGAAAACTGAGTGAACAATATCTGGTCTGATTGGAGCAGAGAAGACTGATGGTAATGGTAATGAAGTTGAAGAGACTTCACCGGAGGTTGAGTAGACTGAGACAGTTGGACGAGCAGACATCTTTAAACTATTTGAGTTAGTAATATGGTATCCTAAATGATGAAGAGTTTCAAAAAGAGTCTTGAAAAGTTTTTCAACTATAGAAATTTTTCACCAAACTTTTTCACGCTTGGTTGAAAAAAAAAAAACTGCATTTTTACCCGGACAAAGAAGTCATGTGATTCAAGAGTAGGGTAAAGTTGTTTAAGGCGATTATATCCGCAGAACGACTACAACATTCAATTGAAATAAAATGCAACTTTTATATTAATCTCTATATTTTTTTAGATATGTATTGTAACGATTTCTTCAAGATGTTTTGCTCGTGTATCACTAGTTGGGCAGCAAGTCTTTCTCTTGAGTTTTTGGATTTCAAATATTTGTCATATTTGATAGCACCTTCATATTGATCAAGTCTTAACTCTACAAGTTCCTTCAATATTTTGTAAGCTTTTGAGCTACTAGTGGTCAATAATTGAAGATTTACTTTCTCTGGAGTTTTCAAGAATTTGGTTAACTCCAATTTGTTCAGTGACAAGAGTTTAACTAGGGCATAAGTTAAAGGAAGTGGTTCACCAGATGCACCGATTGTGACTTCCAAAGTCCAGTTTGGGATATCTTCAACATCATCTTCACCTTCTCCGTCACAGCAACCATCTTGACAGCCATCATCACAGTGATCATCATCACAGTTATCGTCTTCACATCCATGATGAGAATCATTCTTCTTCTTGTGAAACATTTCTCTAACCATTTCATAACCTTGAGCTTCCCACCATTCAAAATGTTTTGCATACAATTTCTTATTTGCCTTTTTGATTTTCAAAAATTGTATACCTAATCCAACTTCTTCGTCTATATTTCCTGGGATGACAAACCCATATTTTGATAAAAGAATAGAGTTGTTAAAATCACCATAGGTATTGAAGAGTTCATCACCTTTGGATACCTTTTTGGTTAGCACTATATCACAACAATCATCAGGAAGAATTTTCCCACCACCTTCGCCTTCTAATATTATCTGTTGGTTTGATCCTTCTTCATCCTCATCAGAATGGTCAGCTTCCTCTTCATCTTTTTCTCTTTGTAAAGACTCTTCAATTTTTGAAATGAAAGCTTCATCGATAGGCCCATCGTAATTATCTTCATCTGATTCATTTTCATCTGATTCGTTTTCATCCTCCTGTTCATCTGTGCCTTGCTCATCATCATCTTCTTCTACCATTTCTTCATCACCAGAGTTCTCGCCGTCTTCACTTCCAGAATCATCTTGTTCTTCATCACTTTCTTGCATATGATCACAAGGAGCACTTGATCCACACATTCCACAAACATCAAAAACACTTTCGAATCTAACTGTTGGTTTATTAGTATGGTTGAATAAATCAGCACCTGGGACTAATGCAACTTGATGGAATGCATCTATTTCAAAATCCCTTGAAGCAATGGCATGAGATATAGCTATGAAGTTTTTATATTTTATCAAGACTTCATCATCATCTTTACCTTCAATATCTAATTCCCATGGGATGGGGATTGCTGATGAAATTTCATGTTGATTTAATGCAAAAGTGCAAGCATTTTCATAAGCTGATTTGTTTTCCTCATCATCTAAAGCACCCATTATTTCTAATTCTGAACCTTTGAATAATAGTTTCTCCTTCTTTGTCCATAAACTTGGTGGTAGGATTAAATCTCCTTTGGAATCCTTATAATGGATAGTATTGATGTATTCAAACCATGGGGAATCATTACCATAGTGTTTTTCATAAATGAAGGCAATTATTAAAGCTAGTGCACCTTCTATTTCTTCTTCTAATATCAAGTTGGCGATAGATGATTTCTCAGCAGATAAAATAGATTCTTTAGGAAGTCTCAAAAGTAATTCTGGAGTAAGAGTTGGGTCTAAATCCTTTTTAGCAAAGACACCGATCCCACCAACTTTGGATTCTTTGATCTCTAAAACGTCAGAATTCCAGTATCCATGATTTGACTTGATCCAAGAGACCACCTTATTGGCATTTTCCAAGGTCGTGTTGGACATGATTTCTTGATTGTCCTGTTTTAATGTTTTAGTTAAAAGGTGAAATTTTTTTTTCTTCACAAGCTCCGAGATCAGAGATGAGATGAGATGAGCTAGAACCACAATAAATCTACAAATGTGATACAAATATAAAAATTCATTATAAAAATGGCACTTCTTCATCCTTCACATCGATAACAATCATATGCCCCGGCGCGTGTGCCATTATGGTCCCCTTAACCTTATCACTGGCCTCAGCAGCAGCTAATTGAGGTGTAACACCACATCCCCAAAACACAGGAACCTCACCTTCTTCCAGTTCAATAGGGTCTGAAAAGATAGTATCCTCAAGTGAATTTATTCCCAATCTTTCTAAAGCATCAAACCCCCAATCAATAGGTTCACCATGAGTTGGTTTGAATTTTTTAGTAATTTCACGAACTTTTGGTATATCCTTTAGTTTGTAAGGTCTCATACTGACAACATAGGTACTATTTGTGAATACACCAGCTGGATCCAAATACTTCTTTGTGTGATACATTGGTACAGTGAAACCTTGAGACATGTTTCTTGGAGTGAGGCCCGCTTTGCTTAGTGCGAATTCAAATGAGAAGGAACAACCAACAAGAAATCCAACATGATCCTTAGACCACTCTTTTGAGATATCTGATTGAGTTGATATGAGTTTCCCATTATCATAAACGTTATATTTAGGAAAATCAGTACTTAGATCAGTTGTAGTTTTGAAAATTGAGGAACCTTTTGTGAAAACTGTTGGATCACCAGGTTTTGTAATGGCTAGTAATGGACATGGGACTGGATTTCTTTCACATAGTTCAATGAAATCTTGTGCAGCATTAATTGGAATCACTAATAGATTAGCTTGAGCAAAACCTGGACATTGCCCTGAAGTTTGAGTATTGAATTTGCCAGCACGACACGAACTTCTAAAGTCTTCTGGTCTCTGGATGGTCATATCTGATGGTGAAAAGCAGTTGAGCGCTGCAGTGTAGAGGTATATGACTCAGGGGGGTTCCATTGTCTCTTTTATAAGTGGTTTAGGTGCTTTATTGTGTCCGATAAGGTCCTCCACTGGGGGAGGACTACCTAGGGAGATATCACCAAAGAAAACTGGAGCTCCATTGCACTTTGCATCTGTATCAAGGCCATTCAATCAGCGAATACTGATTCACTCATACGATAAATTACCCCTGCCAATTCTAGAGTGTATAATGAAGCTTGTTGATCCTATTGTGTCTTTATCTAATCTCAGTATGACCATCTAAGTGGACAGACACTGAATTCAATCATCTCAAAACTGGTGAATCCGAATCAATGCTCTTCTACACTTGACTCTCAAAGAACTAACCCATAAACAGCAATATGTTCATTCAATGTATCTTTAATCATCAAACAACATCACAATTTTGCTTCAACATCACCAAAAGTCATGTGCTTTAATACCCTTGCTTAATAAGCCTTGGGACAACTGGCATATAAAAGTACACTTATGTCCAGAGTTAAAGTTGCTTTCCGAACTGAACAAGCACTTGAGTACATCTTAATTGACAGTGATCAAAATGGTTTTGAAAGTTGCAATCTTTGGTGCTAATGGTAAAGTTGCCACTCAACTATTGAAGAAATTCTCACAATTGAAAACAGAATTTGAACCAACTGCATTCATTAGAAATGCTTCTCAAGGTGCTAAATTCAAAGAATTAGGTGTGAATTATTCAACTGATATAGATATTACAAATTCCAATTTGAACACAATTACAGAGGCTTTGAAAGGTTACGATGCTGTGGTTTTCAGTGCAGGTGCTGGTGGTAAAGGACTTGATTTAACTTTTAGTGTTGATTTAGACGGTGCTGTTAAGGTTAGTGAAGCTGTTAAAGCTGCGAATGTGAAAAGATTCATCCTTGTGAGTGCAATCAAATCACTGGATCGTGAATTTTGGTGGGATGGTCCCTTAAGATCTTATTATATTGCGAAGAAATATGCAGATGAGATTATTTCCAAAGATGATGATTTAAATTGGACCATTTTACAACCAGGATATTTGAAAGATGAACCAGGTAATGGTAAAGTGGAAGATCCAAAAAAGGTTGAAGATATCGCTGATGGCATTCCAAAAGGTGATAGCACAAAGATTTCCATCCCAAGAGAAGATGTTGCACAAGCGATTGTGGAGATTTTAAGAGACGGATCCTCAAACAAAAAATTCATCCCATTGATCAGTGGTTCTTTGGAGATTAAAGAAGCCATTAAAAAGGCTTAAATACGACAAGTTGATGATTTCATGTACACAGCAAAAACTCCTTGTAGGATTTGAGTAAGATCGAGATGACAGACTTTGTGACAGTATACAGCTCTACGGCCTGGGGACTGAAAATATATAACTATTGTATCAAGTATTGTAATATCATTGATATATTGGCATTGGCTATAATTCAACAACTATGAACAATAGACCCTCACACTTATCACCATCAGGTTCTTTGAAATTTTCCTCACCTTTGCAACTCCTTTCTGCTTCTTCTGGTTTACTTGATATCAATACATTTTGATTGTTAAATATGGGGTCAAAAAAAAAATTCGAATTGTTAAGATCAGCTTCAGGCATGCTAGTCTTTCGGTTTGAATCTTCCTCAATTGTATCTCTACAGAAATTTATACGCATTATAAGAATCTTATTAAGTATAGAGCTAGATGTATAATATATAGTATCACTTTTGAAAAAAAATTCTCTCTAATGCCAATGAATATAACGAAACCAATAAGTGTAATAGACCATCCAACAATTTTCAGTGTTGTTAAACGTTTAGCACTTTCAGATTTGCCTGTAGCTTTTTCCTCTTCACTAGGTATAATCAGATAATAACAAAGTATTTCGACCGATGTGGCAGCAGCAATGTAACTAGGTATAAAATACCAGAGTTGGTCCCCAGATGATTGGTAGTCATTCAACCACAAAATTGCAGAGACGCAAAGCTGGCAAACAATCAAAAAAATCAAACTTATTGTTTTAACTTCGTTCAGGTCAAGTTTAGATCTAGTAAAAATCTTTTCAAACCGAGTAACAGACAACAATCTTCCTTTGCTGAGTGATAAAGAATAAGTCATACCAGGAGCAAAATCAACACCAGCTTCAAGTCCTTCACCATCATTTTCAGGTACAGCTGTTGATTCTAGATGTCCATCTTGATTGGTTATTTCTTTGCGGCGGACTAAGTTTTCGCCTTCAACATCCCATGACAATGTTTTCTTAATTTGTGAGCCTTTGAATTGTTTGATTTTGATGACCTTTTTGTGATGAGGGATTGTTTCGCTTTTTTCCAATAATTCAGCTAGTCTTTCCACAAATTCTTCTCGGTTATTGGCTTGGTATTCAACAACTAAAGTTAACCTTTCATTGGAAGCTTCAAGTTCAGGCAGCTTTTGAAAGGAAGAGTTATTTTCATTCATCTTGTAGAAATTGAGTAGTGGCAATGATTAGTGAATAACCACCCTGCTACCAGCTTATCCTCAAACTTTAGACAGCCATGGTTGTGGTTAATTAATTTATTATAAATTATAAAATTGATTGAAAGTATAAAAATTGAGGTATAATTTCTGCCACAAAGACAACTTCGCACTAGTACAATACAGTACTCGATATTACATAGCGAGCGCTAATATTGTACGACCAATATCTCACTCAGTCATTCTGTGATTACTACATCCCCAATCCTCAATCCACTAATCGTACTAATATCAGCTGTATCCTGTACCTTAGCTAATACGAAAAGATCCTATGTTAAGTTGTAGTGTATAGTAGATACTGTCAAAATTGACGGGTACACTGGGATGGATTCGCGCAAATGATAATAATGTCACGTGATTAGAGTTGATGATACTAATCTCAGTCCTTAAACTAATGGTCTCTCTAATGGGAGGACTTGAAGCGTGTTGTGATGATTGTTAAGCAGCCTAGAAAAGATTTCTGGGTGGAAAGTGCTTACCTAAGTATATGAGAGCTAAGTTTTATCTGTTGATGAGATCATTATTGTGTATCAACATGAACCATAGAAAACATATAAAAGTGCCAGTATCCACATTCATATCCTTAAAATAATCTACACAGCTTGTACATACATCTTCATCAATTCTTTTAAGAATCAATTCAGCAGTCAATATGAGCAACAGTTCTTTAACCAGTTTCGTCAACTCCACGGACAACGACACAATTTACAACGCATTATCTTTTATAGATAAACATACATTCAACATTTCAAATTTTGCCCTCGATAATGTTAACTATGGTTCAATATTTACAAATACAGCATTGGCTTTGATTGCATCATCAATCGTTTTCATTGGATCAAATGCGCCATTAACAAGAGCTGAAAGTGCTCCAGAAGAAATTGAACAGAAAAAAATTGAGACAGAAAAGGTTGAAGAATTACAAGAGGAATATTATCAAGATTATGAAAGTGAAGAGTCAGATGAAGTTGAAGAAGAAGAAGAGGCAGAAATTGATCAAGATTACCAAGGTTATGCAAGTGACGAGGATAGTGATGAGGAGGAGGGAACTGAATGGGAAAGAAGACAAAAGAGCAGGGAAATCTTTTATCAACTCCTTGACTTGGTAGACAACAAAGATTTATATTTGAATGAAGAATAAAACACATACTGACATATGATCAATTTGTAAACATTCTATATTTGTAATTTTCCAATTTAATCATTTTTGGGGAATAATCCAGTTTTTAAACAAAATTCATCAATCATTTTTGGTGCGAGTTTTTTCATTTCGAAATATCTAAACCATTCAGTATCATCATCTTCAAATCTGACTTTTACTATATAGCCTTTTGCCTTTCTATTCATGCTCAAGATCTCTTTGATTTGATTTCTTTTAGGATGGTTAAAAGCTGTAACTTTAGGCTTTTCTAGTTTTTCCACTAATGAACGTTCAATTTTTAAAAATTGTGAAGATGATGGTGATGATGATGATAATGATGATAATGATGATGATGGTTCTTCAAGTGGTCTTTTCGATGGTATTGTTTTATCACTTGATACTGAAGCTAGCCGTAGTGATTCGGGGCTTGGTGGTGAAGCATTTATATTATTTTTAGGTTCATTTGTATTCACTTCATTAGTTGTTGTGGGTTTGGGATTGGTGATGTTTGACTTATTAGTTGTTGTAGGTGTGCTATTCATTGAAAATGTTCCTTTAGGTGGTGATAATGTTAATTGTGGATCGGCTGATTTTTGGTCAAACTTATTGATTGAAGGTGAGGTTAATGGTTGTGTTTTTTGTAGTTGAGACATCAGTTTCAAACTTAATGGTTGTTTGGGATTTGGTGGTAATACTTTATATTTTGTAAATTTTCCAGAATATGATGAAGGTATATCTTGAACATCTGACGATAAATTGCTATCCAATCTTGAAAGAGGATCCAATTTTGAATGTTTGTTTTTTTTCGGAAGAGCTTCGTTGAAGCTTTCTGCAAAAGATTTAAATGGTCGTTGCTTGTTGCTTGTTGGGATTTTAGGTTTTGGTATAGGTTCATCAGTTTGAGTGGATGTGTGAACATATCTTGAAGTTTGAGTGGAGGCTTCTCTATAAATTGGTGTCCGTATATTTGGTGTGACGGGTTGAACTGGTGTTTTATTTACATTTTCAATTGGATTTAATTTTTCTGAAGTATTGTTAATTTTATCACCAGCAGAAGTCAACTCTTTCTTGTAGTCAGTTTGTCCTGGTTGCCTTTCTTCTTCCTCTTCCAGTGGTGGTGATTGATGAGAAATATCGGATTGATTTGATTTGGAACTTGGAACCATGGCAAGAGTTGTGGGATGTGGGTGTAAAGGTGGTGGAGGTGGACGCACAGGGGGCATAGGTAACATCAATGGTCTATAAGTATCAATAGATTCATCATCAACCAAAAAATCAACAAATTCATTCAATATATAACCTTCAATCTTGGTAACTAATCTTTCTAATGATAAATCATTGATTAATTCTTCATTATATTGTAAATCTAATAACCTTGATTGAATTTTCAATGGGTTAAAATAGCCAGCAATTATAATCAAATTCAATATTGATGGAGTTGGTTCACAACTTAAATAATGAGAATTATTTAACATAAACATTTTCCATTCATAATAAAGAGTTTTATCAAAAATTGGGGAAAATGAAATCAATTCTCTCAATTTCACCACAACGTTTAATTGTAATTGTCTTCTTGGAACTCCAAAGAATAAAAAATATGAGATTAATGGTTCAATTTTTGAAAATTTGGGTATTTTCATATCATCTTCTTTTATAATTTCATCAATACTTGCATCACCATAAGACATGATTACATCTTTTAAACTTTCGATGATGATTGGTTTGGGGAGTTGTGAGACTAGTCTTCTTATATCTTGGATCAAAGGTTCTCTTTCTCTTGGGTCATTAGCTTCGGTCCATTGTCTAAAATGAATACTTGATGCAATCTTCATATACTTTTTAAAGTAAGTTATTGATTCTGATTTGATATGATCTGTTGGTTTCTGTATGATTGGTGTTGCACCTGGAGGTGATAATTTCTCTTTGAATTTACTCTTCGAACCCATGATTAGTATGAATACGGTTGCTGCTGCGTTGTTGTTGTTGTTAATCATTGAGGTTCGTAGGAAAGTTGAGTTTATTTTTCTACTTGACGCGTCTGGGCAGATACAAAACGCATTCGCGAATTAAAATTCGTGACGATTATATAATCACTGGCCTCTTTGATCACGTGATTGAAATCACTGATATTATCCATCTAATTATCATGTTAATTTGATATAATAATATAAGATCGAATATAATATGATATTTAGCCTACTTGTCAATCAATTATGAATAAATATATATAATTAACTATGGGGCGTTGGGCCGCCTATGTGTCGACGCCAGCGGCCAGGCCCACGTCTAGCGCCTAATACCACGACGTCTCGAATTAATTCATGTCATTTTCATTAACTAGCAGCGTTATTCAAGTACACTAATTTGCAGCTAGATAATATAATATATAATATAATATATTTTATAGCTGATAATATAATTTATAAATTATCTATTTTTTTTTTTTTTTAGTTGATATTATAATTTGATGAACTTTGATGAGGAATGCATTAATTACGCACGAACCGCTTGGATTGTAGGCTTCTCGCTATGTTGGAATTCAGGCTTCCTTATAATATCCTTCTCAGCCAACCGAGAAAACCCATTCTCCACCACGCGTCTAGAAAATTAATTATATATATATATTTATAACATTAATTACGTACTATAGCTAGCGCCTGAATTAATATATTATTAATTATAATATATTGATCAGTCGATATTTAACTAATTACGTCTGGGTACTGTATAATTTATTATGCTTTTCATGGTTATACTGTCGAAAAGGCGCTTAGTGCCGGCGGCCGTCGACACTAGCTAGCTAATAATTATTGACATGATAAAATTAAAAAATGGCATAATTAAACACATATAATTATGAATTATTGTAAAGCATGGCTGATTAGTTATTACTGGTAGAAACAATATAAGCATGCACTAAATTTATTTAAATATTGCCAGCTAGCTTAGTAACCTACATAAATATAGTTTTCATTCTAAACCCCATATTATAGTCATGGTCTAGTCATACTGATCCCAATCACTCTAGTTGTAACTTGCCACAAATATTAGCACATTTACCACTGTCCAGGTCATAATAGCTACATTAACACTGAAAGAAATCTTTCCATGTGCTCTTTTCAATGTCTCATGATATAAAAATTTGGGTGTTAACCTCTTTTTCATCTATAAAATTTAAAATCGCGATCTATTGTAAGCCTATAATGTACCCCTGGATTCAATACTTCCAAAAACGCTGATGACCTGGAAAACATTACTATTCTCTTTCACTTTATTATTTGCTCTAGTGCTCGGAGCTACAGATGAAGAGTGTGAAGCTGCTGCATTTGCCTGGATTCGGGGGTTCATATGGAGAACTGACACAATAGTTGCACCTGTTATTTTCTGGGGCGATGAGAGTCTTGATCAATCAATAGCTACTTATGACAAAATGAATCGAATCGTTGCCTTATCTGTTGACCTGGAGACTGCTGAAGCTAAGTTCAGCTCGATCGGATTGGTCTTCAATAAAAGTGCTCATTACAGAGCCATGGCTGCTGTTGCTAATGTTAACACAGAATGTGGAACCCCAAATCATGAGGTCAATCTTGAATATGTTCACAACAATCTGGTCAACGATGCTTATCGTGTTGGAATTGATGAGGATAAGAAATCAGGAATTCGTAGAGTTCCAGGTGCAAACGGTGTCTTTGTGAAGGGTTCCCATTGAGTGGAACCTTTAAGTGCTGTGACAAGTTATGTGTGTGCTGGTTAACGCAGATTGCTGCTATATTTCCACATCATGGTAAGTCCCTGGATGATTGTTACTACAAAGTTAATATGTCATTAATTCACGAATAAACAAGTTGGTCGATGTTGTGATTGATTTCTGTTAAGCTGTGTGAGCTGGTGTCCATATCTAATCTATACAATCTAATCAAATTTAAATCTTATGAATATAAATCTAAAGATCCAAATATCATCACGTCGAGAGAGGAGCAAAGAAAGAGAACTTGAAACCTACATAGAACGAATCGGTTCCACAGCTTCAATATGGACGTGATGAAGCATGGAAGCTACCGATTAAATCTATTTAAACTTATATCAATAACACTCGCATCAATGATACCATGGTAAGATATATTATACATATATTATACAGATCATAAATATTAGCTAGGTGATTGGCTAATACTTTATATTGATGTTTTGTCACGTGACCACATTATAAACTCTGATCAAAGATCAATATTAATCTCAACTTCTTCGAATCGTCCATTTGAAGTATACAAAACAACTTCAAGAGCACCTTGAAAATATCATGAAGCTAGAGTCTACTAGATTCCAGATATTTTCATCATTACTCAACTCCTAATCAACCGCTTGATTGAAGAAATGTCCAATGAGCTGAAAACGTTGAATTCGTAAACTCCACCGAGAGAATATCCAGCAACAAATCAGATCTTTGACAATAGGCTCTTTCCCATGAACAAACTCTGGTACAATAAGCCATACAGTCTAAGCATAGATTCCCAACGTTTCAAACTTCTAAATCAAGAACTGGAAAGAATGGACAGAATGAAATACATGAGCAAATTTTCATGAGCAAATTAATTTACCAACCATACAGAATTCATTACTTTCAAATGAAAATGAGCATTTACTACATTATAAAAAAACATTGATTTCCTCAAGATCCAATCAGATCTGGCAAGGTTTGATTTGCCAAGCGCTCGTCATTGTCGTTCGTTAATATCATAATGACTGTCATTTATAAAGGTCTTGATTGTCTTGCTGATAAAGATGATCCAGAATATACTAAATTGAAAACCATTTCACAATCAGGTGTGAATGCTTGGGCATATCAGAAGAATTATGGGTATTATGTTTTATATTTTGGTGCTGTTTTGATCTTTTTAATGATTATTAAGAAAATTTGGTTTACTTTTAATGATTATTCTTATAGAAATACAAAAATTGGAGGAGGGAAATATAATTTATCAAGTTTGAATAAATTTATCGGTATAACAAGATTGATTTCATATAAAAAGTTACCAATAATATTATCAAGAATAACAGGATTACCAGCATCAATTGGAACATTAATAATCTTGATATCATCAACTTTATTTGTCCTATGTTATTGTTTCATTCCACATTTTTGGTATAGAGCATGTCGAGGGTTTGGATCACCTCCACTATCAGTCCGTGCCGGGTTGATGTGTATGGGTATGACTCCATTCATATTCATCCTTAGTGGGAAAACAAATTTCATAAGTGCAATGACTGGTATAAGTTATGAAAAATTAAATATTTATCATCAAGCTTTAGGTTGGGGTTGTTTATTCCTAAGTTTAGTCCATACTATCCCTTTTTTAGTCCAACCTGTTCGTGAAGGTGGTGCTTCAAATTTATCTAAAACTTTTAAAAGTGATAATTTATATCAAAATGGTATCCCAGCTCAAATCGTTTTAGGTTTATTATGTTTATTAAGTACAAGATTTTCAAGAAAATTATGTTATGAAGTTTGGTTACATGCGCATTGGATCTTGGGAATTGCTTATTTTGCCTTATTAACATGGCATGTTTATGGTGAATTTGTTAATTCTAAGAGACAGGGTGATGGGATGAATAGGACCTAGCGTATTATGTAATAGTGGTGATTGATCATGTATAATAAGGATAAAGATATATCTATATAAACAATAGGAAGTATAAGAGTAAGAGGAAGACCAGTGGACTTATATAGACTCACCGACAGTAGCCAGCTCATCAATTATATTCTGTGATCTTATTGGCCGTTGGCCTAGTGACACGTAATCTGTCATTCATAGAATGTACGTGGATCAACAGAATTAGATGCTGAACAATACATGTGGGGCACATTAGGATTTTGGGGGTTTCAAATGATTTATAGAGCTTTAGTTAAAACAAGTTTTTTCAAACCAAATCAATATGTTTTCAAGGCTAAAAAAGGTGAATTATCAAGATTAAGTAATGGGAATTTCCAAATTATTATAAAAGTGGAGACTCCATATGAATTGAATTGGAAACCTGGTCAACATTTATTTATTAGATTTGTTTATGGGCTTTCAACTTTGGATAATCATCCTTTTTCGATATTATCAATTCCTAAACAAGATTCAAAATCTCATATAAAATTAATTGTTAAACCTCATAATGGGTTGACCAAGAAAATTTATAATTTGATTGAAGATGATGATGAAAAGGCTGGAAAACAATTGAACTTATATATTGATGGTCCTTATGGTGGTATAAATCGTGATGTTTTATCATTTGATAAAGTCTTGATGGTTTCTTCAGGTTCAGGAGTTACAGTTACATGGCCATTTGTTGAATATATTGTGGATAATTTAGATAAATTGACAAATATGACCCAACAGTTTGAATTTAAATGGATTATTAAAAATAATGAATCTATTGAATGGATTCAAGAAGAATTGATTAATGTCTTGAATCAAATTATTGAATTTGATTATGGATTATTGAAAAATTTCAAATTTGAAATATTTATAACAAATTCTCAAGAGATCCAACCAAAGATTGTTCATAATAAACAAGAAGTTTTAGAAAATACGGACTCATCATCATCAACAGATGATTTGAAATCAATCGAAGAAAAAATTTCAATATCAAATTTACATCATTTTATAACTATTCATAAAGGACAAAAACCATCAATGTCTTCATATTTACAACAAGTGGAATTATTATCCAAGAATTGTGTTATTGTGTCAGGTACTCAATCTTTACAATGTGATGTAGGTAATGCTGTTTCACAATTACAAAGAAAAGTTATAAAGGGAGAAATTGATGAATTGTATCTACATAGTGAGAATTTTGGATGGTGATAAATATTCATACTTTATTTTTTTGTAGTACTTTTTTTGACACATAATGGAGATTCGCGGATCAAGACCTGGTTTTAGCAAACATAAAGACAAAGAAAAGATTTTAACCTGAAAAATCGGATGATCGATTATACCCACAAAGTATATATAAAGAACTAATTTGAATCAATTTATTTTTCTTGCCACTCTTTAGTGAATAACCAGATATGTCCAAAGTTGCAGTAATCGGAGCCACAGGTAAAACTGGCTCATTAGTTGTCCAATCATTAACAAATGCAGGGTTTGATGTTACAGGGCTAGTGAGAAATCCAGCAAAAGCTAGAACAATTGAACAATTTGCCAATATAAATTTTGAAACGTTCCCTTTAGAGAGCACTTCTGTTTCCAAAATTGCCCTTTTCCTAAAAGATTTCGACTCAGTTGTATTTGCAGCTGGTGTTGCTGATTTATCTAAACATACTGATGTTATTCAAATTGAGTTAGATGGTGCAATGAAGATCATTGAAGCTTGTGAACAAGCTGGTGTTAAAAGAGTTGTATTCATCTCTTCAATTGCAGCTAGTGATCGTGATTTTTGGTATGATAATGACTATACTCGTGTTTATTATACTGCAAAGAGAACAATTGACAAGGTTTTAGAAAGAAGTATGTTGGATTATACTATAGTGGAACCTGGTCCATTAGTTGATGAAGATGGGACCGGTAAGATTAAGATCCCTAAAGAAGCTTATCAAAGTGCATATGAGGATTTTGATTTCAAAGAGAATTATTACGCTTTGAAAGTGCCTAGAAAAGATGTGGCTAAAGCCATTACGTTGTCCTTAAAAAACGATAAAACCATTAGAAAAACACTACCATTGGTCCAAGGTGATACTCCAATTGAGAAAGTGATTGAAGATTGTTTATGAACGTGATGAATTTGGCTGTACTGATTATTAATTGTAGTATAAGGCCCAGTATATGTCTTCGGTTTTAATCGGAGAAATGTATAAAGTGCTTAGAAATAAAGCATCAACAAGAAGTATTCTTTGAACTTCTATTCCAAGAGTTTAATTAAAGCTTTCAAGTATAAAATGTAGGGAAAGTTCTCATGGAATCTCAACTTTCAGTCCATTCCATTATCCATCTTTCAAAATGTCAAAAGTCGCAGTCATTGGTGCAACAGGCCAAATTGGTCAACTTATCACTAAAATTCTTTCCATTAACAACAACGTCTCAGTTACTGGATTTGTTCGTAATGTTGAAAAGGCAATGTCTATATTTGATTCATCAATAAGATTACAAGAATTTTCATTCAATTCAACAGTTGATGAAATTGAGAGATTGTTTAATGGGTTTGATACAGTCATATTCACTGCTGGAGCTTCTGCGTTTGATAAATATGAAGATATTGCAATGGTTGACCTTGATGGAGCTTTTAAAGTGATTGAGGCATCTGAAGTTTCAAATGTTAAAAGGTTCATCATCATTAGTTCAATCAATGCTCATAATAGAGACTTTTGGTATAATGTTGATGTTATAAAAGTTTATTATGCAGCTAAGCGGGCTGTTGATAAATATTTGGCCAAAACAGATTTAGATTGGACAATATTGGAACCAGTTCCATTAGTTGATGAGGAAGCCACTGGGAAATTAAGAGAGAGTCAAGATGCTTATGATTTCAGTTTAAATCGATATGATTTTGCAAATGATTATTTGGGTATTAAAGTAACAAGACAAGATGTCGCACAATTTGCTTTTGATGCATTACAAAATGATAAAACGATCAAGAAAACCATCCCTTTAATCAATGGTGAATTTTCATTTGATGAATTTATTGAAAAGTTATAGAGGACGTATCTAATTTTTCTTCAAAATTGTTTCTTTTATAGCTTCAATAACTTTACCTTGGAATTGTTTTGAACCTGCAATAACACCAGAACTATGTAGAATTCTACCTTCACCAAAATTTAATGTTTTACCAGTCATATCTGTAACAATACCACCACTTTCAGTAATCAAAATGTTACCAGCAGCATGATCCCATATTTTCTCTTGATATGAAGCACTAACTGGTAATCTTAAATACAATTCAGCTGAACCTTTTGATAATGCACAATATTTAACTTGTGAATCCAAATTCAATGTTTGATCAACAGGGATTCCTAAATATTGTTTAATTTTCAATTGATCATCATGAGAACTATGACCTTTTTCAACACCTTCACAAACTTTGATTTCAGATGATGAGGCCAATTCATTCTTCATTGAAATTTTCAAATCTTTTGTAAAATCTTGATCAACTTTATGATCATATAATTTTGAATACCAAGAGCCTTGACCTTTAACAGCAGTGAATAACCCACCTTTATAATTTGGTGATTCGAAATTATCAGGTAAGTTTGGACAACCGATAACACCTAATTTAACAATACCATCTTCAATCAGTGCAAGACAAACAGCATATTGATCACCTCTTAAAAACCCTTTAGTACCATCAATTGGATCCAATGCCCAAAACCTACCTTTATTACCACCTTGAGAATTCCCTTGGTCAATGATTGAACTTATTTGTTCCACTGACTCGAATTTTGAACCTAATGAAACATTAGTATAACCAATTTTATTAAATTCAACATCATTTGCTTGTAAGGCATCCGATATTTTTGAAGCTAATGATGGATTTTCCTTCAAATCATTCGAGTCTTCTTCACCAATGATTTCATCCGATGGGAAATTTGCCTTTATGGCATTTATAATGATTGCTTGAGCTGAAAAATCACCAATTGTCACTGGGGACTTGTCTAATTTAGTTATAGTTGAAGATGATTTATTTTGAAGGATTTGAGAAGAGATTGAGCGTGTGAGCAAAGCAGCCTTTTGCACTGCGATTCTTGCGATGTGAGCTTCTTTTTCATAAACCATTTTCTGCTTAATTGAGTTGGAATTGATTTAATTCTTTACACTGTTTATTTCACTTTTCCCAATTCTCTTCACTAGCCTCGACGTGGATGAGCAAAACTGTGGCTGTTGATAAATGTTACGTAATCAATTTTAATTCGCGAATTCATTTTTGGAATGGACAAAAACAATGAACAACTTGATCAAATTAATAGCGAGAAGTTATCAAGAAACCAGCCATTAAACAACAACAGGATAACCATTTACCAAGGAGGAGACTGGAAGGATAGTGCATAAGATAGTCTATCCACCAACCACAAGAAAAAACCTCTTTTTGAAGCCTTTTTTCTCTATCTTTTTATCACTCTTTACCTGTGAAAGATTATGACATCTGGTTCAGACTCAATACTGGCTATTAATTCACAAAATTTTGGTCCTGATTCAAAGATAAAAGGCTTGAAACAAAACACACTAAATAATTCAAACCCAACCTCTCCAGAAACACCAATAGTTTGGAAAGATTTAGGTCAATATCTAGAGACTTTGAATGAAATTCCAATTGAAGATACACACTTGAAGAATAATTTAAACCTGGAACAACCTTTAAATACTGTTATAAATTATAGAGTTTGTAATATTTGCAATAGACCAATACTAGTACATCATTTACCAAAACATATCAAGAGTTGTTTGCAGATGAAACAAAGAAAGGAGCAAGAACAACAGAAACAACAACAATTACAACAACAACAACAACAGCAACAGCAGCAACAACAACAACAACAAATGACTTCAACAGATGCACCAACTCCAAAGAGTACAAATACTAAGAAACGGAAACTACAAGATACAAGAGATCAAACTCCTGCTGAGACAGATACACCAACGCCTGGACCTGGAGGAGGTGGTCCAAAGACTAAAAAAAGTAAAAAAGAATCAAATACAACATCAAAACCTAAAAAGAAATCAACTGCAAAGCAAAAAGGTCCTGTTGATGTGGAGAAACAATGTGGTGTTGCGTTACCAAATGGAGGATTTTGTGCTAGGTCATTAACTTGTAAAACACATTCAATGGGTGCTAAAAGAGCTGTTCCAGGTCGTTCAGCTTCTTATGATACATTATTAGCAGCTTATCAACACAAGAATCAAGTCAAGATAGCTGGTCAAGCTGCAAAAGCTCAAGCTGAAAAAGATGAATTGATTCATGGTGGATCAACAACTTTAGATTCTGATGAAGAAACTCAACAGGTTCTAGCTGGTGTTACAAGAAGTTTCCCATTACCTCTAGAACGTAAAAATTTAGTACCTACAAGGATCCGTTCAAATTTCTTGAGAATGAGAGAAATGTTTGCAGGTGCTATATTACCAAGAATAACAAATAGTAATGGGGTTGGTGGTATTAATGGTCGTACTGCATTATTAGATGTTGATCGCTCAAATGAACATCTGTTTTTAGTTAGAGCTCCTCAAAGAATAATGCTGAATAAGAATAATATTCAACAACAACAACAAGCTGGACAAACTGTATCTTCTGGTACTGGTGCTGGTGGGTCTCAAAGTCAAACTGCCACTCCACAACAACAAGCTGCAATGTTGCAAAATAGAAATCAACTTTTGGCTCAACAACAAGCTGCAGCTGCAGCTAGAGCACAGCAGATACAAGCTGCTCAACAGCAACAGAAACAATAGGCTCTTGTATTATTTGTTAATGATTTCCATCTCCCCCCTCCTTGTTATGATTTTTTTTCTTTGGGTTTAGTTCTACGATTTTCAGTGTGTGTTTTCTTTAATGTTTTTTGTTTTATTTATTAGTTTTCTTCAAATATTGTAGATTTCAAGTGTAATATTGGAAATAATCAGGTCTCAATTTATAAAACCCAACAAGAGCAACAAGTGCAACAAATTGAAACATACTTGGAGGTAAAAATGTGATTGAAGTTAAACCCCAAACCAATATTGGTTCTAACCCAAAATATTTTCTCAATATGAAAAAAACTGGTAATTTCCACAACATCATTCCAGTTTCCCAAGTATATTTTTCTCTTGGTTTTTTCAAAGTTTTCAACATATTTTTTTCAAAAGATTCAGTCATCACTTTTAATGAAAATTTTGAATTTAATTGAATTGAACCATTTTTAATTAATTTTGATTTAGGGATCTCCAAAGATTTTGATAATTTCTCACTCCATGTGATTGGATCACTTGGTTCTAACCAACCTGTTCCTAATTCAGGATTCTCATCAATAGAGATTATAGATTCAATAGGACCTCCGTTATTAACTGCTATTACTGGAACTCCAAATTTCATAGCTTCCAATGGAACAATACCAAAATGTTCAAATGATGGGGTATAAATTAACAATTTTGTTTGTGATAACAATAATTCTTTTAGATTTGATGAAATTGATGGTAAAAAGATTATATTATAATTTTTGGATAGATTGGAGTATTTTGAATATTCATTATTGAAAATTGTTAATGTTTCAAGGTTTAAATCTGCAGATAATTTTTCTAAATGTGCTAAATATTGTTTATTTTCTTCAACTTTATGGTCATATCCACCTGCAACGATTAATTTAACTTGAGAATTTGAATTTTTTTCAAGAAATTTCTTGTAAGATTTAATAGCCAATTCAATATTTTTCTTTTTTTCAAATCTATTAATACTTAGGAAATATTCAGTCTTTTCACCAACTATATCATTGAAAACATCTTGGGTTTCTTTAGTGATTGTTTCTTTTGATAAATCAACACATGGATAAATAACATCAGGAACATTGAAATCTTTAATCATTGTGAAAGTCTTGTCATAAACAGTTTTAGTGAAACCTGAATTAACAACAATACTATCAGCTGTACTCATTGTGAATTGTTCAATCAAATCAAATGGTAATCTATAAATCTTTCTGATCAATCCAGTACGTTTAGCTAATAATTGATCTGGGAAATGACAATAGAATAATGTTTTGGAACGTTTTTCTTGGAAAAGATGTAAGATTGGTAAGCATATACTCAATTGGTCCACAATGAAATAATCATATTCAGAAATTTCACCAGATATAACCAACATAATAACTAAAAACAGTTGTCTTAAACATGCAAATAAAATTTTGAATTTTTGTAAGAAATTAGTTGGTAAGAAATCACCATAAACTTTAGTCTTCAAAGTCTCATTTTTAACTTCTTCGAAACAATGAGACTTATCACAGTGAGATGTGAATATTTGAACTTTATGACCTTCATTTTGTAAACCTAGAGCAGCATCAACAACTAATCTTTCAGCCCCACCTTTTCATAGAGATATTAGTACTACATTCCCAAGAATCCTTATATCTTTTCTACTCACCAATACCCAGATCTGGGTGAATAAATGCAATTCTCATAATGTCTGACGACTAATTGGAACCAAAAGATAAGAGAGACCAAAAAAAATGACAAAAAGACTGGAATTTCTGCTGTTTTTAAAAGGTGTGTTTTCATTCAAGTTGATTTTTTTGGTCTTTTGATGAAAATTGACAACGTGTTTTGCCCAGCGAAATTTGACAGATTCTGTGGGAATTTGAATGGAGTGGGAGATTGTGGGAGAATAAGATAGGAAGTGATGGGTAAAAACCATATTTATGAGTATAGGAACCGACAAGGATTATTTCCCACTTTATTAGAGCGTCATAGCTCCAATATTGACTGAGTTATCATGAATTTCAATGAATTGTAGAAATAGGGCTTTTTGTCTCAAGACCTTCAGAACGTGTTAAAATTGTAAGTAAACATACATTAGAAAACAACCTACATAGTCAAAGTAACTCATCAAATTCCATTAATCACATAATAAAATACCATTTACTAACAAAACTTGCCATAAAACCCACAAAACAACCATCTCATCGCCCAAAATCCGGTACAGACCGCACTTTTCTTTCTTTTTCGCGAAAAAAAGAAGCACCAAAAAAAAAAATTTCGAAGCGAATGAGAAGTAAACAATTTGTCATTGAAATTGGATTTCCAGGAATCAAGTATTTAAACTTGGTTTATTAGAATCTTTTTTGTTCTGAGTTTGGTGATTTGGTGACGAGATACAATGGAGAACTTCAAAATACCCACCACTTTGGTCGTGTCAGGTGCAGTGGTTGCATATCTAGTATCTGGAGGAAGAATCACAATTGCATTATTCGTTTCAGTGGTTTACTTTTTATTTATTAGAAGAGTTGGCGAACAAGCTGCTACTACTGTTGAACAAGTTGAGACGGAGAAACATGAACATAAACACAAACATAACAAAAAAGGTGGATGTGGAGCTGCTTGTACTTGTAAAGACAAGAAGAAAGAAACCAAAAAAACCTTATCTGGATTAAAATTAAAGAAAGGATTTGGTCAAAAATCAAAACCAGATGCTAATGAAGATATTGCTGTTGATTTCACTACTGCTTTTGCTAAAAAACCAACAACCAATACAGCTACTGCGAGGACTATAAACGCCCCAAAAGTTAAAAGAGTTCCAAAGCTGATCAAATCAAAAGGTTTACAATCAAAGCAAAAAGCTCCCCCAACTTCAATGACTCAAGCTAATACTTCATTATTAGATTCGAACATTATCATTTTTTACACATCATTGACAGGTTCTTCAGAAAGATCAGCTAAAAACTTGTACAACGCATTATCAATGGTTGATCAATTAAAGAATAAGCCTCAATTATTAAACTTGGATGATTTAACCGACCTAGATGATTATTTCACAAATACTCCTAAATTAGACAATTTGATATATTGTCTTGTTTTACCTTCATATGATGTTGACTCTCCAATTGATTATTTCTTGCAAACTTTAGAAGATACTTATCAAGATTTTAGAGTTGATAAGTATCCATTGAAAAAATTATTAGGGTTCACTGTTTTAGGTTTAGGTGATTTAGAATCATGGCCCGAAAAATTCTGTTATCAAGCCAAAAGAACTGATTATTGGTTAGGTAAATTAGGTGCTAGAAGAATTTTCCCAGTTGGTGAAATTTGTATTAAGACTGGTGGTGATTTAAAAATAAATGAATGGATTGAAATGTTTGTTGATGCCTTAAAAGATGACGATCCAATCTTGTATGAATATAAGGATTCAGATGCAGAAGATGATTCAGATAATGAAGGCTCAGAAGAAGGAAGTAGTTCAGGTGAAAGTGAAGACACATTAGTTGATGTTGAAGATATGGGTAAAATTATGAAGTCATCTAATGAAAAATCAAACACAAATGAAATTAAAGCCATGGTTGCCAAAAATTCACCAACTTATAACAGTTTGACTAAACAAGGTTATACAATTGTGGGTTCTCATTCAGGTGTTAAAATTTGCAGATGGACTAAATCTGCATTACGTGGTCGTGGTTCATGTTATAAATTTGCATTTTATGGTATCAGATCTCATTTATGTATGGAAACTACACCTTCCCTATCATGTTCAAACAAATGTGTTTTCTGTTGGAGACATGGTACAAACCCTGTTGGTACAAATTGGAGATGGCAAGTTGACCAACCAGATGTTATTTTGAATGGTGCTTTACAAGGTCATTATTCCAAGATCAAACAAATGAGAGGTGTTCCAGGTGTTGTTGCTGAAAGATTTGCTGAAGCTTTTAGAGTTCGTCATTGTGCTCTATCATTAGTTGGTGAACCTATCTTCTATCCTTATATCAATGATTTCGTTGGAATGTTGCATGAAAAGGAAATTTCAAGTTTCTTGGTTTGTAACGCTCAACATCCAGATCAATTGGAAGCTTTATCAAAAGTTACACAATTATATGTTTCAATTGATGCCCCAACTAAATCTGAATTGAAAAAAGTTGATAGACCATTGTTCAAAGATTATTGGGAAAGATTAATCAGATGTTTAGATATCTTGCGTACAAGTCAATCTCATCAAAGAACAGTTTTCAGATTAACATTAGTTAAAGGTTTCAACATGGAGGAAGTTTCAGGATATGCTGATTTAGTGGAAAGAGCTCGTCCAGCTTTAATCGAAATCAAAGGTGCAACTTTCTGTGGTTCATCATCTGGTAATGGTAATCCATTGACAATGCAAAATATTCCATTTTATGAAGAATGTCAAAATTTTGTTAGAAATTTGAATGAAGAATTAAACAATAGAGGTCTTGGCTATGGTATCGCTGCAGAACATGCACATTCATGCTGTATCTTGATTGGTTCAAACCAATTCAAAGTTGATGGTGAATGGTATACTCATATTGATTATGCAAAATTCTTTGAATTGTTGAAAAGTGGTAAACCATTTGATAAATTGGAGTATATTGCAAAGACTCCTGAGTGGGCCTTATGGGGTAGTGAAGGTGCTGGTTTCAACCCAGAAGATACAAGAGTTAGAAAGAAGGGTAAAAATAAAGACAAAAAGGTTGTTGAAGTGGTTGCATAGTTATTTGTTTAAGGTTTGTACATTCGAAAATCATATACAAGGTGTTCATATATATATTCATGATTGTTTACTTCCAATTCCAGAAACTGAAGAATGAGGATGTAGAAGCTGATTGGTTATTTTGCGCACTATTTTTAATCTTTCTTCTCAATAACTCTTCTTCATGCTCGATTAATACCTGCTTCACATCAACAGCTTCAAAACATCTTTGAAATTCCTTTTCATGTATGGCATAAAACTTTTGTGTTGGCATAGGTGCTTGAAGATTATAAGTCCTTATAGAGCTATTCAGCCTCTTAATCTTGTGCTCATATTCTCCCTTAGCAGAAGCTTCGAAATCTTTTTGCATTCTTTTATGATCTTCGTTGTAGTTGGACGTTATATAACTTTTCCATTTATCAATCAGTTCTTTTCTAAAAATTGCAATTTCAAGATTAACACCACCTTGCTTCTCTATCCATGGAGGTACCACATTTTGATTAACCAGGATGTTGTTCAAATGATGCTCAGTACGATCAACATAAGCACTCACCTCTATTCCTTCTATTTTTTTGCCTCTGGGTATATTTTTGAACCCACCTTGCTTCATATGCTCTTCAATACGAGCATCAGCAACACTTCTGATCTTATCGAAAGAACCGATAGGTGTGAATTTTTCCTTGTAAAGCTCTCTAAACTTACCATCAGCATCGGTCTCAGGTTCAGCGTTCTTGTTTATTCTGTAATCTAGGACAGTTTCCTTAGCACTTGCAAGCTTTCTTACTTCTGACTTGACCTTGAATGGCTTATGCTTATCCACCAACATCCGCAATGATGAATCCTGTTGAGACTCTTGACCTGTCCAAGGTTGTGAAAATGCGATATCTCTTGACTGTTTTCCAGCATATGAAGGAATCTTGGAGGCGTAAATCAACTTTTGATTTTGATGCTCAAACCTCTTTTGGTCAAGCTCATTGGATAGCTTGATTAATCGTTCATCTTTATCTATTAACGATTTGTGCTGAGATCCTAATAAAGGATCAGTTTCCTTCACAATCTCATTCTCTAGTTCTGCTAAACGCCTTGTGAAGGCATCTTCAACTTTTGATTTCGTGGAATAGAGTCTTTTGATCAATCTTTGGGACATTTGATGGAGATAAGAGGATCCAGTTCTAGAAATAGACTAACCAGGTATCTTTGATTTGTTTTTCTGATCTCAAAATCTTGATTTGTACTTGATTTATGGCTCAAAAGTTCTTTGCCATCAACTTGAGATTTCAAATTCGCGGCCTACATAGAAAAGAAGCGATTACAAGCATAAACCATGATAATCATCAATTTTATATAGTGAACTATATCTCTAAAGGATCAACTATGATTATTTCATCACTGCTGATTCTTGTGTAACTATTTTCTTTGAGTACTTCAGTTGCAATAACCAAGTTTTTAGCTGTAATGTGTGATTGGATCTCATGACCTTGAAGTTCACCAGCCAAATAATCAGCTAGTGCACTGAAAGCTTCTAAATGATCATCTTGAAAAGTATTTGAGAGCTTTTCTTTGAAAGATTCGATAATATATTCAGGCGCGACTGACTTTTCAATATCTAGTGAACCATGGAGAATAACCCATAAAAACAAGACATTATCAGCAACATCCTCAGCAAGTATCTGTTCATAAGTCTCAAGCCCAAAAGCTTTCTCCACAATATCTTGAAGTGCTTCATCCCTTTTGAAGATCTTTTTGAGGTTTGTCAATTGACCTTTGTGATCTTGTAACAATTGTTTTTCAATATGTTTAATCTCGGCAAGACAAGCCTTGTAAAGATCTTTTTGACCATCTCTATAAAATTTAGCATTTTGACTAATAGATGGATCAATATCTTCTGACATGTTTATTGATTGTTTAAGTAATGCCTGTTTTCTTTCTAACGCACTTCTCAATGTTTGTAATGCTTCTAATTTAGAACGTAATGTTGGATGTGATTCAAATCCTGATTTTGCAAGGAACATGAATAATAATAACAAATTGTCAGGTACCAAATTATGGAAGTTTATAAAGAAAATCATACCATCTTCAATGTCATCATCAGTTGCCTCAGAAGATGGTCTGCTATCGTTATTGAATGCAAATTGAGTATAGTCTTCAATTTTAGGAATCTTGAATCCAAACACTTCAACAGCAGATTTCACGACTGGGGTTGGTAATTTAACTTTCAATGCAATAGAGTCAGCTTTGTTCTTTTCTATAGCAAAGCCGTAGCCCATTAATAATTCTTCATTACCCTTTGCACCATAGTTATTGAAGACTTCATCTCCTTCTTGTATTGTATCCATATTAGTTAAAGAAAAGAACCCATCAGCATCAAATTTCCATTGAACTTTGGCAGAGTTATCATGGTTCAACAGGTCAAGAATTGGTAAAAGTATAGCCTGTCCAGCTTCACACTCACTGTCTATAAGATCATGAGGAAATGCTCTTGATGTGAATATTATCGAAGACCACAAATATGCACCAAAACTAGTCCAGCTTCTGACATCTAACGCTCTTGCAACAAGCTCATCTTTTGAAAGTGTTTTATACTCCTCTATTAATGTGAGATCTCGTTCAGACTGTGGTGTCTTGTCCAATAATTTCACTGTAGAGTACCATTCTTTTATTATGTTATCAATCTTTGCATCTAAGGAACCACCAAGGTTTGTATTTTCCAATAATGAGACTTCTTCAGATGTCCAATAGAATACAGAGCCGGTATCTCTTCCAACGGGTAATAAATCAATGAATGGAGCAAATTTGGCCTTGAGATCTTCCTCTTGAACTATTGTACTTTCACTATCAAACTTGAGTTTTGCAACCAGTAATTTCAAAGCAGAATTGACATTATCAGCATCTTTGAACTTTCCCTTCCCGAAATAACCATCCGATAATTCTTTTCTTAAGATAATATCGAGAGGGATCTTGATTTGTGGAGTAGATGGAGTTGAGGTTATATCTCTTGTAGAAAAGGCACAAACACCCCTATTTTCAGTTTTTTCAAACTTGATTGAAGAATCCAAGACTGCACCGTGGGATTGTCCCCATTTGAGTAAAGCATCAATGCCAGAGTCCAACATGGTGTGAAAAAGTTAATCTCAAGGTTCTTTCCAGATTCAATCATCATAGCGTAAGTTGATTTTTTTTTTTGGCAGATTTTTTTCAGCTTTCAGTGATGTTGCCATGGTGATTTGTATGTGAATTGCTGATAAGTTTAATAGCAAAGATACCTAGTACATTTTCATAAGATATAGATACAGTTAAGCAAGCATAGATTCAATCCTCCTTGATCTTTTAATCAAAAATCCTCGTTTTCAAGACGCGTTTTTGACGTGTTTTAATATTTGGTAGCAAAAATCTGGTACACGCAGCATTTTGGTGTTTACAATTTTCCCGATTGGGCGCTCTAAAGCTCTGAAAACCAAAACAAAAATTTCACAAATTTAAGCTACTTTTGAATCTGATAAACAATCAAAGTGTCAAAACACACAGACTCAAATACATAATTTCAACACAGAGAATGACATCGAGGCCGATAGAGAGCAGATTATCACAAGTGTCTTTGACAAAGAAGCAAGATGCGAAGGAAAGAGTGAGTATAAAAGAAGCTGTGATTTCTTTGTGTTATAAGTACTAACAATAATGAAAACAGGTAGGGAGAACCAAGGATAGACAGGCACCTCCTCAAACTTCAAGAGCTAGGAATCCATTGACAAAGATTCAACTCAATAATACCCAAAGACTCAATCAAAGACTATCATCTTCATCATCTACAACTTCTAAACAACAACCATCATACATGGCTCCAACCATTTCAGCTTCTGCTAACGTTGCATCTCCACATCGTATACGCAGACCTTCACAAGTTGGTAAACAAGAGAGTGGGTATAGTGCGGATAGAAGAGTTGATAGAACTTCATCCATTAGAAAGTCGACCCCATTAAGCATATTACAAGAATCATCAGTGCCACTACGACAATACACTTTGGATGATTTTGAGATCGGAAGAAAATTGGGTAAGGGGAAATTTGGTAAAGTTTATTGTGTTAAAGATAAAAGAACTGGATTCGTTTGTGCTTTGAAAGTCATGGAGAAGAAAGAATTGATGGAATATAAAGTTGAGAAACAATTTAGAAGAGAAGTTGAAATCCAGTCAAATTTGAGACATGAAAATATTTTGAGATTATATGGCTATTTCCATGATCAGTCTCGAGTTTATTTAATCTTGGAATATGTGATATATGGAGAATTATACAAATACTTGAAAAGGAAGAAAAGATTCAATGATATCACAGCATCTCATTATGTTTTCCAAATGGCTGAAGCTTTATCATACCTACATTCCAAAAACATCATTCATAGAGATATTAAACCTGAAAACATTTTGCTTGATTTTGATAACATTATCAAGATTAGTGATTTTGGTTGGAGTGTTCATGCGCCAAACTCTAAAAGATCAACAATGTGTGGTACACTTGATTATTTACCTCCTGAAATGGTTGAAGCTAAAGATCATGATTATAGAGTTGATGTGTGGGCATTAGGTGTTTTATGTTATGAGTTACTAGTTGGTCAACCACCATTTGAAGAAGAATTTAGAGATACAACATATAGAAGAATTGCCAAAGTTGATTTGAGAATACCTGCATTTGTTAGCACCGATGCAGCTGACCTAATAAGAAGGTTATTACAATATGATCCTGAAAAGAGATTTTCATTAAGTGAAGTTAAAAACCATCCATGGATATTGAAGAATAAGAGTTCATGGCCTCACAGAAGAATATCTGCATGATTTGAATAGAACAATTTTATACCCTTATGATCTCCAAACAAGTTGAGAAATCACGAAACAAGTTAATAAAAGTCATTAATATATTTCCGTCATTAAAATTATAAAACTATGTACATATCTTTTCCCCTTTTTAAATCCTTCAGGTAATTAAACCATGAGCTCTAACAATACTTGGTAATCTCTTGACCCAAGGTTCTGATTTTCTATCAATGATCAAAAACACTCTACCAGCTTGATTCATTCTTCCAGTTCTACCAGCTCTATGCAAAAGATCAGCTGAAGTATTAGGAACATCATACAAGATAACATTTCTAACAGCACTAAAATTTAAACCTCTTGCCAATAAATCAGAAGTAACCAAAACCTTCAAGCTTCCTTCCCTTTTTTTAGCTCCTGTACCTTTCTTCAAAATGATATTAGAATCTGGTAATGCAACATTTTGACTATCATCCTCAGTTTCAACAGGTATATCTTCTAACCTTCTTGGGGGATTTATAAAGACCGCAACTTTTGATTGTCTATCCTCTGGTGAATCTTCACCTGTTAAGGTGGTCACGTCATGATTATATGTATCTCTTAAGCTCATAGCTATTTTTTCAATATCTTTTCTTTCATTGACGAAAACAATGCATCTTTTTTCATAACCTTCTTCAGAACCATCACGATGGATGGCATATAAAGCTTGTGCCAAAGCTTTAATCTTGGAGCCTTGGTATGGTTGAACACTAGCATCAATCAAACTGAACTTGATAGTCTTTGGTAATCTATGTAACGAAGGTGTGGTGATTTTAATAGCAGTTGGGAACAATTTATCCATTGTATTGTTGAATTCCTTTGGAATTGTAGCTGTGCAGAAAACCAAGTTTTGCACTGAAGGTAAACGTTTGATAGCATCACAAGTATCATCAATCCATGATGCATCCATTAAAGTATCAGCTTCATCAATAACCATGTATCTAGTTCTAGAGAAAACATATTGTGGTCTTTTGATCATTCTAATGCTTTCGATTCTATTCAGTTTACCAGGTGTAGCAATCAACACGTCAATTCTATTCTTTAAAGCATCAACAAAATCTTCATATTTCGTTGCTGAAGTCCACTTGAAACACTTCAAGTTCAAAGCATCTAGAGCATCTATTGTTTGTTCATAAACTTGATCAATTAATTCATGAGTTGGAACCACAATAACAGCTCTAATGATTGCCTTATCTGCTGTTCTAGCCCATGATTCATCCAGTTCTTCACGTTTCAATCCATCAATTAATGGCGCCATATATGCCCAAGTTTTACCTGACCCAGTCTCAGCAGCAATGGCAAATGTTGACAATGCTGGTTTTTCTAGATATTGGGAGATAACTTTTATAGCTGCAACTTGAATAGGTGTTGGTTTTATATTCACAAGTTGTTCCTCTTCTTGATTTGGAGTTAAACTTTCTTCAACTTGACCAAAATTTTGTTCAAATCTATTTGGACTTGGGCCAATATAATTATCACTATTTAAAATGGTTTTCTTTCTAATATTCTCCAAAACAGCAGCACGAACTTCAGGTAATAGTTTCAAGGCATCAAAAGTTTCAATCTTAGAGACCAAGTTTTCTGCATTTCTGGTATCTTCTGTTTTGATCTCTTTCAAACCTGAGAATCTCCCATATCCAAGCTTTGGAGACTGAGATTCATCAGATCTTCTGTTATTAGTTCTTGGTGATGATTGCGGTCTAGAGCTCTTACGCTCTCTTTCAAAACGAACAGGAACTTGTAATGTCTTTTTTCTTTCAAAAGAGTTTCTAGTTTGAGGTTTCCTCTTTCTTGTGCTCATTTTGTAAGATATCGAGCTCGTTGAAAAAAGTCTCGAGACACCAAGAAAACATGGCGACCGTATAGCACCAGCACTTCGTATCAAGCTCATTTTTAGCGTTTAAATATCCCAATAATTAGTTTCGCCTTTTTTTATGTCAAAATATTGAAATTTTTCACATATAAAAAATCTTTTGGTGTTGCACTGGACAAATGTTTTTTTTTCTTCGACGATGATGAAAAATTGAAGGAAAGGACATCATATCAACAATCAGCTCTTTATTAAAGCCATAGAAATCCATTGAAATGAGTTCATTGAACGAGTTGTTCAAGAAGTTGGAAGTGCACTCTGCGAACGAGGAGCACCAGGAAGTGTTTGACACCAGTTACGAGATTCTCAAGAGCTCTCCTCACGATGCGAGAGCCTTTAGATGGACCATTGTTTCTTCAATCAATTTGGATCAATATTTGACTGCTTTGAAAGTGTTCAAGAACTATCCACAAGCTGATACTGGTGATTTGTTATTGGAAAATCTGTACGTGTATTACAAATTGAATTTGAATAAGGAACTAGCTCAACATTTCGAAGATCTTGGTGATAAAGTGAATGAAAACAAAGGTTTATTACACTTGAAGGCCCAATTCTTGTATAGAACAGGTGATTATGAAGCTGCTTTGAGTCACTACCATGAACTGATAAATGCAACTATTGATGAAGATGAAGATCCAGAAGTTTTAGATTTGAGTGTCAATGAACGTGCTATATTGGCGGATGGTTACCAAGTTGGTGTTTTCAATAGATTCAACTCAAAATTACCATTGACACCAGATAGAGAAGACACATATGATTTGATATTTAATGAAGCATTGATACACCTAGGCTTGAAGAATTATTCAAAATCATTGGAGTTGTTGGATATAGCTGAAGATAAATGTAAAGAAGCAAATCCTGATGAAGAAGATCAATTGAATGAAACTTTCCCAATAAGATTACAAAGAGCATACGTGCACCAAATAATAGGAGAATTTGAAAAGGCTAAAGAAATTTTAACTGGATTTGATCTTTCCAAACTATCTGATTCTTTAAACACTTTGGTATTGAATAACAATTTGATTTCATTGAAAAATATAGAGAGCCCATCTTTGGTTCTAAAAGAGTTGGATTATCCAAATGTTTTAACAAAACTAAGCCCAAGATTCTCAATTTTACAAAATAATAAATTTTTCAAAAACTATGCTAAATTATCAACTCAAGTTGGTAAAAACATCTCAACCAACAAGTCATTAAATGATTTTACAAAAAGTGCATTGGCATCATTATCTAAAGCTGGCGTATTGTTGGATCAAGACGATTTGAAAACTCAAGCTAAAAAATCCTTCAAGTATGCACAATCCTCAAAAAAACTTTCAGCTTCATTAGCTGCTGCTCAATTGAATGTGAATATTGGTAACCTTGATGCTGCTGCTACCGTTTTGGAAATTTTGGAGCCAAAAGATAAACTACTACCTGGTGTTTCAAGTGCATTACTATCACTTTATGATCAATTAGGTAGTTCCAAGAAAAGATTAGCATTGTTTAATGAGATTTATGAGTTATATTCAAACAAGTCTGAATTCCCAAATATTGATGAATATGATTTCATAAAGATTCTTGCATTAAAATTTCATAATGTTGAGACTGAAAAATCCAAAACTCTATTGAATAAGTTGAACAATTATCAAAGTGATGATTTGATTTCTATTGTCTTGTCTCAAGATTCTTCAGATTCATCTAAATTACAACCAGTGGAAGAATTAACTGCAGGGCTAAATGTTGATGAATTGATTTCACAAGGTGTTGAAAGATTATCAAAACAACAAGTTATCTCATCCAGTGCCAACAAAGTTGTCAAGAAAAGAGTTAGAAAAAATAAGAAATTACCTAAATCATTTGATGAAAATAAATTACCAGACCCTGAAAGATGGTTACCATTGAAAGACAGAAGCACATATAGACCTAAAAAGGGTAAAAAGAAGTTAACTAAAGATACTCAAGGTGGTGTTGCTGATAATACTACTGAAGAAAACTTCAATGCTACACCAAAAGCTAAACAAGCAAAACCAGCCCAAAAGAAATCAAAAAAGAAAGGTGGTAAATGATATGTATCTACAAGTGTACAATATTTTAATGACTTACAACGGATTATCCCCAAAAAAAACAAAACGTAACAATTCTTTTTTTTCTAATATACAAGACTTCTCTATTCTCTTCAAGTGAATAATGTATCTTCTTCTCTCAAATATTCACCAATATCACTTTGTCTAAATGCTGAAATTGCAGTTGGTTGTTGGTTTCTAGTTTCTGAAGTTGATTTAGCACTGACACCGAAACCTAATGGGACATCACTCATTGAATACACTATAACACCAGCATGTTCAGGTATATCATCAGACATTCTTCCAATATGAGCTTTCAAAACATGGTTACCATATAAAAATGGCATTTCACCATTTTGTTTGATCCAAATTTTATATTTAGCATATTTGGATAAGATTGATAAGGAAGTAACATGTAATTTGAATTTACCAGTCTTTGTGAATTTACCCATACAGATACCAACAGACATTAAGTTTGGTCTAGCAACTGAAGTTGCAAATTTTGCAATTTTATCAGAGACATAATACACTCTATCTTTTTGTAATCTGAAAACATGAGGATCTTCTTTATTATCCACTAGGTAAGCAATATTTCTACCAATGTAGTTGGCAAGCTTCTCAAACACAACTTTTGTCTCCTCTTCAGTTAACGGTCTCATGACTTAAATGCTTTAATGAACTTGGAGCTCAACTATAAAGTACTTTGATCTGTATGCCTTTTTGATATAAATTCACACAGCAAATTTTCGCGCAGGGTAAACTCATCGCTTGGAAAATTACATAATATGTTATGTAATATAAAGCTCATAACGGTCGTAATCGGCTTTAAGTTAGCCTATAATATGTTTCTTTATAGTCATCTATATGTATACCTTTGAAGCACTCTAATCATCTCATCTTTTAAGATAGATATGAGAATACATAACTCATTAGTATCTGTGATTTCCCTAACATTTAATTAATAAATTCTGGATTTTCCATTACCGGGTAAATCACCAGTAGAAAAAAAATTTATATGTCAAATTTTCTATGCTATGCTTCGAAAACCAATACTTCAAAACAGTTTAATCTTTGTATTCAAGAGTTTTGCATTTAGTGAAGGAACCTTGTATCAGATAGAGAATAACTGTTTCTACTATGAGTGAAGAACCAAAAGCACCTGAATCCATTGCCATCACCACACCACAAGAGGCTGTTGTTGAAGATAAACCAGTCCAAAAAGAAGAACAAGTTGTAAATAAAGATGTGGAAGCTGATGACCAACCTGGTGAAAAGACTTACAAACGAGGTCAGCGTGCTAAGTGGACTAAAGCCAGAAAAGCAGACACCGATGGCCGTGAATCCAAGAGACAGAAAAACAACAAAGAAGCGTGCGTATGTTTTCAAAGATGAATTCTTATTAGAGATTCTAGTTACTAACTGATATTGTGTTTAGTGCAGAAAGAAGACAATGGCAACCAAGAGAACCAAGAGAAGCTTTATTAGATGAAAATGGGAACCCAATTCCAAGACAACCAAAGAAAAAAGTTGCTATGATGATTGGTTATTGTGGTACTGGATATCATGGTATGCAAGTTAATCCTCCTCATAAAACTATTGAAGGTGACCTTTTCGATGCTATGATCAAAGCTGGTGCAATTTCTAAATATAATACTGACGATCCTAGAAAAGTTAGTTTCATGAGAGCTGCAAGAACTGATAAAGGTGTTCATGCTGCTGGTAACTTGATTAGTTTGAAATTGATCTTAGAAGATGGAGATATCATGAAGAAAATCAATGATAACTTGCCAGAAACTATTAGAGTTTGGGGGATTGAAAGAACAAATAAGAATTTTGATTGTAGAAAGATGTGTGGTTCAAGAGTTTATGAATATTTAATCCCAACATACTCATTCATCGGTCCAAAACCGGCCTCTGCTTTAGGATTAAAGATCAAGGAACAATCTGAATTACATCCAGGTGTCACTAGAGAAGATGAAGAATCTGTTAAGTTTTGGGAAACTTTTGAAGCTAAAGTTAAAGAAGCTGGTTTCACTGAGGAAGAAGTTCAAAAAATTAAAGAATTCAAACCAGTTCCAAGAGATGAATTTGATGAAAATGATCCAATGATTCAACTTATAAGAAAATATAAAGCCGTGGAGAATGATTTAAAGAGATCTTTTAGACTTTCTGAATCTAAATTGAACTTGATGAGAGATGCCATGAATGTTTATCTTGGTTTCCATAATTTCCATAATTTCACATTAGGAAAAGAGTTTAAAGATGCCAGTGCTGGTAGATTCATGAAAAACATCTCAGTTAGTGACCCATTTGTCATTGATAGTACTGAATGGTGTTCAATCAAGATTCATGGTCAATCTTTTATGTTGCATCAAATTAGAAAAATGATTGCAATGGCCACATTAGTTGTTAGAACAGGCTGTCCATTAGATAGAATCAATGAAGCTTTCAATGCCGAAAAAGTCAATATTCCAAAAGTTCCAGCTTTAGGTTTGTTATTGGAACAACCAGTTTATGAAGGTTACAATAAAAGGCTACAAGATTTTGGTTATAAGGAAATCAATTTCCAAAACTACGCTGAAGAAATGGATGCATTCAAAAAGAAGCATATCTATGATAAGATCTATGCAGAAGAAGTTAAAGAAAATACTTTTAATGCTTTTTTCAACTTTATTGATACATTTAATGGAGATTCAATTTTTGATTTCTTGACTGCTAAAGGGATTACTAAATTGGAAAAAGACCAACTCAGTGAAGTTCAAATTCCAAACCAAAAGGAAGAACCATCTGTCGAAGAATAGAGGATGAACATAGAATATAATCACAAACTGTATATTACTTGAGTTTTTCAAATTGTGCTTGGTAGTTTATATGCGTTCGCGAATTCAATCTGTAAACACCGGGTAAAATTCGAGGTTTTTTTTTCGAGATCGAGCTCCATTTCTGACGATCCAAAATTTTTCAGTAAAATCAACATAATGAAAATTGTATCGAAGAGTTGAAGATTAGAGATCTGTTGAATCCAAGAGCCATGCTAAGGTCCTCTGCTCGTTATTTCACTGCCATCAGAGGCTTCCACACTTCATTGACCTCTTTTGCTAAACCTGTAGCACCTGCAAAGAAAGCTGTTCACGGTTATAAAAAGACATCTTCAGGTAAAGTTAAGAAAACTTCAGGTGCTGGTAAATTCTTTAATGAATATGTTACTGGATTGAAATTGGAGAAGAAAGCACAAGAAATTCCAGGACTTGCTGTCCTTGAGAAGGAAATTAAAGAAAACACAGTTGTCAAATATACTCAATTGCAAATGAAGAAATTAGTTATTAGTGGTTCTTTCAAGAATAACCAATTTAGAGAATTGTTTCAAACTCCAATAACGCTCGTTACAAAAGATACTAAACACATGCAAAGTTTTGTTAAAAAGGCCTCTACATCAAATTCCAAAAATAATAGAATATGTCTTTTAGGTGAAAATGGTATTGGGAAAACAAGTTTATTGGGACAAACACAAGCCTTGATTTCCAATTTGGGTGATTCAGTTATCATTCCTATTCCACATGCAACACAATTAGTCAATGGTCGTAATGATTTCACCCTTGACCAACAAACTAAACTATACACCCAACCAATGTTTTTAAAGCGCTTTTTAGACAAGATTTTGAGGGTTAATGATAAAATTTTAACCAAAATACCAATCAAGAATGAATATTCATTTGAAGGTAATACTAGACATAAAAGTCAAGTTAAAGCCACACCAAACAGACACACTCTATATGATTTAGTGAAATTGAGTGTTGCTCCAAGATATCGTGGGAAACAATTTGATGCAATCATTTATGAATTAACTGAACAAGATAAAGTTCCTGTGTTTTTAACAGTGGATCACTTCAATTCTTTAACCTCAGATTTCCAAACCGCATACCGTGATACAGAAAACAAAAGTGTTCATGTTGAAAAATTCCAAATTGGTAAATTAATTTTTGAATTTGCTAGTGGTGCTAAATCTTTCAAGAAAGGTGGTGTTATATTAGTCACTTCAACAGATGCAAAAACTACCGATACATTGAATGCTGGATTAGGCTTATCTGAACCAGATCCTTACACTCCAGAACATAGATGGGATCGTGAATTATCTGAAAAATTGAAAGGTGTTAAACCTTATCAATTGCATAAATTTTCAAAAGAAAATGTATCTACATTAGTGGAGAAATTCATTGATGCTGATATTTTCAAAACCAGTGATTTACAAGGAAACACTTTTGAAAATTTGGTCAGTCAAAAATATATTTTAAGTGGTAATGGTAATCCTGGTGAATTGATTAAATCTATTGTCATGGGAATAGCTTAAAAAATGCTTTCTAGCTGTATATAAATGAAATTTTGTAAATATTACATTCTGAGAAAAACACTACATTGATTGTACAAGATAAATAGAATAAAATGGTATAATAATACAGGTTGCTTACAGAGTCAATTATATGTTTTCTGAATATTACTTTATTCAGTTCTTGGCTTCTTTGATTCATGTTCTTCATTATCCTCGGAGTCATCATCTTCTTCTTCATACGTTGGTAATAACTCATCATCTTCTTGAGGTCTCTTTTTGGATGGAGGTGCCCCATTAGGTATATGCTGCGAAGGTTGTTGTTGAGTGTGTGGAGATTGATGTTGTTGAAATTGTTGATGTCTTGATTTTCTATTCAATTCTCTTTGCTTCCAAGAACGCTCTATTGTTGGTGATTCTTTTATGAGATCTTCTTTTGTGACACCATCTCTTATACTTTCCAACACCCTTTGAACAACAGTAGCGTGATTCCCATTGGCTTTATCATCTCTAAACCTTAGAAGTCTCCAGTTATCCTCTTTATCTTTATGACATTCAACAATTCTTTCCTCTAGTGGTTCTTCAAGACTTTTCAATTTTTCCCATTCTTCATCACCAATTGCAAGCTCTGAAAAGTTTGAGTATTGGTCCTTACCATCCCAAACTAGTAATTCAAATCCTGGTTTGACATCATAATTTGGATATGAACGATATGGGTCCCTTTCATCCAAATCTAAATCTGTATATAAGGGTATATTCAAATGAAGTTTGAAATCAATTGTATTTTCTTCACTTGGTTTCCATTTCAATAATGTTGGATCAGTTCCAAATACATATGGTGTTTCACGACATGTAAAGATTAAACCATCCGATATATGGCCCAAATACTTTAGATTCTCAAAAACTTTCGGTATCTTGTAAGAAAAATGCATATTTTTTAAAGACAACTTAAATGGAAAATCTTCACATTCTTTTGGGTGATGTTCTCTTAACTTGAAATATGGTTTATAGAACTGTTCAGAAAGATAACCCAATCTTTTGTCCAGAGGCCTTGTAACAATATTTTTCCCATTCAGAGTTAAACAATCAAACATCAAATATCTCAATTCTTTTACGCCATCAGTAGGCCTTTTCGAAAGCACCAACTCACCATCAATGATAGTACCATTATGACAACTATTTTCATCTTCGGGCAATGGGAAATGAAGATGAGGTATTCTAAAATATTGGTTCTCTCTCGTTATTAAAAAGACAGCCTCTTCTCCGTTAGGATCCAAAATACACAGCATCAAACAACGTAAACCATCGGATTTCTCACAAACGAAATAATCTCTTCCTTCCAAGTTCTCTCTGATATGTTTAGCTTCAAAACTCACTGGCTGTGATCCCGGAAACTCCAATCTTCTTCTGTTCAATAGCCTTGCAACTTGTTGTTTAACTTCATGGGCTATACTGTCTGGCATCAGCTCGCCAGGAATTTCTGGGAAATCTCTTTCCTCGAGCATTGTTTAGTTCACACAAACAAAAACCAATCCTGTATTGGGGGGCCTATCTACTCTGCTAACAATATCCCCAATTGGCCTGTTTGATCTTATTGTTCAAGTGTCACTTTGAGCTGTTCACTTGGTAACCATCCAAAACAAAAAATCACAAAACCACGAAAAAAATCAAAACAAATTCGCGAAACCAAAAGCCGTTACCCGCGGAATGAGAATTATCATCAAAATTTTTGCAGGACGCATTCGCGAAGATGACAGATTTTCAAAATTTGAGCGTGAATTTGAAATGAACCAAAGCAGAAAACAACAATCAACGACACGGTCAAGGTCACCAGAAGCCAACCGTGGTGCAAAGAATACTCCAGCCCCGATGAATAGCAGCAGCAATAGCAGCTACCAGCAGGCACCGTACTCTGTGGCGCGCCAAAGCCAGGCCCAGACTAGCAATAAAGTAGTCGCCCCAGCAGATTATCAACAACAACAACATCAGCATCATCAGAATCAAATACAGACAAATCAACCAGCGGCAAACTACCATCAGAGAATCCCAGCTCCTTTCCAAACGAAGATTGTTGCCAAGCCTCCAGTGAGGAAACCGAAGCAGTATCATGGAGTTTGCAGATTGGACCGTTATCAAATTATTAAACAACTGGGGAAAGGTACTTTTGGTATTGTTTATAAAGGGATCCATAAACAAACAGGCTATTATGTCGCCATCAAGAAAATTTTGATTCATAAAGGTGCAGATTGTTTCCCAGTGACTGCTTTTAGAGAAATTGATATCCTCAAGAATCTACAAAGTCCCGAATGCAAACATATTATAGAGTTGATTGACATGATTAGGGATAGACCACCTCCTAATGATGAATATACCAATTATGATTCTTCAAAAGCTCCAAAAAGTATCAAGAAATCATTTTATATGGTGTTCCCATATATGTCTTATGATTTAAGTGGGATATTGGGTAATCCATCTGTGACTTTAACAGAACCAGATATCAAATCAATAATGAAACAACTATTGGATGGGATAAATTTTATACATGCTAGTGGCTATTTACATAGAGATATCAAAGCTGCTAATCTTTTGATAAACTGGGAAGGTGTGCTAAAGATTGGTGATTTCGGGTTGGCCAGATCCTATGGGGGACCAAGACCAACATTAGACAAAGCCGGTGGTGGTAATTATCCATTGACAGAAGTTGTCATGACAAGATGGTATAGAGCACCAGAAGTGCTGTTTGGTGATAAGTTATACACTACTGCAGTTGATATTTGGGGGATTGGATGTGTTTTTGGAGAGTTGTATGAAAGAAAACCAATTTTACCTGGTAAATCTGACTTGGATCAAGCTTATGATATCTTCAAGTTGGTTGGTGAAGCTAATGAAAATAATGTTACACATATGGATAGATATAAATTTGAGGAAAAGAACATCATATTGAAACCAACAAAAAGAACCCTTGAAGAAAGATTTGCTAAATCAATTTCAAGTGAAGGAGTTGACTTATTAGCCAAAATGCTCGCATTGGATCCAGAAAGAAGAATTACAGGGTTGAAAGCCCTGGAACATCCTTATTTCAATATCCAACCATTACCAACAGAAACCGTTGATGTTAACTTCCCAGAATGTCATGAAGCTGACATTGCTAGGTTCAAAGAAGAGAACAGAAAGAATAATAATAACAACAATGGAGCTATGGCTATCAATAACAATAGCAAAAGACCGTACCCAAATGCATTACCACAAAGTCTGCCGAAAGTACCTGCTGTCGGTGCTGGTTTCAACAACACTATAAATAAACCAAAGACATCATTCATAAAACATACACCAGACAGGGTTAATAATCAAAGTGATAATAGAATTGTCCAAAGACCTGCACATCCACAAGATTTAGACACCCCACCACCGGCACCTTCACATTCTGCACAATATCAAAGTAATAATATGATGGATCAGAGAAGATACGGTTCAAATAACAATAATAATCATAGATATGGAGCTGCTGCTTCCGGATATACAAGAAGACAATATGAAAGCCCACAAAATTTATCAAGAAGACCACCTCCACCATCTTCACAACCACCTCAAGTGATGGCAGGTGCACCTCCAACTCAACCTGCATCAACAGTGCCACCTCAGTCACAATTGCAAGTTCCACCACAGCATCACCGGAAATACAGTAATAATCAAGAAGGAGCTGATAGATATTATGACACAGAAGATGTGAATGGCTTCCAAGAATTTAAAAATCAGAATAATGGTAACTCTGGGGGATATTATCCAACACAATCTTACCAAAGATCAGGTCCAACTTCAAGATCATCGGACAGATCTCTGCCTTCAAGAGACCAGCAACAAAATTATCCTCCAACAAAATATAATGAACGCCAAAGACCATATCATTACACATCACATGCTGAAGCTAGAGCTCAAGAAGCTGCAAAGAGAAGAAAATTACAAGATCAAGGTGGAGGTATGGATTATTAAAAGCATAAGATTGTTATCACATTTAATTTGGCATATAGTTTTTTTCTTTTCAAAACAAACAGGAATGATTGAATTGGAATAGTTTAATATTATTAATCGTTAATTTGAACGGACACTTATAGATGAGCTTTGTAGTTCTTTGTTCGGTGATTGTGGTTACGGGCACTGGTCCCAAACGGTGTATAGCGTTCGTTATATCGAGTGATCTAAACAGAAAAAGAACGAGGGTAAATCTAGACAATTTTAAAGCGTAGGAGTTGAATAAACTGGGATATTTCGGTCTCTTAATAGTTTAAAATATTAAAGATATCCAATTTCATATATTAGTCCCCAAAAGTTCCAATTAAAAAACCACAGCCAAAAGAGAAATCAGTTGGAAAAGGTTTTAAAAATTTCAACATTAACAACTGCGAAAGAAAAAAAAACTTGCCAACTTTCCACAACATTTTGAACATTTCATGGATATTTCCCATTAAAAGAAAGGCAAATCACAATGAGCTCCAGTAATCAGATGAGCGTGACCCCTGCCAGTGACGATAACTTACCCAGCAGCAGCAGTACGTCCACAAACAGACCCAAAAGAAGAAAAGCCAAAGTGGACTATACAGAAAAGAGAGATTTTGACTTTGAGATACCCACCAATCAACAGCAAAATCCACAACAACAACAGACATCCACTGCGAATGGAACACCCAATGGGAAAAGCTCTGGGAAGAAAAGAGGGAGAAAAGCCGCCAATAGTACAAATTCAGGCCCAACCACGAGGGCTGATACTCCAAATTATAACGAAGAAGAAGATAATGGTGCATTCCCACTGAATTACCAACCAGAAGTTAAAAACGCCAGATTCTCACAACTGCTGGATTTGAAAGATGCAGTGGTTAGAGATGGGATCGAGTTGATCCTGAGTAATGGTGAAAAGTTGTCAAAGAATGAAAACGTCTATTTAGTATGTGAGCCTCCTGGTGAGCCATATTATGTTGCACGTATTATGGGGTTTGTCAAGAAGGATTCAAAGCATTTGATCCAACAAAAAGATGATGAAGTTAAAGTGAAGACACGCCAGGGCAAATCTGTTGTTGAGCCTGCTGAAGGTTATAGATTCAAAGTCAATTGGTATTATAGATCAAGGGATATCTCCAAGCATTCTAATGATTCAAGACTGTTGTATGCTTCAATGCATTCGGATACTTGTCCTTTACAATCTTTTAGAGGAAGATGTATTGTTAAACATAAAGACGAGATTGAAGATTTCGAAGCTTTCAAGACTATGCCTAATCAATTTTGGTTTGATAAATTATTTGATAGATATATGATACGGTTTTATGAAGTGTTACCAACCTCACACCTTACAAGCTTGCCAACAAATTACTATAACGCCTTGATGAAAAGATTCCCATACATATTTGTGGAACAAGGGAAGAGTAAAGATATGTTACAATCCCCTAAAAGCTGTGCCAAATGTAATCAATGGTGCAGTCATAGTGATTCTATTGTCTGTTGTGAATGTCAAGAAATGTATCATATGCTCTGTTTAGATCCTCCATTATTTAAAAAACCAGCTAGAGGTTTTGCATGGTCATGTATCAAATGTACCAAAAAGTTGGAGAGTCAAAAATTGATCCCAACTAAAGCTAGTCTTGAGGAAGATGGTGCCAAAATCCCATCAAATGTTGTAACAGCTCAACCAAATGAAGCTAAAAGATTACCTTTATATGAAGAATTGGCTATAAGCTTCCTGCAAAAGGATTCTGACTTGAGTCTTCAAGAGAGAAGAAACCAAGAGGAGTGGGTCTATAGATATTTGGGTATGCATGCTAAATTGGAAGATGCACTTGATCTTCAAGATCGTCCTTATCCAAGAGCTGCCTCTAGATTGGGATCTAAGCATCAATTAACAGGTGTTCAAGATTGGTATGGTCATACTGTCAAATATTATGATAATGCTGGTTTAGCTGAAGAGTATCAAAAAACCACAGTTGTTAAAAAGAAGAAAGTTGATGGTAGAAGAAAAAAGACAACATCTGAAGAACCTGAGGAAGAATATGAGATTTTGCCAATTCCTCAAGAGTTTAAAGATACAGATCCAAGTGATTTCCCACCTTGGATACAAGAGAGACCAAAAGGTTATGTGGAGAGAGGTGGTGAAGATACAGCCACTTTGATGTGGAAACAACCAGAATCACAAGAGAAGTGTGAACAATTGGATCAATATATCAAAAATTGTGAACCTATTGCAGTTGGATTGGATTTGTTACCAAATACACCAAATTTCGTGGATAGAATTTTGAAAAATTTATTGGATTCAAACTATGATTTTGATAAAGCCAATGAATTGAATAAATTAATCACAAGAGAGACTTTAAAGGAACCAACATTTTCAGATGAAGAGATCAAGAAATTTGAAGATGGTGTTAGACAATTTGGTAGTGAATTATATCCAGTTTATCAATTTGTGAAAACCCAACCTTCCTCTATGATTGTTAGATTTTATTACCTTTGGAAGAAAACCAAGAATGGACATTTAATTTGGGACAATTTTGAAGGTCGTCGTGAGACAAAAAGCAAACCAAAAGAAGTTGATGAAGTTGATGATTTAGGAAACTCTGCTGATGATTCATCATATGATCGTAAAAAAGCTGTCAAGAGAAGCTTCCAATGTAAACATTGTAAAACATTGGACTCAATTCAATGGTTTAGATGTCCTGGTCAACAACATGTTTTGAATGAATCAAACTCAGAAGATAGAGTGTTTGCCCTATGTATGAGATGTGCAAGATTATGGAGACGTTATGCAGTTGTTTGGGAAGATCCTAATGAAGTTATGAGAAAGACTGGTCAAAAAGGTGGTAATGGTTGGAAAAAGAAGGTTGAAAGTGAATTAATGTTGGATTCTGAATTGATTTTAAAAGCTAAAAGTGAATTCATTGCAGTTAATGGAGGAATTAGTACACCTTCAAATGAACAGACACCATCTAATGCTGGAAGAAAAAGAAAACAATCATCAGTGGAACCAACACCTATTGAAGATCAATTAAAGAAAGTTAAAGCAACAGCTTCAGTAGCCACAACCACTACAACTACACCAGATGGTAAACCAAGAGAAAAAAGACCATATCATAAAAAGCAATTCGAACCTAAGTCACATGAAGAAAAACCAGAAATCTTGGTTTCGAATATATTGACAGATGCACCAAATGTTAATTTACAACAAGCTATAGTGGAGAGATATTATCATTCCACTTCAGGGACATATAATTCAAGACCAAAATTCCAAGAATTACCAAATCAGAAATCTCCACTAGTTAGTCAATCTTCATCCAAGCTGATTAAACCATTAACAAACTCAAAGAAATGTGCAGTTTGTCTTGATAATAGTGATCCTTCAACTTCATTGTTTTGTTATGGATGTGGTGTCAACATTCATCCCCAATGTTATGGTATTGATACAGATGATATTAAAAATCCGTTTGGAAGCTATAAATGGTTTTGTGATCCATGTTCAAATTCATTAAATCCTTTAGTTTCCAGTAATTATAAATGTTCACTTTGTGGAATGTATAATGAGGATGAAATTGTTAAAGCAGGTTTGAAAAGAACTAGTGATGGTAAATGGGTTCATGTTTTATGTGCTTTGTTTAATGATCATATTAAATTTGGTAATTTAGCAACATTACAACCAATTGTTGGATTATCTAGTGCCATTGCAGCCAAGTATAGAAATGGTGATAATATCAAAAAATGTGATGTTTGTGGTGATAAAGTCACACTAAGCATTGCACAACAACCTGAAAGTAATGTCCATGTTGGGTTTAAAGTTGTTGGTGAATCTAAACCAGATAGTAAATGTGTCAAGGTTGGAAATAATGGGGTTGGTAAATTAACACCTGTTGTTATATGTGGTGCTCATAATGTTGAAAACTTAGAGGTTGACTTTGTATCATTGACTTCACAAGTTAAAAGATATAAACAAGGTTCAGTTTCCACTGCTTTACAATTATATATTGAAGATTTCAAAAAACCTAATGGCAATGGGGGGTTAACAGGTGCACAATCAAAATTTGTTGAAATTCAAGACTCTTGGAAGATTTTAGGGGAATTGGAGAATAAAGATGATGAAACAGATGAAGAAAAATCACAAGTTGATGAGTCGTGTTCGAATTGTCAAGCTTCCAAGACTTTGAAATGGATTAAACAAGATGGTGGTGAACAAATTTGCTATAATTGTTACTTGAAACAACAAGAAGATGTTGAGATGAAAGATGTGGATTCAAATGCTGATGAAGAGGGAGAAGTTGCTGATAAAGGTTATGAACAGATTGTTGAAGTATCTAAAGGACCATTGTATGGTGGTAATTATGGTATCGAAGACTCTAGTGATAAATTAGTTAGACCTGAAGATCAAGTTGTTGAATATTCGTTTGGGTTATTACCAGAACCACCTCAAAATGCTCCTTCACCTCAGATACCTCAACAATTACCTTTTAAGAATGGTACAATTTCAGAATATAGATATTATCCACCACCTCCGGATGCACATAATAATGCACCACATTTATCAAAATTCATGAATGGTGGTATTGGATTATTGGAAGAAGGTAAAGAAGGTGGTGAAACTGTGGTTAAATCTGAAGATCAATCAACTATTGTATCCACAACAGCATCTGTTGCTGCTTCGCCATCCCAACCACAACCACCAGTACTTGAGAAGAAGAATTCCATCAATTCCATCATGAATACAGATCAAGGTATTAGTAATGGTAATAATAACAATAATGACAATAAGAGTAATACTAATGAGCAATACTTCAACAAGAAGATGTCAATTGGGAGTATTTTGGGTTAAAAAGGTTTAGCATATATTTTTAATTATTCGAATAAAAAGTTACATTATGAATAGGTTTGTAGACATTATTCTTTTATAATACACATGGTGGTTATTTGCCTCATATATAACCATTCTTTAATGCAGTTTCAATTTTATCAATTTCACTTAATGAAGTTGCAGTTTTCAATTGTTGTTTCAACTTTTCTCTATCTTCCTCTGACAATTTTTTCAAAACGTCTTTAATTTGATCATCATCTTTATCATTATCTAAAATGTGTTTAGGTTTGGAGTTCAAGATAGTTTTAGCTAATTCTGTTGGTTCTTCAACTTCACCAAATAATTCATTAGCTTGAGTGCGTTCTTTATCTTTAATCTTCATAAAGTCTAAAACTTTCAACTGAGGTATTAGCCATATGATGAACAATCTATAATGTTCCTGCTGTGATATATGATTGTTCAAAATATATAGATTTTTCAACCTTTTACAATTTTTCAAAGGTTCAAGGCTTGATAATGATGCTAAACTGTTTGATATCAAAGACAATGATTCCAACATAGGCACAGTGGTGTAGAAATCATCCTGAATGGTTTGTATTCTGTTCTTAGCCAACAATAGAGTCTTTAATCTGGTCAATATTGGGAAGTTCCCCAATATTTTGATATCATTATCTGTCAAATCTATAGCTTCATTAACATCTTTTGTGACGGTGAAGTTCTCGATCATTGGGATCTTGAGAGACCTTAGACTCAGCGTACGCTCATGTTGTGGATTGATGAACGAGGGAGCATCTAACAAGACGTTTGGAGTGAGTCTCATGGTTCAGTTTTGGGTGGTTTGGTTCAGTTTGATGCTGTTTATATGAAAATACTTTTTAGCCCATACAATTTTTCATATGCGTTTATGGTTCTTGGGAAATCGCGATTTTAGTGCAATTCGCGAAGCAGCTTCAAGAGCTCATCAGACGGGTATAAAAGAGGTTGGAAATGATGGTAAAATGTGTTTTATTGTGATGATCAAGGCCATTTGGAGATGAAACAGTCAGTCGATTACTCGCTTTATCTCGTGACTAATGCTGAGATGGTGCCCGAGGGCATCAGCTTCATCGAGCAAGTGCAAACAGCCATTGCCAACGGTGTCACTTTGGTGCAACTGCGTGAGAAGGAGATTGATACCAGAACGTTTGTCGAACGAGCCAAAGCTGTCCATGAGCTCACAAAGAAGGCTGGGATCCCACTGATCATCAACGACCGTGTGGATGTCGCGTTGGCCATTGACTGCGAGGGTGTCCATGTGGGACAAGACGATATGCCTGCTGCCGATGTTCGAAGACTATTGGGTCCAGACAAGATTGTAGGTGTGAGTGTTGGGTTTGCCCATGAGGCCAGGGAAGTGATTGAGCAAGGCGTGGTGGACTACATTGGGATAGGGCCCATGTTCGAGACCAACACCAAGAAGAACATGAAGAAGCTGCCCTTTGGACCCCTTGGTGTGCGTGGTGTTTTGCAAGTGCTGAGAGATGAAGGTGGTGAAAACATCAGAACTGTTGGAATCGGTGGTATCAATGATACCAATGTCCAAAGAGTCTTGTATACAAGCTCAATTGCTGGAAGATCATTGGATGGTGTTGCTGTTGTATCAAATATCATGGCTTCCAAAGATGCTGGTGCTGCAACTTCTAAACTGTTGAAATTGATTAAATCTTCCACTGGAAAGTATCTAACCAACAATTATCCTTTAGAAATCACTCCAAAAACTCAATTAATCAAAAACGTTACTGATCTAAAGCCAATGGTTCATCATATCACAAATAACGTTGTAAAGACATTCAGTGCAAATGTTGCCTTAGCCATTGGTGCATCCCCGGTAATGTCTGAAGAAGTTGAAGATTTTGGTGATTTCTCAACTTTCCCAAATGCTGCCCTGTTGTTGAACATTGGAACACCAAGAGAAACTGAAATTGATACTTATTTAGCTGCTGTTGCCAATTATAACAAGAATGGTAACCCTGTGATATTTGACCCTGTGGGAGCTGGTGCGTCGAAATTCAGAAGAGATTTGGTTCGTAGAATCTTGAATTTAGGTTACCTAACAGTCATCAAGGGTAATGAAGGTGAAATCTTCACTGCTGCTGGTGTGGATAAAGTTATGAAAGGTGTTGATAATTTGGGGAAAGAAAACAGAGATGTTGTCATTGAAGCTGCAAAGAAGTTGGCGTTAAACACTAGATCTGTTGTTGTTGTAACCGGTGAAGAGGATATCATCGTGGATGGATATTTGTCTGGTGAATACAAGATTCCAAAAGATGTGAATCAAAGAGTTGTGACTATTAAAGGTGGTCATAGATTAATGGGTGAAATTACAGGTTCAGGTTGTTCTCTAGGAAGTGTAATTTCCGCTTATGTTACAGCAAATAGAAATGATCCATTTTTGGCTACCGTTACTGCAGTTGCTTTGTTCAATCAAGCTGGTGGTTTAGCTGGTAAAAAAGTTGAAAATGAAGGTTCTGGTTCTTTTATTTCTGAATTCTTGAATCAATTACAAAAAGTTACAAAAGAGGGAACCCCTTCACAATGGAATGTTGTGATATCAGATATTGAATAATAATTACATGTTGACCCTTTTTTCGAAAAAAAAAACACGCGTACCCATTATTTATATACAAACACACCCTAAAATCATAAACTCCTTTAGTTTTCATATGATAATGAACTTCTTTCACTTGGTAAGATCTTTTTACCTTCTTTTGGTTCATATTCTTCTTTAGCCTTCTTCAAAATTTCAGCCTCTTGTTCAGCTGTAAATCTTTTAACAACTTCATTTGGTGAAACAAATTTAAATTTACCAAATGCAAAATCTCTATCAGACATCTTTGATAAAACATAAAGTTGACCTCTAACATAACTAACCATAGCTTCTAAATGCATCATATCAACATTTTTTTGAGCATTGAACAAATTTCTCCATAATGCTTGTGCCAACGTGACATCATCCGTGACAAATGCTTCGTCATATGAGCACACCAACCCTCTCAGTTGTGAATTATAATCTTTTAAATATTGATCAGTGATCCTACTTGAATTCACATTCATTTCTTCATTCAATCTTAATTCCATATCTCTAAAGAATCTATCAACAAGTTTTTGTTGATAATTACGCCCATATTTAAAAGGCATAGCTCTCATTCTAACAGAAAGCATCCATTGATGTAATGCAGTAATTTGAAACCATTGTGAAAAAGTTCTTGGTAATTTCAAATCTTCATAAAAAAATGCAGCACTTTCACTTAGTTCTTCATTCTCGAATTGTAAACCTTGTTTCTTACATTCTGCATAATAAACTGAACCGGCAATTGGACCTGCTCTAATTTTATCCATATCTAATCTTAAAATTGAAATGACAGATTCACCAATATTTTTCATAAACCCTGATAATTCATAACCTTCTTTTTCATATTTAGAATCTGAAAGCATTGGTCTCTTGGTCTTTGGTTTAACAGGTGCTTTATTTTCTGGAATTTCAATGTTTAATGTAGATGATGTTGCAATTTGAGATGGTGAACGATCATCAATTTTTTTCACATCTTTTGGTTGTGGTATTCTTGAAGTGGCATAGCTTCTTGTAGCTATTCTAGCAGCTGGAACAGCATATGCCTTACATATGGTAGGAACTCTCAACATTATGATCTATCTTCCCCTTCTGTTTCTTGAAAAGTACGCCTTCATCATAGCTAATAACCGTCAAAACTTTTTTTTTTCTTTTCCTTTTGATAAAAAAAAAAAACAAGTGGTGTTTGGATGCTTACGTATCTGATTTGGGGTAATACGCAATTTTTGATTCGTTAAAACTACTGAAATTTTAAACTATTTTACAAAATTTATGAATTTAACAAAGTATTTTCGGTTTAAATCATCTTCTTCCTCTTCTTGAGCGTGGTGGTGGTGCTCTCTTTGGACCTTCGTAATGGGTATGTCCCAATGCTTCAACAACACTTTGATTGACCCAATCTAAGCAACGTTGAACTTCATTATCTTCTTTAATATTCTCCAACCTAGCAAGAAGTTGAGCCTTGTGTCTTTTCTTCTCATCGTGTTCTTTCAATTTACGCTTCTTTTGCTCTCTTCTAGCGATCCTACGACCAGGTCTTGATCTCTCCTTCTTGGCTTGTCTTTCAGCAATTCTTTGTCTAATTTCAGCCTCTTTTTGACGTCTCTCTTCAGCTATTTTTTCAGCAGCTGCTATTGATCTTCTTGTTCTTGGTTGTTCCTCTTCACCAACTCCCAAAAATTCCGGTTCTGCAGAGTCTGAACCTGACAAAATTTCAATATCTGAATCGCTAGATGAAGATGATGAAGATTCTTCATCTTCCGAATCTGAAATGATGATTTCACCAATTTCTCTTGTTAATTCTTCTTCATCTTGATTCTTTGAGTCTAATCTGAGTGCTTTACGTCTTGATTGAACACTCGATAAAATTTGATCCTTTACCGTATTCAATTCTTTCAATAGCTTTGTTTCTCTTTCACCCCATGGATTCAACCATTTGAGTAAATCTTCAATTTCACTAGCATTATCATAAAATCTCCAATGCTTTGTGGTTAATAATGGGTCTGGATTTTCTTCAATGATTTTTCTTTGAATTGGTTGTAAATTCTCTGCAGCTGCACCATATTCATCAACTAAGGTACGATTTTCAGTTGAAGATTTGATGTTTCTTTTTTCTTGATCAAATGTAAGTTGGAAAACTTTTTCAGCACTTTCAACAAAATTCTTTGGTAATTTTGGAACTTCATTGATTTCCTCTTGAGTTTCGTTTTCATCCTTTTCTTCATCTTCATCATTTTTGGTCACTTCTTCTCCTTTAATCTTGTCTTCAGAAACTGATTCCATAGTTGATATCCATTCCTTAACTTTTTCTGGAGTCAATTTGAAATGCATAAAAGCATCTTCATTAGTTGGACCTTGAATCCACAATCTACCCATCAAATAAGTTTCATTCAAAAATTCATCATCTTCATCGTCTTCATCTTCGTCTTCGTCTTCATCTGCACCACCATCATTATCTTCATCTGCACCACCACTGCTCTTACCAGAACCACCTAAATTTGGTAAGCCATTGTTTTCAAACCACCAATATCTGTTATATAATCTATCTTTACCAAGATATCTAATTCTTTGAACATCCAATTCAACAATTTTCTTTTCCAAATTTCTTCTTTGTATACGTAAATCTTCAGAAATTTTCAATTGTGCAGTCCGTGCAGCTAATAATGTTGCATATTGTGGATTTATCTTTGAAATCGCCAATTCTTGTTCAGTTGGTTCTTTACTCAGACCTGTTCTTCTTCTTCTCTTTTTGGTTTCAATAGTTTCAGAAGATGGTGTTCCCTGTTGTTGTTGTTGTTGTTGTTGTTGTTGTGACTGTGCCTCATTATTTGCAGAAGATGGGACACTGGATCCAGCACCAGCTAATTCTCTCAATTCTTTATCGGTGTTTTGAGCTCTTTCGAATGCACTTTTATATTCTCTCAATTTTTCTAATCTTTCTCTTCTTAAGTCAGTTGATTCACTCATACATTTATCCAAATACTGCCTTATTGCAGGAGAATTAACCAATAATGAGCAAAGAATGTTTAAAATCTTGATTCTTAAATTTGCTGAAGTTTCTGTCAAGAACTGTGTCAAAATAGCATTTGGAGTAACAGATGTGTCTAATGGAGCTAAAGTTTCAAATGTTTCATTGATTGTAGCTTGGTAATCTTTGATGTCTCTAACCAAATCTAAAACACCGACTAAAATGATTTGCCAGTTTCCATCTTTGAAATTACGTTTTTGTAATCTTTCTTGCCATGAGATTCCTCTATATTCTAGATATTTCTCAACATTATGCTGCTCCTCAACGGCATCTTCAAATTCATCATCATCATCATCATTTTCCTCTTTATCCTCAATTTTATCTTTATCATCTTCTTCAACTTTAGTTCCATTTTCTTTGGTTTCACCTTCTTCCTTCTTGGTATCGGATTGTCCATCGCCATTGGTTTCCTCCTCCGTTTTGACTTCTTTTTTAACCTCTTGTTCTTCTTCATCTTCACCAAAATCAGACATATCAAATTCTTCAGGTAATGTAACTAACAAATCTTGATTTTTTTCACCCATGAATGAAGATAAAACAGCACAAAAGATTTCATCAAGTAGAACACACCGTTTATTTGTGGAATTCCATCTCATTGCTGTTAAGAAATCATCAAATGTAAAAGTATCTAATAGTAATGGAACTCTGTAGACATTCAAAAATGTCCAACTTTCTAAAGCTTCTTGAACACAATCTTCCAGTTGTTTCAACTGATGAGGTTTTGGTCTCTTGATTAAAGAATCTAAAGGTTGGGACAAATCTTCTTCAACAGTTCTTTTCGGTGGTGGTGGTGAAGCTGTCTTGATCATTGTTGGTTTACCCTTATTTGGTGCTGGCAAAATGTTTCTTAGTTTAGAACCATTTGGAACGATAGGAACAAATTTCTTTTCAGGAGTTTTACCATTAGCACTATTCTTTGGGCGAAGTGGCTGAGGAGTTCTTCTTCTAGGTGGAGCTGGTGGTTTTTCCTTGAAATGCGCCAATTCTGGGGGTAATTCTGTTGGGATTCTATATTTTGAAGCATATTTTGATTTAACAATCCATGGAGCTCCAATTTTTGGAGATCTTGAGACGGATAATTTGATAAAAGTCTTAACAAACCATTTCGTAAAGTTTGTTCTATCTCTAGTGATTTGGTTTTCATCAACAACAACTTCAACGTTATCATCACATCTTGAAACTCTATATTGACAATAAGCTGGACGGTAATTATTATTAGCATCAACAACAGCATTGAATTTTGCCTTTTCTCTAATGATACATCTGGTTTTAAAATCATTTTTGTAGTCGTTCAGTCTAATCATAACAGCTTCTCCCGGATAATAATCATTCTTGAAAGTTGTGTAAACATCGTCAACTAATTGATCAATTCTAGGAACAGTACTGAATTGTAAATGTCTCAAAATTGGTTCTTTCAAATGTTCTGGGAAGTTTTTCTCCACGATTTCCATTTCCTTCTTTTCAGATTCATAAGCTTCAAAGAATGTCAAGCACGAATTCCCTGTGATCTCGCACACGAACTTCCTGGTGTTGTAGTAATCTAATCTCTTAAGGTATTCATCATAAGTCAAGAACCATTCTTTAGTGTACGCTATGTACCAACATTTGACGTTCAGGTCGTCTGGCAACGATGGTGGCTCTGGGAAAGGGACTGGTTTTCTCTTGTATAACACCTGTAAACAAACGGGTTAGTATTTGATGATGATCTAAAATCTATTGCGCGTATACTCACCATCTCTTTTTCTTCGCTCTAGATGCTGATGCTCCGTGCCCTTGTGTTTCTAAGTGATGGCGACGTGTTTCTTGTTGACAATTGGAATTTGAAAGTGATTTGATCGATATCAACGCGGTTTTGGTTTTTTTCAAAATTTTACTTGAACGTTTATACCAGGTCGGATTATAAGATCAGTTCTGTGGACATGTCACGTGAGACATTTTTTACCCCCGTATTTTGCTTTTCATCAGCCACAGCTATTCAAAATCCACTAGCCACATACTTCCGAATCAGGAATCTCGCGATGAGCTGTGGCTAGTGAATAGTCTGGTCATGTGACTTGTCAAAAAAATTTACAGAGAGTAAAAAAAAAATACTTCAGTATAGAGTATTAATGATAATTTGAGATACTTTCGAAAACAACATTAGTGTACTTGAATTTCTTTAGAGTTGAATAGCTTCAAAAGATGGATGGACAACAGTCAAACAAGACCCATAGAGGTCAGTCCACCAAAAACACTGCAAAGAAGAAGCTACACACTCAAGGTCATAATGCTAAAGCTTTTGCAGTTTCTGCTCCAAGAAAGCTAGAACGTATGGCTAGAAGATCCCATGATGTGAAAGAAAGAAAGTTACATGTTCCTATGGTTGATAGAACCCCTGATGATGATCCTCCTCCAGTCATTGTTGCTGTTGTTGGTCCTCCAGGTACTGGTAAAACCACATTGATTAGATCATTAGTTAGAAGATTAACAAAACATACTTTAAGTGATATAAATGGTCCTATCACTGTTGTTTCTGGTAAACGTCGTCGTTTAACTTTCATTGAAGTGGCTAATGATTTGAATTCCATGATTGATGCAGCCAAAATTGCGGATTTAGTTTTATTATTGATTGATGGTAATTTTGGTTTGGAAATGGAAACTATGGAATTTTTAAATATTGCTCAACATCATGGTATGCCTAGAGTCCTTGGTGTTACTACACATTTAGATCTATTCAAATCTCAATCAACTTTAAGAACTTCCAAGAAAAGATTAAAACATAGATTCTGGACCGAAGTTTATCAAGGTGCTAAATTATTTTACCTAAGTGGTGTTATAAATGGTAGATACCCAGATAGAGAAATTTTAAACTTGTCAAGATTCATATCAGTCATGAAATTCAGACCTTTGAAATGGAGAAATGAACATCCTTATTTATTGGCTGATAGAATAACAGATTTAACACATCCAGCTTTAATAGAAGCTAATAAAAAAGTTGATAGAAAAGTTGCCATCTATGGTTATTTACATGGTGTTCCATTACCTTCATCAAATGCAAGAATTCATATAGCTGGTGTTGGTGATTATACAGTTTCATCCGTGGAAAAATTACCAGATCCTTGTCCAACTCCATATTTTGAACAAAAATTGGAAGAATTAGAAAGGGAAAGACAAAAACAAGCACTTGAAAATGGGGAAGTTGCAGCTAAAACTACAAGAAGACGTAAGAGATTAGATGATAAACAAAAAATCATTTACGCACCAATGTCTGATGTTGGTGGTGTTCTTGTTGATAAAGATGCTGTTTATATTGATGTTGGTCAAGCTTCTTTTGTCCCAGGTGAAGAGAAAGGTTTTGGTGAAAAAATGGTTACTGGGTTACAAGGTGTTGAAAAAACAATTGATGAAAGATTTAAAGAAGGTCCAGGTTTACAACTTTTCTCTAATAGTAAAAAAATGAATGGGGTTGATGAAGAAGAAGAAGATCAAAGTGAAGACGAGAGTGAAGAAGAGGAAGATGAACAAGAAGGTGTCAATACTGGTAGAGCTTCATTGCGTAAGCCAAGAGTCTATGGTAAACCATTGAATGAGGAAGATGACGTTGATCTAGGTTCTGATGAAGAATTGGAAGATGAAGGTGAAGAAGCTAGACGTCAATTGGTTGAAATTGATTTTGATGAGAACAAAGCCACTGAAGATTATGACTTGGAAAGTGCATCTGAATTAGATGACGATGATGAAGAAGGTGGTTGGAGATCATCCGCTTCAAGATTACAAGGTTCTGTTCAAAGAAAATGGGATATCACAAAGTTGATCTATTTGAATAATATTGATCCAGCTGATGCTATCCGTAGATGGAAGGATGAAGAAGTTGATGAGAATGAATCAGAAGAAGATATTGAAGACGATGAGGAAGATTTTTTCACACAGGCATCAAATGGTGCATCAACTTCAAATCATGATTTAGATACTTCTATTCCACAACTTCCAACTATTGATGAATTGAAAGCCAAATGGAATATTGATAATATCAAAAATTTGCAATCAAGATTTTTCATTTCAACTAAAAGAATTTTAAATAATGAAGATGGTGAAGGTGAAGAAGGTGATGACGATGAAGAATTATATGGTGATTTTGAAGATCTTGAAGAAACTGAAGAACAAGGCGCAAAGCAACCAAGTTCTGATAATGAAGATGGTGATGATTTCCCAGATTTTGATGCTGAAGAGCAAAAAGGTGATGATCAAAGTGAAGGTGATGAAGAGGAAGAAGAAGAGGAGGAAGAAGAGGAAGCATTTGATCCATCATTATCATTAGATGAAAGACGTGCCTTGAATGCTAAAAAGAAGGAAAAATTAAGATTACAATTTGAAGCCGAAGAAGGTGGTCAAGAAGTTGGTATGAATGATTTCGAAAATGAGGAAGATACTTGGTATGACTTGCAAAAAGCCAAAACAGCCAAACAGTTGGATATCAACAAGGCTGAATTTGATGCCATGGATCCTGCAACACGTTCAAGAATTGAAGGTTATAGAGCAGGTTCTTATGTTCGTTTAGTTTTCGAAAAAGTTCCACCTGAACTTATTGAAAATTTTAATCCAAAATTCCCTCTTGTATTGGGTGGGTTATTAGCAAGTGAAGAAAGATTTGGTTATATGAGCGCAAGAATAAGAAGACATAGATGGCATAAAAAAATCTTGAAATCAAATGATCCTTTAATTTTATCACTTGGTTGGAGAAGATTCCAAACTTTACCAGTTTATACAACATCTGATTCAAGAACAAGAAATAGAATGTTGAAGTATACTCCAGAACATGCACATTGTTTCACTGCATTTTATGGTCCATTAGTGGCACCGGGTACAAATTTCTGTGGTGTTCAAGTTGTTGCTAATAGTGATACCACTGGTTCTTTTAGAATCGCAGCTACTGGTACTGTGGAAGAGATTGATACATCAATTGAAATTGTCAAGAAGTTGAAATTAGTTGGTCATCCTTACAAGATTTTCAGAAATACTGCATTTATAAAAGATATGTTTAATTCCAAATTAGAAGTTGCCAAGTTTGAAGGGGCTCAAATCAAGACCGTTTCAGGTATTAGAGGTGAAATAAAACGTGCGTTAAAAGCACCAGAAGGTCATTTCAGAGCTACATTTGAAGATAAGATCATTTTGAGTGATATTATTATCATGAGAACTTGGTATCCTGTTAATGTTAAGAAATTTTATAATCCTGTTAGTTCACATCTATTGAGTGATCATGGTGAATGGAAAGGTATGAGATTAACTGGTCAAATCAGGGCTGCTAATAATATTGAGTTGAAGAATTATCCAAACAGTACTTATGGTAAGATTGAAAGAGCTGAAAGACATTTCAATGGATTAAAAGTTCCTAAATCTATTAAAGCTGATTTACCATTTAAATCACAAATCCATGAAATGAAACCACAAAAGAAGAAGACTTATATGGCCAAGAGAGCTGTTGTTTTGAATGGTGAAGAAAAGAAAGCTAGAGAATTGATGCAAAAATTGGCTACAATTTCAAAAGCTAAAGATGAAAAGAGAAGATCCACAAAAGATGAAAAAAGAAAAGAAAGATTGAAAAAACTTGCCAAATTGGAAGAAACAAAGATTGAAAAAGATAAAGAACGTAAGAAGGAATTTTTTGCTAAAGCTGGTAAGAAGAGAGGTTTCAATGGTGATGAAAGTGGTGGTAAAAAACGTCGTACTTGAGCATATAATTGAATTAAAATTTCGTTGTACATTAGACTCATAAGTGTAGTTACGATAATGATCATTATGATTAATTGTAACACGTTAAATTAAAGAATTATACAAAGTGCAATCCAGGTTTATCTCTTAAATGTATTGTGATAACCATCTAAAGGCTTCACCATAACCTTGTCTCATAACAACAGAACACATGAATAATTCAATTGGTCTTTGGTTTTCAATGGTTATTTTACCTTTACCGGTAGTACCATAAAGACCTAAAGCTTGTCTAACTTCGTTTTCAGAAACGGCTCTTGGAGAATCAATCTTGTTACCCAAGATTAAGAATGGAACTTTTTGTAATTCTTCAATACCTAATAAAGAATCTAATTCGGCTTTTGATTCTTCAAATCTTGCAGGATCAGCACAGTCAACTAAAAAGACGATACCGTTAACATCTGGGAAATAATCTTTCCAAACACGACGAGCTTGTTGATGACCACCTAAATCAAAAGTTGTGAATCTAACAGTACCGATGGCTAATTCTTCTGAAGTTGGATGTAAAGTTGGTTGTAAAGTGGCTAATCTGTCATTCTAAAAAAGTGTGTTAGTGAGCATATTCCCTCTTTGTCTTTATCTTGGTATTTACTCACTTTCAACATGTGTAATAAGGTAGTTTTACCAGCGTTATCTAAACCTAAGAATAACAATTTGGCATGTTTGTTCCATAACCCTAAGGAGGCTAAAACGTCTTGAACTAGAGCGAAGCTGTGTTAGTAAAAGCATATTCAGCTATCTCAAATGTCACTTACACCAGTCAAAGATCCACATGATGATGATACTATCTGATGATTGTAGTTGTTGTTGTTGCTGCGTTGAGGTTGTTTTTGATAATCTGACACTTTTCTGATTCCAATTCGCTGTTCAGATTTTTTTTCCAAAGTGAAATCTGATTTCGCGAATTGTGATTTTCTGGTATCACAGACGAACAAAAAATTGTGGTTTTCAGTTAATAAAGAGGAAAAAAGTTGTATCATTTAGTGCTATGATATTGCGAGTGATTGAGCTTACTATTTTTGGCTCATTTCTTGATTTTATTGGTGCTCTCTGCCTCCATGTTTCGTATAAGAAAATATTGATTCTCTTTTAGGAAACTTTCCTGATTTGGGTATTTAAAATGTTTTTTCTGGTTCAGGTGATACAATACAAAACTCATAACAATTTACAAACTTATACACCATCTTCAGGATTCAATGGCTATATAAAAGGTGTTTTATCCTCTGTTTGAAATCTTTTCAAACTTGATTCTCAACATTAACGGACAAATAGGACCAGCAGGGGTCAATTTCTCTCTCCAAGTTGGATCCAGTTCCAAGTTAAAACTTTCAACAATATATTTAACAAATATTTTAGCTTCAAATAGGGCAAATTTTTCACCAAGACAAGCTCTTCTTCCACCATGGAATGCAGCTAAAGAGCAGTTAATCTTTGCCAACTTGTAATTTTTCAAAACTTCATCATTACTTTCACCCCATCTCTCTGGTTTAAATTCATCTTCATCTCTCCAATGAGAAGAATCACGTCCAGTTGCAAAATTATTATATCCAACATAAGCACCTTTAGGAATATGAATATTTGAGCCCAACAATGTATTTTTGGTGGTTTCTCTGTTAATAATTTGACCCAATGGTGGATACATTCTTAAAATCTCAAACAACACAGAATTTAAAGTCTTTGAAGTTTCAATGTCATCTAATGCGATTGAATCCAATTCATCTCTTAGCTTGTGTTGCCATTCAGGATATTTGGCCAAAACATATAAAATCGAAGTGAAAAACAATTGAGGATTTTCATGGCCTGCAACAAGTATAATAACAGCATTATCAGTAAATTGTTGTTCAGTGATTTTACCCTTTTGTAAAGCTTCATATAACTTGTATCCTGCAATTTCCTTATTGGCACCTGGTTTTGATTGTTCATCTTTAATCTTGTTGGTGAAATAAGATCTAAATTTGTCAACTTCTTCCCTAGCTTTTACTCTTGATGGGATTGGCAACTTATCCAAAAATGGGAAATTCATATAGATTGGTTTGAAAATTTGTGACTTGACAAATTTTAATCGTTGATGCAATTCTTGATCTTTTGAATTATCCAACAATTTGAAATCAACACCAACCATGGATTCACAAATGTTTTGCAAGGCAAATTTTTGTAAAAAATCACCAACAGCCAAGATAGTTGGTTCATCACCAATTTTTTCTTGTAATAACTTAACCAATTTCTTAGAATTCTCAGCAACAGGTGCCTTATTGGGGAATTGAATACTATTTGTTATAACACTTCTATAAAGTTTCCAAACTTTACCATGAGCACTAATCACATTATCACCAGTATATCTAGACAAAACAGCATAAGGAATCTTTTTCTGGTTCCCGCTTTTAGCAAATACATCCTCCTCTTTAAACACTTGTTGTAAATATTCAGGTCTAGTCACCAATATATTCCATCTTGAAGCAAAATAAATCTTTACAGCACCATATTTTTGCAAATGATGTTTTAAATACAATTCATAGATTTGACTTTGATCCAAGTCAGTGTAGGAACCTAAAAAAGACACATAGAATGGGATTGTTGGAATGTTTCTAGGAAAGTTTATAGGAGGAAACACAATAGTAACCACCAAATACGTGACAACCACCAGTGCTAACAACTTGAGCAAATGGGCCAGAGTTTCAAATTCCATTCTTTTTTCCCTTTGAGTCCATCCTTCCCAGAAGAGCACGTAATCAAGACAGCAGCATCGTTTTATATGGCTGATTGGCCCAATTGAGAGTTTTACAAAATGATCGAAAAGCGTGTAAATAATTCACTCGTTTTTTGTTTTGTTTTGTTTTGTTTTTTTTCAGTTGTGTTTGAACGTAAACAAACCAAAAGAACCAAACAAACACGAATCAATGGAAAACGATGTTGAGAATGGACTCTTTGGGTATGGTTTTTGGTGGTTGATCCTGGTTTGATCTTGATGTAGTTACTTGTCTTGAAATTGCAGCTTAACTCAAGGAACTGGCCACATTGGGTTCTCTCATGAGCAAATTTAACTGAACAAGAGACATATCCATAATTCTCATGAGTTGCCTTTATAAACCATTCAATTGTGCTGGGAAAAAAACCAGACAATGAGGTGTCTCTACACTTGATTTCCCGGAATAAACAATGTCAACTTCATCAAGAGACGGTTCAGAAAAACCTTCCAGTATTCAAACTACTGAAGTTGCAAAAGATGAAGCTATAATTTCAAAAGATGTTATTCAAGAATCTCCAACTGCTAAAGATCCTGAAAAGCAACAATTGCCAAACCCTTCTCCAGTTCAATATTCTGCATTCCCACAATCAAGAAAAAATTTCATCTTATTCTTAGTTACAATGGCTGGGTTCTTGGGTCCAGTTAGTGGTAATATCTATATCCCAATATTACCTCAATTACAAGAAGTTTTCCAATGTTCAGAAACTACTATAAATGCAACAGTTTCTGTATTTATGGCTATATTTGCAATTTCTCCTTTATTATGGGCATCTTGGGCAGATTTTGGTGGGAGAAAATTGTTGTATATCACTTCGTTGATTTTTTATATTGTCTCAAATATTTTACTAGCTGCTATTCCTCCAAACATTGGTGCTTTGTTTGTTTTAAGAATTGTTCAAGCTTTTGGTGCTTCAAGTGTCATGAGTGTTGGTGCAGGAACTGTTGCTGATATTATTGAACCAAAAAATCGTGCAAAGGCTATAAGTTATTTCATGTTGGGTCCACAATTGGGGCCTATTTTAGGTCCAATTTTATCTGTTATTGCATCTGGTGGTGAATGGAGATGGATTTTTGGATTTTTAGCTATTTATGGTGGTGTTGTTTATTTATTGATTCTATTTATGTTGCCAGAAACTTTACGCTATCTTGTTGGTAATGGAGAAGTTTATAATTCATCAACCAATTCTTTCTCCTCATGGTTTACATTTCCAAAGCATTTCAAACAACCTAAATTGATTGAAGATTCATCAAGATTTCCAAAACCTCCAAAACCAAGTTTGAAAAACTATTATCACATTTTGAAATATAAACCTGTCTTGTTGTGCTCAATTAATGCTGGTTTATTATTTGCAACTTTTTATGGTATGAGTGTTACATTTGCTAGAGTTTTACAAGATAATTATGGTTTCAATTCATTACAAAGAAGTTTTGCATATGTGTGTCCTGGAGTTTCATTAATTAGTGGCTCATTAATAGGTGGTCGTCTAAGTGATTATTTGCGTAAAAGAATGATTGCTAAAGATCCAACACACTATGTTCCAGAGCATCGTTTCTCGTTGCAGTTGGTTGGTTTACTCATATCAATGGCTGGGATCCTTGGCTATGGTTGGTTGGTTGATAAACATGTTCATGTGGCATCAGTATTTGTGTTTACATTTTTAGGAGGTTTTGGTATGACTTGGGTTTTCGTCACTACAACAACTTATTTAACTGAATGTTCTACAAAGCAACCAGCTACAAATGTGGCCATTGGGAATTTTTTCAGAAATGCTGCTGCTGCTATCTCATCTGTAATTATTGATCAACTTATTAAAAAGATGGGATTTGGCTGGTGTTTTACAGGGTTGGCATTGATTGATTTGATTGGGATCGGATTTGTTGTAATTTTGATGATTTATGGACCAAAATGGAGAAGAGAATGGGAGGAATCACAAGGGCATTAAGTAGCTTTTGTATTTGATAATATCTGTTTTTTTCAAACTGTTTTCATCTTCACCTTTTGTTTATTACATGTACAATGGTTTTGTTTTGGTAGACTGGTCTCTCAAATTTGTTGATTACTTTAATCTTATAATCCAACGCGCTCGATGTTCTACGCCAATCTGCACAAATATAACAGATAACGCAAGATGGATCAGTCGTCTCACTATTCTTCTCAACGCTACGTCAATCTCATGAGAAGGAGAATCCCAGTCTGAAATGGTATAAGACTATAAGTATAATCAGTTTCCATTCCTTTCCAAAGACAAACTAAAAAAAACAGAATAGCTCTGCTCGTAAAAATGTGTGCACATTATGCATTTCGCGACAAAAATGGGTTTAGCATCCAGTCAACATCAATGTTGTTGAAAAGACCGTGTGGTTTAGGCTATGACACTGCTACATCATGGTGTTTTGAAGGAATGAGGTTTATCAGATTGGATGAAGGTGGTTTCCAAAAAAGGGATACTGATTGCAAGCCCTTCCGTATCTTGGACTCAACGCCAAGATCTTTGGGACTTATTCACTATTTTGAACCACCTTCAATTTTTAAAGATCAAGGTTTTTTGCTAGATGATGAAATGATTAAATGTCCAATTCCTAAAAACTTACCCAATTTCCAGGAATATGTTATACATCATGGAAGAACTTTCATAGAAGAGAATAGTGCCAATGTTGCGAGAAATCATTGGAGACCAGGAGCAGACGTGGTTGATAATACTGAGAATAATCCAAAACAACTGGCTGGCTTTGAAGTGGCATACTATAGGCTGGTGAATGTCGATGTTCAGACTTCTATTTTGAAAATTTTGAATGGCCTAAGAATGAATAACGCTTTAGCTACTGGAACAACTACTTTTGAAAGGCTCGATGACTTTACCGATCCAACACTTAGTTTCGAGAAGTTTCAAAAACATGGGTTTTGCTTGCAAGTTGAAAGCACTGGTAAACTTGCAATAACTTTTGAAAGGGTTGAAAAATTATTATTATTCATGATTGAAGATCTTTTTGCAAAAGATCATAATGAAGAATACATTGATAAGAAAGTTGCAGAGCAAAGAGCATCAATTGCATTTTGCAGGTTAAAATGTCGGAAAGGAGCACCAGAGACAACATGTCCAATAACTATAGTCAAACACTTGACAGCAAGCTTGAGGGATCTATTATGGAATCTTACTAAAACTCTGATGCATAATGATGATATGATTTTGAGTGATATCGGAAGTCGTAACATATATACTGGACGTGTTATTTCCAAGAAGAAGCTTACTCTGTACATGTATCCTGACTTGGTTCTTAATTCTGCAAGAAATTCAGTCATTACAGAGCCTTCAGAAGCTACTTCTGTCACATCTAATGCTCCATTACTTGTTTCTCCATTTGTTCCACCGCCTTCTTATGAAGAATCTCTGAACAATGGCTGAACAGTGTATCCCAATATACAATCTTTCATCAGACACCAACACATTGTAATTACTCACCACAAATCGCAGTTCCATGTTGAACAAAGACACAATTCAAAGTGCTCTTCCATGAGTTTTCGCGAATATAGTTTATGTAATCACTTTTTGAAACAATTGTTTCCAAAAGGTAAACAAGAGGTTAATTGAGCAAATTTAAAATCACCAGTAGAAAGATCACAATGAATTTGGCTGTTGGGGATTGGCTGTTGCAAAATGTGTAATTCAATAATTGACTCTATATTGGACTGTGGTCTTGGTTGGGTTATATAAAGACAAGAAAAGGCATCTACAATTGATTCTGTGAATTGATTAGTTGTAACTTACGTTTAATCATGTCCAAAGAACTAAATGTTGATGTAGAGGCAAAATCAGAAGATGAGAATTCACATTCTATAGATCAAGAAAATGATGGGTCTATATGGACCAAAAAAAAGTTTATAGAGCTTGGTTGTTATTGTGCTTCACAACAGGTCCAGTTGCATCAATGTCAAGAACTTATGTTCCTGCAGCGATTCAATCAGCTGGTAGAATAGTTGGTAAGACTAAAAAAGGTGGTAAATGTTCATCAAGAGGAAATGATTGCTTTGTGAAATTTGGTGCTGGTACGGTTCATTATTCGTCTTATGTGTTGTATTTGAAAGCAATTTATACAGCACTCGAAGGTTTATTAGCTTTATTACTTATGGGACTTGCTGATTATTCAAATTACCGGAAATGGATGCTGATCATTTCTGTTGCATTATATGGCTGTTTTGCCCTACCCTTTGCTGGGCTAACTGGTGGCACATACTCTGATTTAAAAGGATTAAGTGCCTTATATGGTTTGTTGAATGTTGATAATGCAATTTATCAAATCTTGGAAGGGTCATATATACCATTGTTTATGAGAGCTGCAGCTCCTATGGATGATAAGAAATCTGTTCCTGAAGAAGTTCGTCGTGATATGGTTTTGAAAAGAGGCTCTACAGTTAGTGTGATGGGATTATTTTTAGGTAATTGTGGTGGGATGACTGCCTTGTTGATTGGTATCATAATCTCATATGGAAGAGGTACTCCTAAAGAAGATGGTTATCATAATTTCTTGTTAGCAATCACAATTGCTGGGTGTGTCACTGTGGTTTTTTCAATAATTTCTGCATTCTTTATACCAAGCACAAATGGTAAAGTTCTTCCTAAAGATGAATTCATATTATTACTAACTTTTAAAAGAATGCTATCATTAATTAAGCAGATTCGTCGTTATCCAAATGCTTTTATCCTGTGTATTGCTTGGGTTATATGGAATGTAAGTTTCAACAATTTCATGAGTGTTTGGGTTCTTTTATTTAGATCCACACTGGGTATTGGGAATTCTGATAGTGAATATGCTGTTTATACCTGGATGTCATATGTTGTTGCATCGATTGGATCTTTAGCATGGATGTTTGCCTACCCAAGAACACCTCTGAATATCAAGACATGGGGTTATATTTTCCTCTCCTTTTCATTGTTTACAAACTTTTGGGGATGCTTGGGTATTAACAATAATACAAAAGTTGGTTTCAAACATAGATGGGAGTTTTGGTTATTTGAGGTGTTGTATTCTTCTTCAAGCTCAGCACTAAGATCATTAAATAGAACAGTGTACAGTTCAATTCTACCAGAAGGTGAAGAAGCTCAATTTTTTGGATTAGAAGTCATGTTGGGTGTCGCAGTGGGCTGGATTGGTGATTTGGTTAATGCAACTATTCAGGATAGAACTGGGAATGATAGGTTCCCATTCTTACCAAACTTATTTCTTGTCTTGATATCAATTGTTTTGTTCAAGTTGTGTGATACAGAACAAGGCATGAAAGATGTTAATAAAGTCGTTGAAGAAACCACTCTAGAGAATGTCTCCGAAGTTGATAATGCTGAGTGTAAGTGAACTCATTGATCAAAATGTATAGTTTTGAAACTCGAGGAATATCTTTCAGATGTAAAATGTTAACAGATATTACTGAACTACATTGTAGTTTGATGATATTTGAAAAAATTCAAGGTTTTTGCATTTTTCAAGATGAATCAATTGATGATTTGTTTCACTCATTGAATATCATCAAGAGAATGCTTAGACCAAAAGTTTTACCACTTTTTATTAAATCAGTGATATATTTTTGGATGATAAGTTGAAAGTAGTATTTGGCAATGCCCGTTATTTTTCCAATAAGACTTTACAGACGTTATTATCCAAATCCATTACACTTCCCTATTACCAGCCATAAGCTACTGAAGTAGTCAAACAAAGTAACGGACAGCTAAAATTAATATAGAATCCATGGCCTTCAACCTTATCCCATTAACTGGCAGTCCCCTTTGTATTGTTAATAACTAGATGGCCGCACTGTTTACCATCGTGTCAAGCGTCTCCCATGGTGCTTTCAATGTCAGGATACAACCAGTTCTTGCTGATATTCCCCAGTAGTACTAAACCCTATTACTGAAAACAACCAAGCATATTAACGCAGTAATGCCAAGGTTACAGGACCTTCCAACACTACACCTTCTTGAAATGATTTTGTAGAAAGTATCTTTTTTTGCTCCAAATAAAACAAAAAAAATAGATCAAACTTCGCCAAAATGACTAATATATTATGTAATAACAGCTTATACTAAGACTCAAAACACCAACAATTTGGCTCTTGAAACGCTGAAAAACAGCATATATGGATAAACATTAACAGAGAACATTTCTTTTAGTGATATAGGCCCGTTCTCACTCAATCACCAGTCAATTGGCACTGTGTTTCTCCCAAATCTGGATCCCTATAATTTTTTTTCAGTTTTCGCGCGCGTTCAAAGAAAGAAAAAAGCGATCGAAATCATATTGAACACTTGTATCAAAAGGGATCAGGCACCATCCATTAGCAGACCAACCACCAATCACCAACTACCATTGCGTGAGACCATCGATAGTTTCCAAGAGTGTACTGGTCTGATCAGCTGCTGTCATGAAGTTAGACGTCAAGGTACGTGAGCTCCCCTTTAGCTGGCGCCCTCCTGCCAACTGTGTGTTGTTGTTGTTGTTGATACTAACCCAATGTCTAGAAACAATTCAGTTCCAGGACTGATAGAGTCAAAGGAATCGATTTCCATCCAACTGAACCATGGGTATTGACTACTCTTTATTCTGGTACGTGTTGATCTCGAAATATCCAAGGAATAAACCACTAACAACATTCATATAGGTCGTGTTGAAATATGGTCATATGAAACTGGTGTAAGTATAATTTGACATGACAAATGATGAGAAAAACACTAACCTTATTCCCCAAGACTAAAATAAAATCCATTGATGTTGCTGAAGTTCCAGTTCGTTCTGGTCGTTTCATTGCTCGTAAGAATTGGATCGTTGTTGGATCTGATGATTTCCAAGTTAGAATCTATAATTACAACACTGGTGAAAAAGTCGCCCAATTTGAAGCACATCCTGATTATATTCGTTCGATCGCTGTTCATCCAACTCGTCCTTATGTCCTAACATCTTCAGATGATATGACCATTAAATTATGGAATTGGGATAACAATTGGAAATTGGAACAAACTTTTGAAGGTCATAATCATTATGTTATGTCATTAGCTTTCAATCCAAAAGATCCAAATACTTTTGCATCTGCTTGTTTAGACCATACTGTTAAAATCTGGTCATTAGGTAACAATGTTCCAAATTTCACTTTGAATGCCCATGAACAAAAAGGTGTCAATTATGTCAGTTATTACCCACAATCAGATAAACCATATTTAATCACTTCTTCAGATGATAGAACTATTAAAATCTGGGATTATCAAACAAAATCCGCAGTTGCCACTTTAGAAGGTCATTCTTCAAACGTTTCATTTGCAATTTTCCATCAAGAACTACCGATCATCATTTCAGGTTCAGAAGATGCCACAATTAAAATTTGGAATTCAAACACTTATAAATTGGAGAAAACTTTGAATTACGGCCTCGATAGAGCTTGGTGTATATCTTCTCATAAAAATTCAAACTCTTTAGCTATTGGGTTTGATGCAGGTTTTGCCGTTTTACAATTAGGTAATGATGAACCACGTTTATCAATGGATCCAGTGGGTAAATTAATCTGGGCTAAAAATAATGAAGTTTATAGCTCTGTTATCAAAGGAAATGAACAAGTTGAAGATGGTGAAACTTTACCATTATCATCAAAAGATTTAGGTTCTGTGGAAATTTTCCCAACTTCTTTAAAACATTCACCAAATGGTCGTTTTGTTACTGTTACTGGTGATGGTGAATACATCATTTATACAGCTTTAGCTTGGAGAAATAAAGAATATGGTTCTGCTTTAGATTTCGTTTGGGCTCAAGATCCAAATATCTTTGCCATTAGAGATGCACAAAATCAAATAATTATTCATAAAAATTTTAAACCAAAACCAAATGGTGAAATTGATTTCCCATATAATGTTGAAAAATTATATGGTGGTTCATTATTAGGTGTTAAATCTGATGAATTTGTTGCATTCTATGATTGGGAATCAAGTGAATTAGTTAGAAGAATTGATGTTGATGCAACTGATATAGTTTGGTCAGAATCTGGTGAATTGGTTTTGATTGTTTCATCAGATGCATCATATGCTTTGAAATTTGATAAAGATATCTTTGTGGAAGCTTTAGAAGCTGGTAACATTGATCCAGAAGATGGTGTTGAAGATAGTTTTGAAGTTTTATATGATGTTAATGATTCAGTCACATCAGGTAAATGGGTTGGTGATGTTTTCATCTTCACAACAAGCACAAACAGATTAAACTATTTAGTTGGTGGTAAAACTTATAACATTGCACATTTTGATAACACTGCTTATTTATTAGGTTATTTGGCTCGTGATAATAAAGTTTATGTTGCTGATAAAGATATCAATGTTTCAAGTTATCATTTATCATTAGCTGTCTTGGAATATCAAACTTTAGTATTGAGAGGTGAATTAGAACAAGCTAATCAAGATTTATTACCAAGTATTGAAAAAAATGATTTATTGAAAATTTCAAGATTTTTAGAAGCTCAAGAATATTTAGAAGAAGCTTTACAAATTTCACCAGATTCTGAACAAAAATTTGAAATTGCCTTGAAGATTAAAGATTTTACCACTGCGAGAACAATTGCCTCTGAGGAAAACACTGAACATAAATGGAAATCATTAGGTGATTTAGCATTATCATCTTTCAAATATAAATTAGCTATTGAATCCTTCCAAAAAGCAAATGATATTGAAAGTTTATTATTATTATACACTTCATTCAATGATAAGAAACATTTGAGTGAATTGGCTGAACAGGCTAAAGCCAAAGGTAAATACAATGTTGCCTTTAATGCTTATTACACAATAGGTGATATTCCAAAAGCTATTGAATTGTTGAACATAAGTAAAAGATACACTGAAGCATCATTTTTAGGATTAACTTATGGTGCTGATGTTTCCAAGTCTGTTGAAAACTGGAAAGCTGATTTAGTTAAACTTGGTAAAGGTTCGATTGCTGAAAGAATATCCATACCAGAATCTCCATCAAAACCATCACAACAAGAAGATTTGGTTGATTTGAATGATGATGATGATGAGACTCCACAAGAAGAAGCAGAAGTTGACGAAGAAGTCGAAGTTGAAGAACCTGTTGCAGTTGAATTGGAGAAACCTTTAGAGCCTGAACCAACTAGAGAAGAAGAGGAAGAGGAGGACTTTGAAGATGCTGCATCTGAATAGATGTCCCCATTTCAATTGAATTCTAAAAAAAACACTGTCATATGATTTAGATAATCATTTTATATTATTATTTTTTGTAATTTTGAAATTTGTTTGAAAAAGAAGTATTTGTTTTGAGTACAAAGTCTGTAAAATTAAGTATATTTACATGGGGATCATCAATTCATTAACTAAATACATCAACTTTATCAACATTCTTTCTTTTGTTGAGACACACGAAATAATATTCTTTTGATTCAGGTCTACTTGCAACTGGTTTATCTCTATGAACTTTTTCGAAAACTTTCTTTAATCTGTTTTCTAAACTTTTATCTTCTGAACCTGAAAAGAATTTACAAACAAAAGAGCCTCTTGGCTTTAACAAATCGATAGCAAGAATCAAAGCAGCATCGCAAAGGTTCTTTCAATGTGTTAGTAAAACTTCTCGTACTTCAAAGTAAATATAAACTTACCATGCTTGCATCATGATCTTTTGCAACCAATCCACTAGTATTTGCCATCCTAAAAAAAGCCATATTAGTTGTGTTGTTCCAAAATTTTTCAGGAGGTATTAGTGGAGCATACATATCACTTATGACAACATCTAGGGGATATCTAAATTTTTTCTTCAACTCAACATCATCAAGATTTGGATTATCACGTAATTCAGCCTCAATGTAACTTGGATGATTTAAAACATCTTCAGTATCTAGTTCATCACTTGGATCAACAAAGTAATTCCGTATCAATGTGTGAGTTTTTTTACTCAAGATGTTTGCTTGGATAGCTGAGGCCCCTTTTGGAGGAGTAGCAGGAATTATATCAACACCCAATATATGACCATGTGGTGATGTTCTTTTAACTGCAACTTGTGTCCAAGCACCAGGTGCAAACCCTAAATCAACAACGTTTTGACCAGATCTGAAAATGTTGTACTTATCATCGATTTGCATTAACTTGAAAGCAGCTCTTGATTTGTATTCTTGAAATTTGGCTTCTTTTGTATAATGATCAGATTGAGCCCTTTGAACCCATCTTTTAGAACTAGCACCTTTTGCAGAGTAATGCCTTATTGTTTGGAAAACTGACCTCACTAGAGGCTCATTCCTTGTAAATAGAAGCATCATCCAGCAATGCTTCAGCAAATTAACCACCAGTTATATCAAGGCTTTCGAACCGTGTTTACGTATTGTTAAACTCGAATGGACGCGTAATCAGATCTGTCACATAATTTAACCATCTTTTAGGGCACGTTCGCGAATATCACTTTTGTCACGTGATGTAAACCACCACCATACTTGGTTAAGGCACTCGATGACAACGAATAAAATTGACAAATAAGAAAGACAAATAAGAGCTGAATGGAAAATATGGGAATCCTACACAGTCAGATATATTGCATATTTTTGTGCATATTCACTTATATATTGTATATACTTTTGTTCTCGTTCAACCACTCTTCTGCTATGTACATTTGTTACTTGACAAATTGTGACTGTGACTGACATTTTTCAGTTTTTCATTGATGTTCGGATGCAATACTTTTTTTTTTCTTTTCCATCTGGTGAAAAATTTGGTGAAGCTCATCTTCATGATTTTACCTAAATTACTTAAAAGAAGCTATCCGTCGCAAAACCTCATCAGGACCACCAAGTTATTGGAAGACAGATAATCTTAGATACTCAAAATGTCTAAAATCACTAACGCTCAAGTCCGTACTCACGTTAAGGATATCTTAGAATACTCCAACACCACTAAAAAGAGAAACTTTTTAGAAACCGTTGAATTACAAGTTGGTTTGAAAAACTATGATCCTCAAAGAGATAAACGTTTCTCTGGTACTTTGAAATTACCTCAAGTTCCAAGACCAAACATGTCCATCTGTATCTTCGGTGATGCTTTCGATGTTGATCGTGCTAAATCTATTGGTGCTGATGCCATGTCTGTTGATGATTTGAAAAAATTGAACAAGAACAAAAAATTAATCAAAAAATTAGCTAAGAAATACAATGCTTTCGTTGCTTCAGATGTTTTGATTAAACAAGTTCCAAGATTGTTAGGTCCTCAATTATCAAAAGCTGGTAAGTTCCCAACCCCAGTTTCTCATAATGATGATTTATACGCTAAAGTTCAAGAAGTTAAATCAACCATCAAATTCCAATTGAAAAAAGTTTTATGTTTAGCTGTTGCCGTTGGTAACGTTGAAATGGAAGAAGATGTTTTAGTTAACCAAATCTTAATGGCTACCAACTTCTTGGTTTCTTTATTGAAAAAGAACTGGCAAAATGTTGGTTCTTTAGTCATCAAATCTTCAATGGGTCCATCTCACAGATTATACTAAGCGTAACTCGCTTTGACTGAAGAACGGGAGGGTGAAAGTTTATAACGATAGTAATGAATTTTTATTCTTTAATAGATTTTTGAAAAATTGTAGATTATTGTATAGCAGCGGATTCATGCGGCTCAACCGTTATTTGTCAAACAGTTTCGCGAATCTGAAGGACTCCACTAAAAAGCAATAAAAAAATTCAGAATGTGTAAACAAACACGAGATCAAGAGCCAAAAAACGTTTCAGAAGTTGAGATTTGGTTCGATATTGTTCAGTTGTTCTACTTAGTGTCATTTGTTTTGCCTTCAGCTGGTTATCACAAAAGAGAACGTGATTTGTTTGATTAGAATTGCTTGATCTGTTGTTTAAGCGCCCGCAACATTCCAATAGAATTAACAAGTATTAAATGATCAAAAGACTGGAGTCTGTTGAGGACATGTCAGATATTCCAATAAGGAATATGGATACGTTCCGTGATGCTCCTGCTGAACCTCCAAGTGCCACGCTGATGTCGCCTTCCCAGAGCAAGATTGCTGATATTGATGTTGATGAGTTTTTCCAACAAGATGATTTTAATCTAACTGAAGTTGATTCCATGATGGCCTTAACAATACTAAACTATTTGATTCGTTTGCTCGTGATACGGTGTCAAGATGAATGTGAAAGCCCAGTTGATGCTTTAAGTGACCTCCCCAGTCCGCCATTAGGACCTGAAGAGATTGATGATTGTCCATTATCACCACGCAAAACAAACTCCCGTTCTTCAGATAGTCAAGGTGAAACTCAGTTTCTGGAGAATACTCCAGATGTTAATGAATCAAACAAGAATCCTACTTCAAAGCTTATGCAAAATAAGATCCTTGCAAAAAGATTTTCTTTGAAATCAAATCCTCCAGTTACTGTTGAAGAATATTTGGAAAGAATCAATCAATACTGTGGTCTATCTACTGCTGTTTACCTTACAACATCACTTTACCTATTTAAGCTTGTCCGGAGAAACGAAGTTTTAAAACTAAATGATTTGAATATCCACAGAATATTGATCGCTGCTTTGAGGATAAGTTGTAAAACAGTGGAAGATATGAATCATAGACAAACATTCATTGCAAAGATAGGTGGTGTCAATAATAAAGATCTACTTTCATTAGAAATTTCATTTTTGTTTTTATTAAAGTTTGAATGTCAAGCTAATGAAACAATTTTAACAACTTTTTTACGTGATATGAAAATTTTGCATCAAGAATCAAAATGATTCGATCCAATACTTTTTTTTGCATGGGATTATATGTTATGGAGTATAGTCATTTTATGATTTTGTTTATTTGTTATTTTCAAGGTGCTGTTGTTCAGCACTTTTTTTGTACGGCGGTACTTTTTTTTTGGTTTTGTGTAATATTGCTAGATCTCAACGTCTAGAGAAATTAAGATGGATTTTTCAGTCAAATGGCTTTAAAAAAAAGCTTTAAAATATATTGAAGGAGTTTTCATTGTGGTTAAACAAATATGTGGGTGCTGTTACGGTTCATTTTGTTATGTCTATTTTTTACTTTGGCACGATCAACATGGTATTCCTCAGAACATAGGATATGTGATCCAACTGGAACTTCGTGGATACCCTATAGTGGATTCAAAATCAATAGACAATATGTTGTGAAAGATTTGAAACCTCCAATGTTGCATTTTGTTTCTTTGTCTCATTGTCATCAAGGTGAATTAGACTATGAAAGATTAACAAGAACTGGAAGAGAAACTGATATTGAATGGGATAAGCCGATTTGTATGTTTACTTCTGATAAATTGAAGAAACTATATAATACCCAGACAAATGACAAATCTTTAGATGATAAAAATGATAAAAATGATAAAAATGATAAAAATGCTAACATAAGGTTGGTAACAGATGTTCCTCATAAACCACACAGTATTGATTTGTCTCACTTGAAACCATCTCGTGTTCAAAAAAGATCAAAATTAAAACAAGGTTTTAATGAATTTTTGAGGAAAATATCATCCAAATTGAGGTTTATTGAATATACTGATGATTCCTTGGTGACCAACTTACAAAATCTATCTCCATTGTCTTATAAGGGGTTCGGTACTGGTGATCTTGATGACTTGAAATGTTACAAATTAGCTAGAAGAAAAAAATATGCCAAAAGAGAAATGATGATTTATGCACCATACACTTGGGTTGGTGGGATTTTTGAATGTCAAGTTTCTCAAGAGGCTAAAGAGCATTACCTCAAAAGTCTTCAAGATTCAAGAGATTTCATCAAACCCTTTGATTTTAGATGTGAAGGAAATAATTCAAGACCACTTTTCCCTTTAATTGCAGATGATGTTACAAATCAATGGATTGAAAAAGAGAGAGGTTTCACATTTTCTCAAAGAATTCCCTACCTATATTCCCCTGGCTTGTTGGATTTCAGATATGGTAAACCTGCAAAAGCTTTGGGATTGAAAAGTGATACTATCATCTTTGATGACCATTCAACGCATCAAAAATCTCAGGATGCTTTGCCTTATGATAAATGGACATTAGAACTTGAAGTTAACGAAGATTACCATTATGAAGCAAATGATATTGATCTGTTGACAGATGCTGTTACTCAATCAACTAACTTAATTCATCATTTTTTGAAATCTGAGCATAGATATTCACCATGGGAATGGGATATTCCTGAATTGATAGGGCCTGATCAAGATAGTTTGTTATACTTGGAGCAAAAGTTCTTCAGTATACTAGGTAAAATGAAAGATAAAAAGCTAGGGTCAAAAATGGTGATGCATTTGCAAGAGCATTGGGATAATTTAACTTTATCAACAGAGCAATTTAGGTATAATGGGAAATAGAATGTTAATAATTACACAGTTAATGACTCGTAGTGAAAAACTTTGTTAAAAATATATATAACACAATGTTGAAACAAAAAATAAAAAGTAAATGTTCAACAAAGCAAAAAGAAAAAAGAAGAAGATCAAAATAAAATAGATTCTAATGTACATTGTTTTTCTGTTTTGTAAACCCGACAAAATACCCCCACCATGTAATCATAAATGTATGTTTTTCCTTAAATGTTTTATCTTGTTAATGTGATTGATGTATTTAAAACTTGGTATAAGGAACAGCTTCATCCAAATCATTTAAATCATCATTTTGTGAGTATCTATTATTGTGGCTGTTATTGTTCTTACCACCTCCAATGAAATCATTAGTAGAAGTTATATCATCATTATTAATTCTATTTTGAGCGTGACCAAATGAAGCCAATGAATCTTCTTTTCTATGAAGATTTGATAATTGTTCTTTTGGTAATGGAGGTTCAGGTTCTTGGTCATCATGATCAGCATCACCATGATGTCCTAAATAACTTGAATCTGATAACAATCTCTTTTCTTTATTATTCTTAGATTTATTTCTCTTCAATGATCTACCACCGGTTAATTTACGAACAACTTTACCTGTGAATGTTTCTTTTTCATCATCTGCTATTGGAACAGTATTATCTTCATCATCTGCACCTGTTGTTGAAGATGATGGATTTTTAGTTGATGAATAAGTTGATTTTTTCATATCTTGTAATTCATTTTCCCAATTCATACTATGATCTTTAGCAGTTAAACCTAAAGCCATCAATTCAGCAGTTGGGCCCTTTTGACCAGCATTATGACTAAATCTTTGGAATGAAGTTCTATCATCTCTTGCTGGTTTGAATCTTGTATCTGGATTCTTGGAGAATAAGACATAACCACAACCAACTAATGTTAAAATTAATAAGATAACAGTGAATGCAGCATTCAAAATAAAGAAAACCCAACCCATGATTGATGCAACTGCAGCTGGTTGGCCAAAAATATTTGAATAGAAAACAAATAGGAATGAATTGATAGTTGTAACTAATTGGATCAAAATGTTGACAATATTTGTTGGACTGTTTAGATAAGGTTTGAAATGAATTAAAACACCAAGGTAAGCCATATCCACGATCCAGAAAACCATGGCTTGGGTTTTACCAGAAGCTTGACAAAATGCAATGAAAATTGCTTTAATCAAACAATGACCCAACAAGACAATACCCCACCAATATTTGTTAGCATTAAACATGGTGTAGAAATAACCATATTTATCCAAGAATTTTTGATCACCATACAAGATTGCTGCAGGGTTCTTGTGTTGTTTGATAGATTGTCTAGCAAATGAAAACACTCTGAAACAAGTCCATAGCAAGATACCCAAGGCAAAAATTAAAAACAACACAGCTAAAACAATAACAGCTGGTGAATCTCTTTGAACAAATTCCCATAATGACAAAATAATTAATTGAGTGAACCCAATATAGATATATCTTGACAAGACACCTTTCAAGATTGATTTCCAATTTTGTCTAAAGTCTAAAAATCTATGATTTTTCATCCAACCAGCTCTAATAAACAATTCTGAACCATATTTGAAAACTAAAATTAATCCAATCAAAACATAAGCACATAAAACAAAGAATGTAAAACCAGTACAAACAACACTAGTTAATTCAATACGAGCATTATAAGCAATTCTTTTGATACCACGGAATATCAAGACATTTGCATTACCATACAACACTAATGGTTTTTCTCTTTTGAATAATTCAACACCTCTTTTAGCAACAGCACCAACATAATCAACGGATCTTTGCACCAAGATATTAATAGTGGTGGAGGTTAGATTCAAAGTTGGAGTACCACCAGTGGCTTGAACATACCATCTAAAGATTTTTTGCATGAATGAAACTCTAATTAGCCCCATTGACCAAGCCAAATTTTCAGCCCAAGCTGAAGCAATAGGTGGGACTTCATCAACATGTTGCATTGCAATGACAACAACACTTTGGAAGTATAAGAATAATGAGACTGCATTTGCACTAATATGAGAAGCAGCATTTGAATTACCAAAAGCTGAAGCAACAGCACTTGTTAAAAGACCCAACCCTGCAATGACAGCAGTGGCCCATTTAGCACCTGTTTGAGAAACGGTTTTACCATTTGTGAAGAAAGCTTGGATACAAGCTAATTGTGTACCATTTCTATCTTCAATTTTAACTCTTGCAAAAGCATCAATATCTGGAACGGTATATGCGATACCTGGAATTTGACTGATATATTCTTTACTAATGTATTCAATAGAGTCAACTTCGACACTACCTGGAAACAAAGGACAGAATTGTTTCCAGTTCAAAGAACATAGATCAATCTTTCTTGAAATGATTTTGAATCCATAAGCATAGACATCCACATCTGCAATGATATAATCACTGATTTCAGAGGTGAAATCCAAAGTATAATGTAGAGACCCATCATCTGGGTTGAAAATGACATCAAAGTATGAGGCAGATAGCAGTGAATTCTCCATACACGTCACTAACGAAGAGGCTTTCAAAACTCTTTTAGCATTCACACCAATGGCCAAATGAACAAGGCCCACCAGTATATAAGTGAACAGCTTCATGATGACCCACAATGAACAGCAGCAGCAGCAAGTGACTAGTGAATGATCTGGGAATGGGAGACGACCGAGTACTGAGATAGACTAAGAATACAAGGCCCTGTTTGTTTGTTTTTTTTCACTCTTCTCGCTTCTGAGTTGTTTCAACACAGCCAATACCAAATTTTGATCCTTCGATTGACACTACAAAATTTATTCGCGCTTTGGATCAAAAATTAAAAAAAAAAAAATCGCGACTCGCGATGCGACGCGAACCAAAAAAAAATCTAAAAAAAGAACGCGAAAATTTTAGGAAATTTTTAGTGGAGATGACGTAATTGCTTGAGTAATCAGAGAGGAGGAAACAATAAAACAGTAGAGTTTTATGGGTTACAGAATAATGGAATGGATTGATAAAAGTGCTTTAGTATTGCTTAGTGGATGCTTCAGCCAATCGCAGTCCTGCTCTGTAATTAGTAGCTGCAATTGTACCGGGTGTTAAAGGAGACAGCCCTTCGGTATTAATGCATCATGAGGAGATAACCATCAAGATACAAACAGCTAAACATGTATAGACTGGATCCAATTGTAACTGGTGAATCACTCTGATAATACTAGAGTTCTAAAGCTGGATCCACCACACTTTGTTTACTAATAACTAAAGCCTGTCAGGATCCTCTAGGTAGCACAGATTACAACAATAAATCCGATCAAAACCGAAAAGTTGAACATTCGTTGATCATAATATTTGAATCACAAGTTGAGTGTTAATTGATTTATAAGTTAATCAAGGACTTGTTTAAATGCATCTACAGCTTTTCAAAAGTATCAAGTATTTATAGTTAGCAATAGACATACTCAAAGACAATATCTAAAAGTTGGATTCTCATGATCTGTTAAATCAGCAAACTCAGTGTTATGGATTGCGTTGAACTTTGTCAAGTCAATATCTTTCGCCTTTTTCTCCTTTATCTTATTCTTGATCCAATAAGCAACATAGATAACCGCAATCATGAATAGGGTTAAAGCTTCACACACAACCAACGCTAATTTACCACTTGTGTATGGAGGTACTGTGAAAGTTTGAGGACCAACCAAATTACCAACACAATAACCAATAAAATACATTGCAGTTGTAGTGACTTTTTTAGTGTGTCCAGCTGTATTTGACTGTAGACAGGATAAAACACAAATGATTCCAATTGGACTAACAGATTGCAAATAATAACCTGCTAATCTTGCAGATTTGTTTGAATTGGCAAATGCCAACATTGAACAAGCCATAAATGTTATGGCAATTGCAATAAAGGAAATTATCAACCTATGGGGAATAAAAATAGTTGAAGATGCTATACCCAGACAACCAATAATTTCAACAGCACCACTAATACAATTCATCAATAGAGACTCAGTTTCACTATAATGGAAATCATCGGCTAACAAAATCGTCCCAAAATTTGTGATGGCACCATTTGGTATTTGAGAAACAATAGCTAGGACGAAAAAAAGCCAAGTCATTGGATCCAAAAGTGATTCTTTAAATTGATATCTTTTAAAATGCTTATTACCAAAACCTTGCTTATTATCCCTGATTCTTTCAACAACCATCAATTTCTCTTCGTCTGTTAGAAACCATGCTTTCGAAGGTGTATCTGGTATATGAAACCAAAATAGAATTGAAATCAGAATTGTCAATAGCCCTGTAACTATAAATAAAACTTTCCATCCAGCCACTGAGTAACTTGGCTCGTGTATTGCACAACCATAAGCGATCAGCCCACCCAATATGATACCAAATCCATTACAGCAAAACCATATTGTTGTTCTTGTGAAATGTTCACTCTTCTTATACCATTGACCAGTTATAATAACCATTGCAGGAGAAATAGAGGATTCAAATACTCCCAACAACGTTCTTAGAGCAATAAACCCAGCATAATTGGGTACAGCATGAAGACATAATAATGCTCCCCAAATGAAAATAAAGATTGAAGTTGTCTTAGCTAATGGGAATCTTTGTAATAGATAATTTGCTGGAAATTCGAAAACCAAATAACCAAGATAAAAACAAGTACCTGTCCATGAATACATATCACCTCTCATGTGCAAATCGGTCTTTAACCCCATAATTGCAGCATATGAATTTGAAGTTTTATCCATATATTGACAAGCATATAGGAAACAAATCAATGGTAGCATATAAAGGTCAATTTTAAGTAAGAGTTTCTTATCTTTTTCTGGTGTCCATAATAAATGTTTTTCTTCCAAATCAAGTGCAACTCCCATGGCTTCATCGACATCTTGAGTATCTGGGGATAAATGAGCGAATGGCACTACTTCGCCTGCATCATTAGAACCTGCATCATTAGAATCTGCTGAGTTTTCAGCGTGAGAACTTGTTGGTTTCAATTCCATGTCTTTTTCGGACATCATAAAGAAGCTTTATTGGTTTGATTCCTCATAACTGGACCACATCAACTTCAAAATCCAATTAGTATTTATATCACAAACCCCAACGGTCTTGACTTTGGAACACCTAGTATTGATGAGCCGTTTATTGTTGAGCAATTACAGAGTCAAGTATTGGAGATATCACTCTGATATCGGCATCTCGTAAAATTCCATCATCTTATCAAACCAATTAGTACCAGGATTCTCTCCATAAGCATGCTTGAAAATGCCCTATCATGACCCATGACAGAAAGCTTCAAAGAATCATTTCATATGATTAAGTCCCTTGAATTACTCCACTATATCAGCAGCGAAACGGTTCCCACTAGAGATGGCTTCGAGCTAATGCTGTGATTTTATCCAACCGACAGTACGTACAAAACACCGCTGACTCTAGCGAACAAGGAATAACAATCTGACTCTGTTAAAGTTGTTGGATGTTGTTGTTCAATTTGTCGACGTTGTTGTTGTAGTTCAAAATCTGACATTTTTCACTGTCGCGATTGTGCACTCCGGACATTTCCGCCATTGAACTACTACCTTTTTCAAAGTAGACAAATATCTATTTGATTTTATCTAAATTTGCAGAATATTCTTCCTCTTGTTTAGCATCAATCTCTGTACCTTTCAAGTTTTTTACTGAATAATCCACAATTCCTCTAATGTATTCTTTATCTTTAAACCTTCCTAAAATACTAATAGTATTCAAATCTAATCCCATATGAGGATAACTACCAATCTTTATATCTTTAAACCCATCATCACTTGCCTTACTTTGTAACTGAGTTAAATATGGAGCGATTTCACTCTCAGAAAGTGAAGTGGTGACATAGTATCTAATGAAAGTGTTACCATTTTGTATTCTTTCATAAAGATGTGTTTCAACTAATCCAGTCAACAATGCTTCGAATAATTGAGGAACACCTGGAAGTATGAAGATCTGTTGATTTATACCAACAACTGGAACCCATAATTCTTCGTTTAAATAAACATACTCCACATTGGAGCCTTGAGGTAAAGTTGCCATTCTAAATTGTGCTTCTTGCGCTTCTTTATTTAAAACAGGTGCCGATTCTTTACGTAATGTCAACATCTTATCCACTGTTTCTTGATGAAGAGAAACGTCCAATTGGAATGCTTTTGCAATGGAATCATAAGTGATATCATCATGAGTTGGACCTATTCCTCCTGAAGTTATTATGAAATCGTATTTTTTAGATAAGCTTTGAATGGATTCAACTATATCTTCTTGTTCATCGCCAATCACCAATATTTTCTTCACCTCTATACCTTTACTAAACAAGTATTTGGCAAAGAATCTTGAGTTTGTGTCCTGGATCTTCCCATTCAACACTTCATCACCAATAATCTGGGGGAGGGAAACAGGTTAGTCACAATTCGAAATCCGTGATACCCACAACAGCAACAAACAAACTCACCAAAATAGCAGCAGTCTTTATGACACTCATTCTTTTTCCTAAAACTCTAGAACAAAATTGTGTTCCTGAATTCCCACAACAATTTTTGACGTATTTTGAAACTTTGTAATTTTTGTTTTCTGGAAGACACTGGCACATTCGCGAAAAACTAAAGTCACGTGAGCTCAAAGAAAAAAAAATTTTGACGTCAAAGAGTGGAAAAAGTGTAAGAACAGAACATTTTGATTTCGTTAGACAGGAAATTTAGAATAGAAACCAACCATCATGTCCACTTTTAATGCTGAAACTGCTGAGAATTTAGAAGATATTGAAAAACAATTCGCCGTCAAAGCTGTCCATCAAGCTGAAACTTATTGGAATTTATTAACCAAAATTAAAGGTTCAAAATTAAAATTAACAAAATATGATGATGATATTTATGATTTATTAGTGGAAAAATTCCCTGAATTTAAAGATCCAGAATATGCACGTTCTATAAATGAAGATGAAATGAAATCCAAGACTGGTAAAGAAAGATGGAGATTATTTTGTGAAGAATTTAAACATATTGAAGATTATAATTTTGGTACTTTATTAAGAACAAAGAGTGATTCAGAATATGATCAAGAAACTACAATTTTCGTTGTTAGAATCCAATTTTATGCTATTGAGATTGTTAGAAATAGAGCTGGTCAAAATGACTGGATTTACGGTAAATAATAAAGTTATGCCTTTTTGATGTTCTCTTGTATAATAATATTTAATTGTTAGGTTTGTTTTTTTTATCTCAGAGTTGTAGTGATGATTGGAGGGTCTTTCTAATGTTTGTGTGAATGTCCAGCATGGTCATGTGAATGGGTATGTTCTGGTTCTTCAACAACTGGTTCTTTAACTTGTGCTTCTTCTTCTTCAACTGGTTCTGGCTTTTCACCAACAAATTCAATGTTAACATTCTTTAAGTTGTCCACATCATTGATTAATTGATTTTTCAAATGATGAGAAACAATTTCAAATTCATTAATATCTAAAACGTTATCCCATCTTTGAATTGGAGCCTCTAAAGTAACTTTAGCATGAATATTTGGACCTGAAGTTAAAATTATTAAATCTTTAACACTGTATGGTTTTTTAGAATTATTATTTGACAACATTTTACCCAATAGTTCTTTTAATTTTGTATCAATTTCAATATATCTAGGATCTTTCTTTGGAACTGATCTATCAACTAATTCATTCACAGCTAAAACAATACCATTGAAACCTGCTTTGATAACTAAACCTGAAACTAATAACCCACCAACAGCATCAAGACTTTGAATACCAAAGAAATGACCACCAGTGATTGTAACTAAAGCAACTAACGAGGTTAAAGAATCAACTCTATGATGCCATGCATTAGCTAATAAAACTTTTGAATTTTGTTCTTTTGCAACTTTTGAAGTAGCTCTAAAGATCCATTCTTTTGCCAGGATGGAAGCACCTGCAATCCAGGCAGCGTTAACATTTGTAATATCAGCAGCATGGGCATGACTATGACCATGACCTGAAGATAATAGATGGATATGATAAGCATTTAAAGTTTCAATAATGGTATGGGGAACAATTGGACCAACAATATTAACTAGGGAAGCCCAACCGATTGATAACCCAGCCATTGTCAAGATTGAACTAACAGCTAAAGAACCCACAGTTTCAATTTTACCATAACCATAAGGGAAAGTTTCAGTAGCACCTCTGTTAGCTAACCCCACGGTACCTAAAGTTAAGAAATCAGAGACTAAATCACTTATAGCATGAACAGAATCAGCCATTAAAGCTTGAGAATGGAATACAATCCCACCAACTAATTTACCAGCAGCCATACCAACATTGATTAATAATCCGATCCAAGTGATTCTTACACCTGGATTTTCCCAGAATTTCTTCTTATCCCAAACTAATAACTCATTTGGACCATGGCTATGATTATGAGAATGTCCTAAAGTACCAAAAGTGAAGGAATCATTAGTTTCAGTCTCGGATTCACGTAGATGGACATGGTCATGATCACTGAATTCATCAGCAATGGCAGATTCAGCGTGGGAATGGCCATGGCCATGATCATGGCTGTGTGAATGGGAAGTAGGCTCTTTAGCAGCAGGTTCTTGGACTGGTTTTGCCAGCGGTTTTGGTGTTGTTGTGGATAGATAACGAGCTGTGGTTGTTCCTTGTAGAATGGAGATCGGACTTCTCGAGAGCACTGCTGGGCTCCAGCTGAGTCTTGTGCTGCTGCGCACCAGCGCCATGGATCTCAGCATCATCATCGTTCTCAGTCTAGCAATAGCCTTTGTCAATGTCAATTCTGATTCTGTTGAAGTTGAAGTTGAAGTTGACGTTGAAAAGTGTTTTTCGTGATTAAATTTTTCGTGTTGCCCCTCAGCATCATTTGAATCGGATTTTAACGCACTTAGGGAAAAAGGGTTGAAAAATGGAGGAAAAGTATAGAAAAAAGTGGTTTTTTTAAATAGATTTAATTATTATTGAATTCTGGATTCTTTACATTGCCTCTACCCTCTTTTCAGTGCCAAAATCGTCTTCTCTAAGCCAAATTCCGATGCTTTTGTCGTTGGTGGAGTCCGGCGCTCGCTTTACCCCAGAAGATGAAAATTTAAAAGCTTTTTATTCGTTGGAAATCACAAAATCACATTCATTATTAAATTAATCTATAAAGTATTACTTGGATCAGCTTCTTGATCTTTTGTAGGCTCATCAGTCTTTGGATTCTCTTCAGCACTGACTGTTTTAGGCTCTGGTGCAATAAGCTCTGGAACAACAACTGGAGCTGGTTGAGCTGATGGAGGTGGTGCTTGAATAACTGGTGTTTGTAAAGGAATACTAACTCTAGTATCCAATGTAGTATCAGGTGTAGCCTCAGTAGTACTAACACCTGGACTCTCTGTATCCTTAACTAGTTGCTTTCTAGCTCTTTTCCTAGCTGTCTTTGTTGAATTCTCAATGATTGGAGGTGGAACTTCACAAATTGGATCCAATTTATGTGCCAATTGTCTCAACTGATTATATTCATTTGATAACAACACAGTAGCACCTGATAGTTTTCTTAGGTAAAATTTAACCTTACCAACATCATCTTCCACAATCTTACCATCAACCCAGTTTAATTCGCGACTCAAGAAATGTTGGAAATTTGCTGCATCTTGATAAATAGCCTTTACCAAATATAATTCATCTGGTGCCAACTCTAAAAATGAACCTTCATCAATGATTGTACGTAATTCTTCAACTTTTGGACTATTATACTCTCTTGGAATCACTATTCTATAATCACAAATTGGACAAATATAATTATCAACTTTTTTAGATTTCCCTCTTCCAAATTTCAAACATTTACAATGATACCATTCATTACATTTCTCACATGCAATCATTGTACCACTTTCTAAACGACGACAAAAACAGAAAATCTTGTGATCAACTTCATTCAACTCTTTGTTGTATCTATCATCAACTTTAAAACAATAGTAATTCTTCTCCAAAATTGTACTCAAATGACTCTTTAAAACACTGAAAGGAGCATTTGTCTTACCAAACAACTTTTTAGATCTTCTTAACCAATCCTCAGCTTGTCTCAAATAGTTATCAAGTGGATCACTAGGATTTGAAGGTAGGAATTGTCTTGATCTTTCTAAAATATCTCTTGCAATGGAATATTTTGGTCTAATATCATTTTCATCACCTTGAAACTTTGACAATAGTTGATTATACAACTCTGGATTAAAATCTGGCATACCAGTCAATTTTTTCTGTTTCTGATCACGTAATGAAAACATTTCAACTCCATTCTTAGCAATGACTTTATAAATTTGATCTCTTTCTTCTAATGATTTAGCATGCTTTGTTTTAATATCTTCAAATGTTTTCATAACATTTTGATCAATTGGTAATCCAATAGCTTCATTTAATAACATATCCACAATGTTTATTGATAATGAAGGTAATGACAGGAAATGTTTCAACTTAGCATTCATATAACTCCCGTTCTTATATTTCAATCCAACTTTATCAATCAACTCTTTATCCTTCTTACTACCAATCGCATAACCTTCATCCAAAATAGCTTTAAAATCTGCTAAATTATCAGATTTTTCCAAAATCTCTTGTGCACGATTGACCCAACTCATTCTATGAACAATTCTTTCTAAGAATTCCACACTTTGTAATTCAACACCAAATGATTTACCCAAATCAATCATATCATAAAATTCCTCAATGGTATGACCATTATCTGTTAAAAATCCACGAACTGTAATCTCAAATTGATAAATCTCATTAGCAAATTCGATCAATTGATCAACTTCAGGACAACTAAAACTCAATTTTGGAATTTCATTAATCAATTTCTCAATCTCTTCAGGTTTAGAATTTGAAGTTTCAACCAATTCTTTAATAGAAACTCTTCTATTCCTTATCCTATTCTTTTGTTTAACACTCAAAATATCTTGAACTTTCTCAATCCAATAGTTTGCATCATCTAAATATAGTTTCAACACTTGAGCTTCAGGAATATTCCCCATTATTCTTTCACTCTCACTCAACAACGTCTTTAATGATCGAATTGGTGGTTTTGAATGCGTGTTCAACAATTCTTCAAACTTCATGACCCAATCCTTGGGCGTTTGTGCATAAGTTGATATTGTTCTTTGGAAAGTTTTCAATCGTTCATCTGTATAATAAACATGCATTTCAAATTTGAAATCAACTCCTTCAAATTCACCATCTTGATACAGTTTCATGAAGTTTTCAGGCTCAAAATTAAAACAATCATTCCCCTGTGTCACAACTATTTTCGTTGGGAAACAAACTGTTAAATTATCATCACTAATATAATCAAATTTATTATTAACAGTTTTCAAATTTGAAACTGTACTCTTCAACTTAGACCGAAGTTCGAATTGTTGTTCAATCAATTCATTATAAAATGGTAAAACTTTTTTCAACAATGTTGAATCTTTTGAATCCTCAGCAATCGAGGTTAATAATTGGAAAAATGAAAAACATGGTAGTAACCCTTGTGACTGTAGCCAATTCTCAGCTTCTAATGCATGATCTAACCATGAAGCTGATGCAAAATTAACATGTTCACTTATATTGAAACCTAATGAAACTGATGATGAATAAGTTTTAGGAAACTTGATGATAAATTGTCCAGGTTTTTGAATTGTATAACGAACATTAATACCATTTTGTTGAAGTATTGAAAATGGAATCAAAATATCAGAATTATAACGAATCACATCTGATTTATGATTATAAAATTTATTAAAATTTGAGTTTGTAGTATCACCTCTTTGACAAAACTGATCTTGAATCTTGATTGTATCTAAAACATCTGACGCAACGGGTTCTGGGAACTCTCTCTTTATAACACATGAGCCAACATTACCTTCATTAGATTTGATATATTGGGACAAGATTTTTTCAAAACTTTCCTTATCATTTGGTGAAATGAAATAACAAATCTTTGAATCACCAAGGTGTTGATAATCACAACCGAAAAGGAAATGATCCTCTATATTCCAGGATTTTGTACTATAAAGCATTGATATATCCAATTCTGGTTTTGTGATTGATTCATTTTCATTAACCAAATATCTCAACAACCCATTCTCATTCAATGACAAATTGTTCAAATTCCAAGGTGATGTGACATCTTGAGTCTTGAATCTTGAAACATCAGTCATGGTTGGGAATCCACTCCCATGAATACTTGTACTTAAATTTGAAGCAGATTCAACATTAAAATTAGAAGATTTAGTTTCAATTAAATTCCAAAATTTTTTGATAAATTCATCATCATCATTAACTTCATTTGCAAATAAACTTGATTTAACATTTAAATGATTTTCATAAAATTTATCCAAGGTATGTAATTGACTCATTTCTGTACTAGGAAATGGGAAATCTAAAACTTCAACACCTTTATGCCAATAAGTGAAATCGTAATATGGATAAGTATAATCATCAACTTGGGTAATACCTTGCTTTTCCTCAGTATACGATTCAAAATTTGTTTTGAACCCCTTGGATTTCAAAATATCCCTTGATCTTTTGAAAACTTTTCTTGAGTTTGATATAGTTGGGACAGTATCATCTACTTGAAGTTCTTGATGTTCTAATTTAACCCTTTTAGCTTCGGCATCAACAGCTTCTTCCTCTTCTAAAGGTCTCTTGTTTTCATCATTCACAACTTCAGAACTGTCAACATCTTTACCTTCCAAAAACAAATCATATGCATGAACAACTTTTTGATAAGAATTTTTCAAACTTGTTGATAATGAAGTCATTATTCTACCTGTATATCCTAATTCTCTACCAATTTGTGCCCACAATTTCTTACGACACACTAAATCAAATCCACCTTTCAGATGTACTGATTTTCTTAACTTGAACAAATCCAAAACACGACGGTCAATTGATGGTAATCTCAACAATGGTAATTTTTTCGATCTATGGAACGCCAATAAATCTTTATAAAACTGGATTTTTTCATTAAAATTTGAAGTTGGATGATTTAATGACTGTTTGGCTCCACGGAATTTTAGTCTTGGAAGCTCTAATGCAAATTCAGGGTTCCAATCAGCTGGAGGTATTATCTTGACAGCACCATATTTTACACCTTCATCTTTGATACTCTCTATGAATGACATTGGATCTTCGAATTGGGATTCTGTAAGATAATAGGTGGGTATTGATTCAAATCCATCTTTTGTGGGTTCAAAGAACGGCGATTCATGTTTTGCAAAGTTTTCCGGGATGGTTCTCTTGGTTTTAATGCCCAAAGATTCAAAATCTGTATTGTTTGTAAAATACTTAGATTCAACGTTTTTCAATAAAGGTGGTGATGCTGATTTTTGAGCGCCATTTTCTTGGGCAGATCCATTTTGTGTGTTGTCAGCTAATACTGTATCCTCTTTGGTTGGTAGTTCGGTGGGTAATTCGGTAGGTGGTGTGTTTTCTGGTTTGACATGTTCAACATGCTCAACTTGTTCAACTTGTTCAACTTGTTCAACTTGTTGACTAGATGCCTCTGGGGCTATAGGTTCAGACATCTTTGAAGGGTTTGAATAAGAGGTACCAGACCTCAGAATAATGGCTTATTTAAGATGAAGTATATTCAGTTAATAAAATAGGATTGGGTATTTAGAAACTCTGAAGTCCAGAATTTTCAAATTTTTTTGGATGGACAAAAACAATTTTAAATGGATGAAACTTTGGTCTTGAGAAGAGCGTGTAGTGTGCTTTGAGCCATTCAACCGTCAGTAGTTTCTTCCGACTCTGTTTTTCGTATTTCGTCCTTTTGCTCTTGTGAAGGTGTTAAAAGCTGACAGACCATTAATTGTAATTTTGATCTCTTGATGAATTTATTCAACCATAATCGGAAAGGGTATAATCCGGAAGTATATTGTCAGGTGACTATGTCGGAATGTGATTTTTATGAATTCTTTCCTTCATTAAGATACATGAAAGAACCAGAAGTACTTAATTAGTCCAGCTAATGTGTTGGATACAGCAAATTTGTTTCCGGAAGATTGAAACTTGAAAAGAGAGTTAGTATTCCCATATTCAACATTAACGACTTGGCCAGCTGTCATTTTAATCGTGTCAATAACCCATATTATAATTAATTAGCTTAAATGAATATATAGAATTAATTAATGTACTCAAATTTTATCTCCTAGTTCGGCAGTCAAATTAGGCTATTTAACAGAATTATACCGGCCCTTAATAAATATTTCAAGGATTTTAATTAATTTTTCCAAATAATTTCTTAATTTTAAGATTAATGTGCACCTAATCAGCTAGTGTGGCATAAATTATATATTAATAATTTTAATTAATATTATATATAAATTAGGAAGCCTGAATTCTAACACATGAGCGAGAAGCCTACAATCCAAGCGGTTCGTGCGTAATTGCATTCCTCATCCAAGTTCATGATCAAATACATCAACTAACAAAAAAAAAATATTATAATTAATTCCTACCCAACAGCTTGCATATTGTTCATAGTTATATCAACACTTTCTAAAGCCAAAGATAGCTTTAAATCTAACAACTTACAAGTACAAAACTTGTAAATATCACCTTTGGTATATTCTTACCTAATGGATTATGTAATATTTGGCTTTAGTAACAGAATCTGGATTAACCTATCTCGACCTCAGCTATCCATATATTTCATAACTTAATGCTTTTGAATGGTTTCAGTTATTTGAAGGAATGATTATGAAGAACAGCTACCAATGAGATTGAGGGTAAAGGCACCAAGATGACCACTGGTCCTCATTTCAACCATAGTGGTTATTTGATTCAATGGTGATGGTGATCAAGAACTGACTGACTGAACGTGTATCTGCTTGTGTGTTTTTCGTACTATGGTGGTTAAACCGTCAAGGTTGTTATTATAATGATAGAAGACATGGACCTGGGGGAGGTGTCTTCCTTTGAACCAACCAGATTACAGGTAATTGTCAAAAGAATATATCCTATGACCATTTGTTGATGTTGGTGATGATGTATCCTGAATGCTGAACCTCTCATAAGTAAAAGTGAAAGCCGTTGTCCGGTTATTGTTTGTCCAGTTCCATGATCAATTTTTCAGTTGTATCTTTAGTATTTAGTGGGCATGGTGTGCTGTTCAATCAGCTGAGGTTGTTGTTTTATTTCTTGTGCTGTATCATCAGATAATAAAATCTCATCTCCTGCAAAAGGTTCAAGAATATAAATAACCTACAAGATGTTCTCCAGAAAATCAATCTCCACATTATTGAAGAACTCTACTGTTCAAGGTTTCAAAAGATCCACATCATCTCCAAGACCCAATTGCTTCTCAAAAATGACAGTTATAACTCCCTTCTCAACTTTTTACAACCCTCAAGTTTCATTCTTTGGTAGTGGTGCTATCGTTGCAGCTATTGATGATATCAAAAGAAATGAATACAAAAGCGTCTTGATTGTTACCGACCCAGGTATCATCAAGACTGGATTATCAGACAAAGTTACTGCATTGTTGAAAGAAAGAGACATAAAAGTTTCAGTTTATGGTAACTGCAAGCCAAATCCTGCTATTCAAAACGTTGAAGAAGGTTTAGTTGAGTTATCAAAAGCGAATGCGAATGCCATCGTATCCATTGGTGGTGGCTCTGCTCATGATAATGCTAAGGCTATTGCTCTTATTGCAACAAACGGTGGTGAAATTAAAGACTATGAAGGGTTAGATAAATCCAAAAAGGCTTCTTTACCTTTATTTGCAATCAATACCACAGCAGGTACTGCTTCTGAACTTACAAGATTCACCATCATTTCAGACGAAGCCAGAAGAACTAAAATGGCCATTGTTGATGCCCATGTCACACCTACTGTTGCTGTTAATGATCCAGAAGCCATGATCGGTATGCCACCAGGTTTAACTGCTGCAACTGGGTTGGATGCTCTTACTCATGCCATTGAAGCTTATGTATCCACTGCTGCTACACCAATCACTGATTGTTGTGCATTGAAGGCTATTGACTTGATTGTCGCGAATTTACAAAATGCTTATGATGATGGTAAGAATTTAGAAGCTAGAAATAATATGTGCTATGCTGAATATCTTGCAGGTATGGCTTTCAACAATGCCTCTTTAGGTTATGTTCATGCCATTGCTCACCAATTAGGCGGTGTTTATCATTTACCACATGGTGTTTGTAATGCTGTTTTATTAAATCATGTTCAAAAATTCAATTCTGCTGATAAGAATGCTAATGACAGATTAAAAGTTGTTGCTAAGCATTTACGTGCCGATGAAGAAACCGCTGAAAGTGCTGTTAAGTTCATCAGAGAATTTGCAGATAAATTAGGAATTCCAAAGAATTTAAAAGAAATGGGTGTTAAAGAGGAAGATTTTGAGTTATTAGCTGAGAATGCGATGAAAGATGTTTGTCATGTTACTAATCCAATTCAATTTACAAAAGGTGAAGTTATTGAAGTTATAAAATCTGCCTACTATTAGAATAAGGGTATAGATATATACTCGATTTGATATATTTTATACATGTTGCTTAAAAAATTTGATGTAGAGTATCTCCTACAAGGTAACAGCGTCGATGATGAGAGTATAGATGAACTCAAGAATGTTGTCCTTGAATGACATTTCAGCGAGTTGGCAACAGGGTCAGGGCAGAAATAAGCTGAACAGTCAATATTAACGAAACTGGCCCACAAAAACTACGACATGAAGATTATGAGGATGGTCAGCAAGTCATAGTGGAGAGTTACCAAATTGATAAGTCCTATCAAAAAAGAGAAAAGAATCAGGTGATAAATCAAACATCAATTCATATATAAAAAAGAACTAAACTTAACTAAACTTTTCTCTAAAACCAATCTATTTTCCTTTCAAATGTAGTACTCTCTCTTAAGAAACGACGGCGACGTTTTGGTAATTTAAGCTCAACCAATGCCAAAGTAGCTCTTGCATCTTCCACTGAATCATGAGGTCCCATTTGAATATTCCAGCCAAGATAATCTCTAGCCAATTGTTTCAAACCAACTTGACCATTAGGATTCGGGGCATCATATTCATAAAGCTCAGCAGTATCTATAATTTTTGGATGTCTTAATTTCAAGACATTCAAGTCATTGTATATAGCATGTCCGATTAATATATCATCTGAACTAATGATATCTGTTAACTGTTCTTGAATATCTTCTAATCGATTAGGAGCTCCTAGAATATCTCTTTTTCTCAAACCACTCCATCTTGTCAAATAGTTGGTAATATAAGCATAAGGTTTCACATATTCATCAAGGACAACATCACCTTCAAAATCAATTAAAGAAACCCTACCAACTTGTCTTCCCTTTCTGGTTTGAACCATTTCACAATCAAGGGTGTAATAAGACCTGCACCTACCCTTGCCCAAATCTTCGGTATCATACCATTCATCATCATCATCCTCCTCTTCATAGTAATTATAGGGTCTACCTGGTGTATCTGGGTGAATTGGGAATTGTCCCTGATCAATAAGATCATCAAAGTCTAATATCATAGCAGGTAGACGCATCTTGGTTTTGCTTTGGGATCTTGTGAAGTGTCTTTGTGGTGGTGAAGTTTGAAACGCAGCAATATAGATTGAACACAGAAATATTAACTATGAGAATAGCACTTGATTGGTCAACTAATAGTATGACCACAGCAGGTGCTTATATCTCGTTCGTACAACTGACAGATATGGCCAACGTTTTTTTTTTTTTCAACGGTTATAACGAATGATGAAACAGATTTGCGACACCTAAAGAACAAGAATCATGGAGAACGTCGTATTCTAATCCCATGTTATTACCAGATATAGAGAGCTCATTAGTCACTTTCAGCTCAATTTGGCCTTAGGATTCTGGACTCTTTTGCTGAAGTCAGAGAAGCGCATTCGCCATACATAATATCGACACGTAGAGAATGACAGAATGCTAAACTACAGTAAAAATCAAAATATTCACGATTTCCCCTGTTTTTGGTATTCAAGTGCTTTTAAACATTTGTTTTTAGACAAAAGTCTCAAGACTAGCAACATCCAACAAATTTTAGAGTCTTCTTGGAAGTCAGATAGGGAACCGGTTAAAAAGCTTCTATAACCATGAGGTATGAACATTTGAGCCAAGAATAACAAATACTGACTTTCAGTTTTACTATCATCCATGAAGAAAACGTAATAGAGATGTGCAATGTCTATTATATTGGGATGTTTCAATTTCAAATTCTTGAAGGCTCTATCAAGAGCAAACCCGACAATTATATCCTTTGTGGAAATCACTTTGAGTAACTCTTGTTGTATGTGAAATAATTGATCTTCAGAGAGAGTAGCGTCCGAACCATCATCATCAGAACCAAACTCAAGATACTGTTCTTCAAGTTGAAAATTTTCTTTAACATACAAATGTCCATAAAAATCAACTAATGTAACTTGAGCAACTGGAATACCATACATACTATAGCCACTTCGACAAATCAACACATAGATCATGCCTTTGCTTGTAATGTTCTCTGTTTCTACCCACCCTGGACCTGAATATGAGCAAACAAGATTTTTGGGACAACCAGGGGCTTGAGAATGAATTGGATAATTTCCTATCAATAGTTCATTATAGTCCATGAGGAAATCGTTGATATCTGAAAATTTTAACATATCTGGGGTGAATAATTAAATTAGCATATTAATTCACAAGGATGACTTAATGGTGGTGATATAAGCTAGCTGAGACTAGCTCTTGAACTTGGTTTATAAGAGATTTATTGTTTTTGTGGACAGCATTGATTAAACGGCTGAAAAACTATATTCTGATTGTTTCCACAACAACCAATAATGGCAAAGAACAAAAATGGAACATTATAAGGCCTATAAAGTCACATTAATCTTGATTCCCACTGCTCAATACCAAATCACAAGTTACCGACAGCAGCCTTGACGCTTAATGTTCATCATTTCAACTTAGGGTTGAAAAAAAAAAAGTTATTGTTTCAAATTTTTTTAGTGTGCTTACTGACACGTAAAGCAACGACAGACAATAGCCAACATAGCCAACATTACGCTTTGACAATGTACAATTAAAAACATAAATACGTCAAATTACTGTCCTTTATTCATCCTTACTAGTGAACACACTAAATAAATGGGGCCATCGAAGAGGCAAACTGAAAAAGATCACAATTGGCACCTCACAAAGTTTCCCTAATTGAAGACTCTAGCTCTCACCAAGTCCATTGTAGCTCTTGCATCTTCAACAGAATCGTGAGGACCGTTTTGAATGTTGATTCCTAGATAGTTACGTGCTAGTGTTTTCAAGGCGACATTCCCATATATATCAATCGTGTCAATAATCCTTGGATGTCTCAGATTTAATACTCTCAGATCATGATAAAAAGCATGTCCAATCAAAACATCATCAGTGCAAAGAAAGTTCAAAAGAGCTCTTTGGATATCATATAAATCACACTTTGCAGATTGAATATTATATGGTGTTAGCCCACTCCATGGTGTTTTATAATCAATGACTTGACCGTAAGGTCTAACATATTCATCAAGTACAACATTTCCACGTGGATCCACCATACTGACTCTACCAAGCTCTTTACCATGTGTTGTTATGAGCATTTCACAATCAATTGCAAAATAAGACCTGTTTCTGTTGAATAGTTGTTTTTGTTGTGTATCTAACCAATCATCATCATAATCATCATCACTATCATAAGGATCAATAGCTGGATGAATTGGATAATGGGCTGCTTCCAGCTCATCGTATGTCATTATTAAGCGATCCAATCTCCCCATCTTGGTAATAATTGATAATGTTCTTAGCAAATAACCAATGGGTTAACAAGAGAAAAGGTTTACTCATAGTATGTGTTTTTTCGAAGCATTCTCAAAGTTTTAGTTCCAAAAATTCGCGCATCAGATAACTCAACGGACGGGTCTCACATGACTCAATAAAGAAATCATATACTTAAGCATTATTTAGACATCAATGAGAATGCTAAAATCATAGGTAGCATCTTGTATAAAAATTTAATTCGAAATTCTCTAGTGCAACATTATAATGGATTGTTCGCCATTTATCTACACAATCTGCCAAATATTGACGGGCTGATAATATTGACACTTTGTCAGATGGCAGACACCATACATTAGATTATTTATAACCAACAAATGTCCGTCTAGTATGTACCATTTATACAAGTCACTGCTTTACCCCCGACATTGACTTGATATTTACCCTCTACTTGCTCAATTACAACCTTTAACTGACCATTTCTTTTGACTTTACAACCTTGTTTAATTTTAATCTCTCCAGTGATACCATACTCTTCAGCCAAAACAGATCCAACAGCACCAGCTCCACTACCACAAACAGGATCTTCATTCACTCCATCAGCTGGAGCAAAATTTCTGGCTTCATAGGAACCATCTTCATGGACACCAAATACATCAATCCCTGTTATATTTGAAGTGGCGGAGAAATTAGCCAATGAACTGAAATCTGGATTTAAATTCAAAACATCTTGTGCAGTTTTCAATTGGAAAGTTAACCAAGTAGGCCCATCATCAACCAATACAGTCTTCAACACTTGATTTTCATTCAAACCTAGATGTGATAAAACTTGTTCATTATCATCAAACTTTGAATGTTTATAATACGGTAATTTAAAACTTATATCATCATCAGTGACGGTTAATTCCACCAACCCTGCACCGCATTCTTGAATGATTTTACCAGTTTGAGGAGTTATAAGACCAGCTTCTAATAATGCATGACAAGAGCCTATAGTTGGATGTCCAGCAAAAGGTAATTCTGAACCAGGTGTGAAGATTCTTAACTTATAATCTGCTTTATTTGAGCTAGGCTTAAGAACAAAAGTCGTTTCTGAAAGATTGGTCCAATTTGCAATTTTCGCCATTTCTTGTGTTGACAGGTTATCAGCTTCGAAAAACACGGCAACTGGATTTCCCTGGAATTTTGTGGATGTAAAGACATCGACCTGTTTGAATTGACCCATTGTTGAATTATGTTTATTGATGCTTATTGGTAAGTTGATTGAGCTTTTATGTGTGTTTTGGTGGATTTGAGAACTGTTTTATACCCAATGTATGAAGTTATGACTCAACAATTGAAATATTATTTTGAATGTCACCGGTGTCAACAACTTCACCGGTGATAGATGTGGAAAGTTAAGAGCCATTGATTTAAATATAAAAACCAGTAAACATCAGATTGACTAATTTAATCAATTCGACGAATGGTTTGAAATAGTTTATGGATCATTGCAAGCATTTTTCAGGGCTAATTTCCATTATAACGAGTTTTCGCGAAATGCAATACCATTGTAACATCAAGAGCAACAGTCAAAATATTCTACAACTTTCATTAAAATCAAAAAATGTATTCTTTTGATCAAAAAATAGCGCTATAAAAGATCATAAAAAAAGGTAACATAAAAGAGTATAAAAAGCTTAACAAAAGATGTTCATAATATAATCATACAATCATAAAATCAGTTGGTGGTTTACCATCCTTAGAGGTTTCTTCCAACGTATTTTTGACCTTCTTGGACACCTCTTTCAAACCCTTTTTTACCTAATTCTTGAGCTTGTTGAGCAAATTGGCCTTGGCCACCAGAAGCACCACCAGAAGAGCCACCAACACCACCCATACCAGATGATGGATGTTGTTGTTGAGAGCCAGCACCACCGAGACCACTAGAGCCTTGGTCATAGCCAGCACCTCCAGCAGCAGCTTGTGATCTAGTTGTACGGGAACCTGATGAACCCAAACCACCAGCTTGGTTACCAGAGCTCAAGTCATCATCATAACCTGATGAACCTGCACCATGACGACCTGTAGAGCCAGAACCAACACCAGAGTGGCCGGATGAACCATAAGCACCAGATGATGATTGGCCCTTAGTACCTGGAATGTGTTCACCACCAGAGCTAGAGTAGCCTTGGGATCCTGATGAACCATAAGCACCAGTGGAACCACCTTGGTTCAAACCTGAAGAACCATATGAAGCATCTTGTTGAGTACCACCGACACCACCAGCACCACGGGTAGAGCTTTGATGGCCATAACCTTGAGAGCCTGATGAGCCATAAGCATCTTGTTGACCAGAGGTTGGGATTTGTTGATCTCTACCACCAGCACCAGAGCTTAGATTTTGTTGACCAGCTCTGCTTGTGGATTGGCCTTGTTGACCATAACCTTGGTCGGCATATTGGCCTTGTTGAGCACCTTCAGCACCTTGGTTACCTTGGATTTTGTTGGATAATTTATCAATAAAGTTAGACATTGTTAATTTAGTTGTAGTTGAAATATAATTGTAATATATGGATATTCAATTAGACTTCTGATGAAATAAAAAGGGATTGAGAAGTTGAATTGAACGGAAGAAACTTGATCTTTATATACCTTTTCCATCAATCTCAACTATTCTAATTCTTCCATAAAATTCCTTGATAAATAGTAAACATTTGCTAAATTGCTATTCTTAAATGTAATTAAACGTGATAAAGTTAGTTAAATCACAAAGTATTTTGCAAAAACTGTGGAAAATGCTTATGAAATTTGTCACAACAGGGGTGTTTGTATAAGAGAAAAAGAAACCTTATTGTTGCTATAACCGGTTTGACATTGCCCACGATGTGTGTATAATTGAAATTTCTATAGTACCTTCAAAAGAAAAGGTGCTCTTGATGAGGTGTAATTTTCAAAACTCAATTCCATTTGGTATACCCCAGATCCAAGAATTAGGCTTTCTCAATCCATCACCAAATGGCCAATTGATACCCACTCAATTGGTCTAGCCCATAAAAGCTCTGGTGATATTTAGATCACTAAAAAGCATTCATTTCACTCTCAATTGAACTTCAGCCATTCCTTCAAATCATTCTAACCCAGATCAAATGCACAACATCCAAAACCGTTTTCACGTCAACAACAACCCTCGAGAACAAATCCTCGAGACCGAATTTAGAGCAGCTGATGGAGGATGAAATTTAGCAATTTGCTGGCCCTATGAAAGGCTATAAAGTGGAAGGGGAAGCGTGTTTACGTTGTCGATGAGTAAGAAGCTCGAAGTTGTGGCCTTTGAACATTTGCTTGCTTGCTTTCGCGAATGCGTTTTGCAAGGAGTTTCCAACGGTTCTCTTCAATTTGACTGTGGAAAATAGTCAAGAAATTAGATTATTGGTGCGTGAAAGGTTAAGGACAAATAAAGACAAGTGTTTTAAAAATTTAACAAGAGACTAGCTATCTAAGCCTGCTTTTACCTAGTTCTTAGCCCAATTCTATGGTGGTTTTCGATTAATACCCGTCATCCAGAACAACCTACACACCCTACAATCTCTATAATAAAACCAAAAGCGTGTCATTAATAAATCGAAAAATCATCTATATATGTGTCATGAGTTAAATAAAACCAAATCAAAATCATTCAAGTTGTTTTGTTTTGTCTTTATTTTTTCAAATACTTGTCATAAGCATTCTTTACATCATCCATCACTTTATTCTCTTTCATATCACTCTTGTCTGCTTTGGAAATATCATTGGCGCCAGCTGTACCACCATAGTTCTGATTATCATTATTTAAACCTGTATGCTTTTTAGCATCATCATGAGCATTAATTGCAGTATCTGTGTCTTTGTTGAAGTGTCTGTAAATTCCTGACATTGTTTTTAAAAGTTTTGCATATAAAGTTGTTGTTATGAAATGAAATTAGTCAACTTTGTAATATAAAGAGCAAATATACAAAAGACCTAACTATAAAGGGCCAGAGATTTCATCTGTTTAAATATGTTTCCGTTTCCCTCAAAAGTAAAGAGCAATTGTGACCAATGATAACAAAGGTAGTTGCTTTATTCATCATCCACTGTAACCATTTCTCTAGAACAAGATAAGTGCTTATATGGTGGCAAAATAGGTACGGTTGTGTCACTAAACATTTTGCTCTTGACGTAATATACAGTGATGACATTTATAGATACGTGTGACAATGTTGCTCTTAAAGGAAGTTCAAGAGATTTAAAAACCTACACTATTATTCACAAATTAGTCATGTACATTATCCTAAGCTTCAACTTTACCATAACCACCACCACCTGGAGTCATGATAATAACTCTGTCACCAACTTCAGTTTGTACTGTATTACGACCACCAATATTAACAACCTGTCCATTCTTTGCCTTGATCCACAAGTTCAACCCTCTTTCAGCATTTTCACCACCTTCAATACCTCTTGGTTGGTTTACACGACGTTCACTCAAGATTGAAGCCTTGACAGGATATCTAAATTCTAAATCTCTAATAACACCATCACCACCTTTAAATTTACCATCACCACCAGATCCTAATCTAATTGAGTATTCTCTCAAAATGACTGGATATCTCTTCTCCAAAACTTCAACATCTGTCATACGAGTATTTGTCATATTTGTGTGAACACCACTAACACCATTCCATCCATCACCTGCACCATGTCCACCACCAATAGTTTCATAATAACCAAACCCTTGTGTATAACCACCTTTACCATCATGGCCACCAGTACCAAATGTTAAATTGTTACAATCACCTTGAGAATCAGCCATAACTTTAAAAGCTTTCAAAATGACATCAGTAACCCTTTGTGAAGTCATAACATTACCACCAACAACTGCAGCACCTTCTAATGGAGATAAGATTGAACCTTTTGGAATGATTATTTTAGCTGGACGTAAACAACCTTGATTCAATGGGATATCTTGATCAACAAGACATCTTAAACAATAAATTAATGCAGAGTTTGTGATAGCTTCTGGTGCATTTAAATTACCATACATTTGTGGAGAAGTACCTGTAAAATCAAAAATGTTTTCCTCTGGTGTAATCTTAATTTTCAATTTAATTTTGGAACCTTCATCCATAAAATCTTCACTTTCAAATTCTGTTGAACCCAAATTTTTAGTAATTTCAACAAGTTTTTTCTGAACAGTTGATGCAGCATTATCTTGAATTGCATTCATATATAGAATAATAACATCTAATGAAAATTCTGAAACTAATCTTTCAATTAAATTAATACCTTTTTGATTAGCAGAAATTTGAGCTTTCAAATCACTTAAATTATCACTTAATCTTCTTGTACCTGAACATCCTTCATATTGAGCCGGATCATGTAACAAAATCTTTGTGATTTTTTCCTCTTCAAATTTACCTTCACTAACAATCAGTTCTGAATAAATGGCAGCACCTTCTTCATACAATTCTTTGGAATTTGGAGGCATTGAACCTGGTAAGATACCACCAATATCAGCATGATGAGATCTTGATGCCGTATAGAAAATAATCTCACCATCTTTGAAAGCAGGTGTGATAACAGTGATATCTGGTAAATGTGTACCACCAGCTAAAGGATGATTTGAAACAATAGAATCACCAGGTTTTAATTTATCTTTCCATATTTTAGCTTGTGCCCTAATAGCAGTGGACATTGAACCTAAATGAACTGGGACATGAGGCGCGTTGGCAACCAAATTACCTTCCGGATCAAATAAAGCACATGAAAAATCCAATCTTTCTTTAACATTTGTAGAAACTGATGTTTTTCTTAATTGATTACCCATTTGTTCTGCAATATCCATAAATCTATGACCAAAGATTGATAACAATATTGGATCAACTTGTTTACCTTGAGAAATTAAAGTTTCTTGTTTTGAATGGATTTTAATGAAAACATGAGCTTTCAAAATGGTAGCTGAAGCATTTGGAGGGATAACATTGGTTTGTGTACCATCTGCCAAGATTGCAGGACCATTAATCTTATTACCAATTGTTAAATCTTCAATTCTATAAATTGGAGTTTTGAAACGACCACCTTCAAAATAAACTTGTTTATGGAATTTAACTTTTGAATCATCAATTTCAGTGATTGTTGTTTGTAATAATTCATCATCAACAGATTCACTTGAATCTTGTGAAGTACTACCCACAGCCCTAACTCTAATATCATCAATCAAGATAGATTTATCCTCAAATAAAAATCCAAACTCTCTCTTGTGTAATGCTAAGAACTTTTCTTCAAAATCAAATTTTGATTCACCTTGACTAATCATTAAGGAAGATTCAGTACCTTGATATCTCAAGTTTAAGAATTTCTCAAATTTGATTTGATCTTCTTTGAACCCATGTTCAATTAATTTTTCCTTGGAAGTCTTCATCAAATGGTTAAATCTTTCTTCAATATGAGCTTCATTCTCCTTGTTCAATACAACTGAAGAAGGTTCTTGATTTTCCTCCACAACATCAGCTAAAGCAATACCATATGCAGATAAAACTGAGGAATATCTATGAGCCAAAACAGTATCAATACCTAAAGATTCTGCAACTGCAACTGCATGCTGACCACCAGCACCACCAAAAGTGACTAAACGATGTTGGGAAACCACGTGACCTTTAGCTTCAGTTAATTGTCTGATTGGTCTAGCCATAGTTTCATTTGCAACTTTAATGAACCCATAAGCTATTTCATCAACAGTTAAATTACCATTGTTTTCTTTATTAATTTGATCAGCAAGTTCTTGGAATTTTGATAATGTGACTTTTTCATCTAGTGATTCATCTTCATTTGGACCAAAGATCTTTGGGAAATATTCAGGTAATAATCTACCCAATAGCAGATTTGCATCAGTGACAGTTAATGGACCACCTTTTCTATAACAAGCAGGACCTGGATGAGATGAAGCACTTTCTGGTCCAACTTTAAACAATCCATTAACCCAAAATAATCTTGACCCACCACCTGCAGCAACTGTATTAATATCCAATTGTGGAGACTGAATAGTGACACCCGCGGTTGTTGTTTCGAAAACATGCTCAAATTGACCACCATATCTTGAAACATCAGTTGAAGTACCACCCATATCAAAACCGATTAAATTAAATTTTCTCTTTGTGTCATAACAAGTTGAAGAATAACCAACAACACCACCTGCAGGACCTGATAAGATTGCTCGAAGACCAGAAAATTTGGAAGCATCAACTAACCCACCATCTGATTTCATAAATTCTATTTTAGCCCTGTTTTGTTCTTGTAAACCTGAAGTGAAACCGTCTAAATATTTCTTGATCTCAGGAGTTAAGTATGCATCTGCAATTGAACTATTAGCTCTTGGAATTAGTTTAATCATTGGAATCAATTCAGAGGATAATGAAATATGAGTGAAACCAATCTTTTCAGCAATTTGCCCAATCAATTTTTCGTGATCTGGGAAAGTGTATGAGTGTAATAATGCAACACCAATTGATCTGATACCGGAAGCATATAACAATGATAAAGTAGATGTTATTGATTCCAAGTCTGGTTTCTTTAGGATTCTAACAGTCTCACCCGAGGTACCAGTAACAAGATCTTCACCATTAGGTTTTGTTTTAACATTTTGAGCATCTTCAGCATAATCTTCTAGTGTAACTCTTTCATCAACCTCCACCACTGTTTCATAAAGCACTTCAGGTTTCTTAATTTTCAAGTCAAAGATCTTTGGTCTGGTTTGATCACCAATTACTAAACAATCTTTGAACCCTTTTGTAGTGATCAAAGCACATCTTTCACCTTTTCTTTCCAAAAGAGCATTTGTAGCAACAGTAGTACCCATTCTGATACTTTCAACTTGAGAAGTGTCCAATGGCTCACCCCTTGGAATGGTTTTCTTTGTGAAAATCTCCATTAGCCTTCTGATACCTTCCAATGGAGCATCTGGATAGTTGTTTGGATCCACTGATAAGAGCTTGATGATGACATCGTCCTCTTGATTCCCTGTTCCTGGGTTCCCAATACAATCTGTGAAGGTTCCACCTCTGTCTATAGCAATTCTTATCTTTCCAGTCATCTTTATGGTAGTCAATTGACTAGTGAACTGAACTTTCAACTGATCAAAAGTAAATACGAGATTTTAAGCTGCTTAAATGCTTTTTCGATTAGTCAATGCGCGGATATTCGCAAAGGACTTTGTCCACCAAAAAGAGGGACGGATTGGGCCCCAGCGGCACTTGGACATCCCCCAGTTGGCAGTCAAGAAGGACGGTCCTTCAAATGAAGAGCCACAGAGGCTTCAAAACTTCAAAGTACAAATTATTAAGATAATTTATAAGCGAACAAGTGCCAAATGGTTTATCTACGATTAGATGGTTACGATACGTCAATCTATATTACTAATATCACACACCAAAGTTATTTCTGTAGTTGTTTCTCTTTAAACGATCCTTCATTGCACTACCACTTGATGAATCACTTCTCTCTGGATGGCCTGGTCTTGTATTTGAACCTGCAAACCTCGAACCACCGTTACTTCCATGGTCAGCTCCACTTGTAGCAAACCTGCTTGGAATTCTTGTGTTTTGATCATTGGCAAACCTGCTGGCAAAGCGTGAGGTGCCTGGAGTTCCCTGTTGTTGTTGTTGTTGTTGCTGCTGTGATTGTGGTTGGAATCTTTGAGTCTGAACTGGTTGTCTGATTTGTTCTTGGGCAGTGTTTTGAGGTTGGGCTCTTTGAGGATGGTTGTGATGTTGGTGATTCTCTTGTTCTTCACCTAGCCATTGTGGAAATTGTTCATTCTTTGAGACATAATGGTTTACTAGGGCCTTGTGGATTAGTGTGGAATTTGGAGAGTCACCGTCGTGTTCTGATCTTATCGAGAGATTGGCCAAGGAGGATGATATCTTATTAGTAGAAGAACGGACTTTTGTCCAAAAGTTTCCTTTATCGTGGTGTAGTGACATTATTGGTGTTGAGTTAAGTTGTCGATGTTGAGTTTAATGAAGGAATCTATTTTTTCGGCCATGTTATTTTTATCTCGCGATTTTAAAGCCTTTGACAGAAATTTGACACATTCAACAACGTTTTCGCAAACTACGACTCACAAAACTCATAAACTCATCAAAAATGTACATTAAATTCATTGTTTCTCAAGCATGACTTTCTAGAATTTGATCAACACCCAATTCAACCTCATTGCCCCAAACAGCCTTGATCACATCCCAAAATGTATCAACGTAAATAATCTCAATACCCAATTTTTCTTTAACTTTAACCTCAGGTTCATCAGTCCCCTTGTTCAAAAATTCAACCAATTTAGTATCATCATCATTATAAAAATGTTCAATAACATCTTTTCTATTCAATTTTGGAATTAAAACAGTCTTTATACCAAACAATGAAGCTCCCAATAACTTCTCGCCAACACCTCCAATTGGTAAAACTTTCCCTCTTAATGTAATTTCACCAGTCATTGCAATTGTTGGATCAACTGGCTTGGACAATGCAATTGATAAAAGTGCTAAAGTGATTGTTATACCAGCAGATGGACCATCTTTTGGTATACCACCCATTGGAACGTGAAGATGTAATTCAGAGTTATTAAATTGTTTCAAAACTTCAGTAGAGTTCAAATTATGAATCAGGTTTCTTGATATTGTGGATTTGATAAAACTTAAACCAATCTTAATGGATTCTGTCAATGTTTCACCTAAACGACCTGTAATTATTAATGTTGGACTCTTTGAATTTTCAGAGTGTAATGGGATACTTATAACTTCAAAAACTAAAACACCACCGGACCCATCAGAGTTATAACTTAACCCGTTAACAACACCATAATGATTACTTAGTTTTGGTCTCAAGATTAGATCTTTTGAAATTGGATGAATTGGTAATCCAATATATTTCACTAATGAATTCTCATCAATATTTGGGCTATAATTTGATTCTTCATTCTCAACAAATTCAACAGCTTTACCTCTACAGATTGCTGCAATTGTTCTTTCTAAATTACGAACACCAGGTTCCCTAATATATTCCAAAACAATTTTTTTCCAAATTGATTCATTCAATAAAACTTCCCCTTCAGGCAATCCATTCAACTTGATTTGTTTTGGTAACAAGTATTTTGAGCCGATATTTACCTTTTCCTCAGCTGTATAACCCGAGATTTCCACAATCTCAACACGGTCTCTTAATGGAGGACTAATAGTTGCCAATTCATTAGCAGTACACAAAAACAACACTTGGGACAAATCAACAGGGAACCCAATGTAATGATCAGTAAAATTACAATTCTGTTCCGGGTCTAAAACTTCTAATAATGCAGCTGCTGGATCTCCCGAAATTTTCCCATTGGAACCAGTACCACCACTGACTTTATCAATTTCATCTAATAATATCACAGGATTCATTGAACCTGCTTTACGTAATGCTGAAATTATCACACCAGGTAATGAACCGACATAGGTTCGACGATGTCCTCTTATTTCAGATTCATCACGAACACCACCTAATGAAACACGTTGGAATTTTCTGCCCAAAGCTGTGGCGATAGATCTTGCTAATGAAGTTTTACCAACACCTGGTGGACCAACAAATAATAGTATTGGAGATGAAGATGATGGTTTTTTCACTAATTCATTTGGTGAATTTGGTGATTCATCAAGATTGTTTTTATCATGTAGTTTCAAAACTGATAGATACTGTAATAATCTCTTTTTGACATGATGTAAGCCATAATGGTCATCATCTAATTGTTTTTGAGCTTTTGAAATTTCAATCTCTTTTGAGTTGATGTATTGACCAAATGGGATATCCAGGATAACATCAAAATAGGTGCGCAAGACTTGATATTCTGAATGTTGGGTTGGCATACGTTTTAGACGTTTGTAATCCTTGGTTAAACTTTGTCTACCATCTGGATGAACATCTGATGGAATGTTGTTGATGAATTTATCAACAATTTGTAACTCTTCAGCTTCTTCAGAATTACCTGATGAACTAGCACCACTGAATGGATTTGATCTATTTGTTGGTGTATTTGTGCCAGGTGAATAATTTGAAGATTTTTCCGGTTTAATTGAATCCAGTGAAAACTTGATAGATTTCAATTGATTTGAAATGATTTTTGATTTTTCCAAATCCGATGCCTTTGAATAATAATTTTCAACATATTCAACACTTTTATCTAAAACATTGAATAATTCAATAAAATTTTGAAGAATTTCCACAAATTTATCAAATCTTGTTTCCACAGTTAAAGTACCTAAAAACTCCAATTTTGCAGTTGGTAAAACAGCAATTGTTAAATCTAACAATTTTAAGAAAGTTTCAGAGTTCTTGATAGATTTCAACTTGTCCAAATTCCCATTAAACTTCTCAATTAAATTAATCAATTTTTGCCATGAATTTTTGAAATCATTTGAAAATTGTTGATATAGAGCACTAGCTAATGGTGATAATGTCAAAGCATATTTCTTCCCCTGTGGAATGCTTTTCTCAAAAGTACAAACCAAAGAATATTCCTTCATGAAATTTTCAATCTTGTCAAACAATTCATCAGTAACTTTGTTGAATACTGGAACTTTTTCATGTAAATAATCTGTACCTAAATCAACATGATTGGAAATAGCTTTAATCTTGGCTTCAAATGGGAAACCTGGTTCAGTATCTTCAATATCATCTAACAAAACTTCACCTCTAGTTAAAGCTTGGAAAGTGATGACAATAGATTTAGAATCATTAACAATACCAACAATTCTTGAAATAGTGGCAACTTTATCATTTGAAAGTTGTGACAATAACCCCACAATCAACCAATCATAAGCACCTTCATTACCTTGATTCCCATTCAAGAATTTTCTTAATGCACGAGATCCCTGGATTGAATCTTTGGAGACTTTCTCAGCATTTTTTTCATCAACACCGAGTAAACCTTGCTTTGGCAGATTTGCAATCAGTAAATTGTGTAGTTTTGGATTCTTGTAAAAATTTAAGAAGTTTGAGGCATCTTGATTTGAGAAAGTGACTCTATACAATATACCTGGAAGTAATACAATTGGGGACTTGCTCAACTTGTAGATAGGAAGTGTGATTTCAGTTGAAGGGGAAGCAGGAGCACCAGCAGCACCGTTATTCTGAGGCAAACCCATCGCTAAACGCTTTGAAATTGAATCTCTGTTCAACACTTTTTCTTTCCAAGTTTGCCACTTTGTCACTAGTTTTATAGCTTTTGTTGATTCTTTGAAGTTTCCAGCGGTTCGAAAAAGTTCCCAAATTTGGGGAAAAATGGAGGACCCTTGCACGTGACTGATAAGAGATTATATAATACTTACATAATACATATCTATATTACATAATTTCTTATAAAGCTTCAATTACTTCTCATATATAAGTGTATTCTTCTTCTTTGTACGGATTCTCACCAACTAGCCCTTGGTAGTTCTCATAATTCGAGGAAGATGAGTCTCTAAACTTGCTCAACTCATTGCAAACGTCATCCAACTGGTCCTTCACAGTAACATATTGTAAATAGCTCTCCGTATCACTAGCTTCATCATCATCAATTGTAGAATCATAAGTCTTTTGTAAAGGTTTTGATGCAGTTTTTGCCAAATGTTTATTAAATTTTAGTTTCAACAAGCTTGGAGATTTCAATAATCTCATGTATAACGGTTGAGGTCTTTCATTGTAAAGATTTAATATATCAATAACAACAGTTTCTGGATTTCTAATTGCATCAATCTTTGACTTGACACTTTGGATTTTATCAGATGTCATCACCTTCACTTCAGCATGTTGCAATTTAAGATTTTCCCAATCTTGTTTATACAAATCAATAATGTGGTCTAATAAATCAATCATTTCTTTAAGCTATACAGAAAGCAAATACATAAAGTCATTAATAGGAATATTGAAAATGATGCTTCTTTTTATAAGTCCACACACCATTATACACTCAATTTTCACGTACTTGAGTTGATAAAGCTTGGAAAAAAAAGCTAAAAAAATTCTCATCAACTTGAACAACTACATTGAATCATTGTAGTACCTTCACTACCGACCCAATGTTTTTCAACATCTTTTAATTCTTCACCCCATTGAGAAGGATCAAATGGATTTGAACTCATCTTGAGTAATTTTGATAATTTGGAAACATCATTTGGATCATCATACATTTCAGTGATAACTTCATCAAGCATCCAGTTACGTGGAGTGAATTGTGGATTAACTTTTGATGCAATTGAATAACGCTCCTCATAAGAAGTTGAACCTAATCTTTCTTTATATTTGGCAATGAATGAGTTTATTGTAGTTGTTAATTCTTCATTTAATTCATGATCAACTTTATCTTGAGGGTTTTCAATACGTTCAACTAATTCTGGGGTTAGATAAGTTGAAATGTCATCTAGGTCTTGTGAGTTTTGTAATTTGATGAAAAATTTGTTGAAATCCACTTTAGTTTTAACTAGCACTTCCAACATTCTTGCAATTAAATCATTATCACCAGGTTTGACTTCTTTCAATCCAATTCTTTGAGTCATTAATGAATTATAAGTTTCCATAAATGTTTTCTTGTATTCAACACCAGCTAATTTAATAATCGAACTGACTCTTTTAATAACATGATCTTCTTGATCTTTCTTGATACCTTTATTAATGAAGAATTCATCATCCACTATATCAGGACCAGCACCTAATAATTCCACTAATGATTCACCTAATCTTGTCAAATTCCACCAAATAACCGAGGGTTGATTAGCAAAACTATAACGCAATTGAACATCATCATGATTTGGAGTAAAATTTGGATCAAATTGATCCATAAAGCTAAAAGGACCAAAATCTATAGATAATCCAATGATTGAAGTATTATCAGTATTTAAAACCCCATTTAAAAATCCATAAGATTGCCAATAAGCAACAGTTTTAGCATTTAAATTAACAATAGCTCTGTACATTTGATCATAACGTGAAGAATCCGTTATTTTGATCAATCCGTCCACGATTTCTTCACCTTCAGTAACTTCTTTATATTCATCTTTTTCAAATTCACCAGGTGTGAATTTTGGTAAAGTTTCTAAAACATCACTTATAACATAATCACACAAATCTCTCAATCCTTCACGATCTTGTCTCCATCTATATAAATCAAAAGTACCAATTCTTATCCAACTTTTAGCAAATCTTGCCACAACTGCACAAACTTCAGCTCTTTCCCTTTGTGCTTTAGTATCTGGTAACAACCCAATACTCAGTGCTCTTGTACTTGGGATGCCAATCCCTGCTAAAGACTCACTTATGATAAACTCTCTAATACTGGATCTGAGCACAGCTTTACCGTCAGCAAATCTTGAAAACGCAGTTTTCCCAGCTCCTTTCAATTGTAATTCTTGCTTCCCTTGAGTTGGAGTCTCCAATGTGAATAAGTTTGACACACGACCATCACCTAACTGTCCAGCGAACTGACCAAATTGGAAGCCTGCATAGGCTTGAGCATAGGGCCAGATTTTCTCATCATTATAAAAACTTTCACCAGTGACAATTGAAGTATAATATGGATCAGATGGGGAATCTGGAGGTAGTGATAAGAATTCAAGAGCTTTTGGAGATGATAATAGATGTTTATAACTTGGTCTTTTCTCAGGCACTGTGAATTGATAAGCACCTGATTTCAAAGTACGTGGTCTATTGAATAGTTTTGTTATTTCCTCTTGATTTTGGGATTCATAAAGTTGTTTAGCAGCTTGAATTGAAGGGATCACTGGGTCCAGTTTCAATTTGAGGAATGTGGATGATTTTGGATATTGACTTAGAGGTATTTTGGTCATTTTGTCCTGATTCATTGCATTGCAGAAGTGTAATCAGGGAAGGTGTATGAAGAGTTGAATTGATAATTTTATGGAGGTGAAGATGTGTAACGTCTTAGGTAAGGCTCAATTGCTTGCTCTTTGCACGTAGAATTGGATAAAACAAGAAATGTGGAGGGACTTTTGGTGGATCTAAAGTTTAGTGTGTATAGCTGTGATGGTGCCTGAGATCTTGGTTACTCTCTTTCTATAGCTAATACCCTTTTGAACTAGTTCACCATCTTTTCAAATGTCGACGATGATGATGAAGCCTTGAGCAATTCGCGAAACCTTTGGTGATGAGGGCTCAAATTGGCTGGAAATGCTGTGGAAAAGGGCTTCTAGAGGGTCAATTGAGGGCTAGTAAAGGGCATATGTGCTCAATTTATGGTGATAAACACGCTTGTGTTGTTTAATTGTAGGTTTATCCAGGTGTTGGTGGTGGAATATAAAGTTGCTGTCCTTGAAGAAGGCTGAATTCAAACTTCAGCTACATGAAACTCAGATTTCACCAACGTTCCAAGTTTCATTCCATATTAATTAGAGATACACATGTAGATTCGTAATAAAGCACAGAATAATAATAATAATTCGATTGTTTCAAGATGTCATCGCCATCAACATTGTGGCTTTGCCGTCGCCTATTCTTCGAGGCCGTTTGACACCAACTTTTGTACCCGTCGATTCAATCCTGGAAAACAGACACCACAACTCAACACAACAGTCAGAGACCTAGACATTGACTACTCAATTGAATAGTCTTGATCTATTCATCTCTACTCCCTATCCACATTTCCCATCCCAAGGTTCTACGTGGGCTCTGCCTGTTTCGATTGATCCTTCGCAAGCGTGTACCTACGTGGAATTATGCAATCATCTGTCTAATTAAATAACAACTAATTTCACGTTTCGATCCAAATCGAACACTAAATTTCAATGGAGAAGAAAAGGAGATTTCCGTATATAAACCATTGGATACCCCTGAAAGTGCTCTTTCCTGTTGCTTCTTCCCCTTCTTCTTCATCAGATTCAAATCAGAGAATCAATTAATACACTAGCCATAATACAAAAGTTCAATCATAATGGGTTTATTCGACAAAGTTAAAAACGCTGTTGGTAACAACGACGGTGGTGACAATGACTACATCAAGAAAGCTGAAGGTTACATTGGTCAAGATCGTGTTGATCAATTCAAAAACAAAGTTGGTGAAGATAACTACAACAAAGCTGAAGAAGCCGTCAGAAGCAAATTTGGTAACACTTCTTTGAATGATAAAGATGACAACAAATCTTCAAACAGAAAAGATGACAATGATTCATATGGCTCAAACTCAGATTCATACGGTTCTTCAAACAAAAAGAACAATGATTCATATGGTTCTTCCAACTCAGATTCTTATGGCTCATCAAACAACGATTCTTATGGTTCCTCAAACAAAAATGATTCTTATGGTTCCTCAAACAAAAACTCATCTTCATATGGTTCCTCAAGCAGAAATGATGATGATGATTCATACGGTTCTTCCTCAAACAAAAACAAGAACTCATCATCTTATGGTTCTTCTTCAAACAATGATTCTTATGGTTCATCAAACAAATCTTCATCTTATGGTAATGATAATGACAACTCTTATGGATCATCCTCAAACAAGAACAAAAACTCATCATCTTCATATGGTGATGATAACGATAATTCATATGGTTCATCTTCTTCAAAGAAGGATAAAGATTCTTATGGTTCTTCATCTTATGGTTCATCAAGCAGAAATGATGACGATTCATATGGTTCATCAAATAAGAACAAGTCTTCATATGGTTCATCAAATTCAGACTCTTATGGTTCATCAAACAAGAAAGATTCATATGGTTCATCTAATGACTCTTATGGCTCATCCAAAAAAGATTCATACGGTTCTTCAAACAACGATTCATATGGTTCAAACTCAGACTCTTATGGTTCATCAAACAAAAACTCTTCATACGGCTCATCTAGCAGAAATGATGATGATGATTCATACGGTTCTTCAAACAAAAACAAATCCTCATATGGCTCTTCAAACAATGATTCCTATGGTTCATCCAACAAGAACTCTTCATACGGTTCAAACTCAGACTCATACGGTTCAAACAACGACTCCTATGGCTCATCCAACAAAAACTCATCTTCGTACGGCTCAAACTCTGACTCTTATGGCTCTTCAAACAAGAATAAATCCTCATATGGTGGGTCAGACTCTTATGGCTCTTCAAGAAACGATGATTCATATGGTGGTTCCAATTCTAATTCAAGCTATGGTGGTAACTCAGGTTCAAACTATGGTTCTTCGAGAAACAATGATTCCTATGGTTCTTCAAACTCTGGATATGGTAACTCCTCTTCAAGAAATGATTATTAAATGAAATGAAATTTGAGATGTTGTGTGCTTTTTTATATGTGTTTTTTCCTATACGAATGTGTTTAGTCCTTGATGGATGTTTATGTTACAATTATATTTAAATTTTGAATTTTCTTGTAGTACTTTCAGAAACACAAGTCGTCTATATAAAAATCACGATTATTGATGATTTCTCATTGGTCAAAAGTTTATAGCGCAGTGTCCTTACCGATTTCAGTTTTTCCTTGAGCCAGCAAAAAAAAAGGCGCTGATAACGAAAATGAGCAGACATAAACAATTTCCATCAACAAGAAAGAAAGCAAAGAACAATTGGGATATAGAGATTAGAAAGAAAGGGAATATGAGTGGGAATAGTAAGAAGAAACTGTTGCTTATGGTATGTTTGGATGGATGACTTGGTTAAGAAATTTTACTAATTCTGATATTAGGGCCGTTCAGGTTCAGGGAAATCATCAATGAGATCAATAATCTTTAGTAATTATTCAGCATTTGATACACGTCGTCTTGGTGCCACGATAGATGTTGAGCATTCACATCTTCGGTTCTTGGGGAACATGACATTGAATCTTTGGGATTGTGGTGGTCAAGATGTTTTCATGGATAATTATTTTACAAATCAAAAAGATCATATTTTCAAAATGGTTGAAGTTTTAATCCATGTTTTCGATGTGGAGAGTAAAGAAGTTAGTAAAGATATTGATGTTTTTGTTAAATCTTTAAAACAGTTGAAGCAATTTTCTCCAAATGCTAAAATATTTGTCTTGCTACACAAGATGGATTTAGTACAGATTGATCGTCGTGAAGAATTATTTGATATAATGATGAATAAATTGAAGGAAACTTCTAAAGTTTATGGATTTGATATAGTGGGGTTCCCAACAAGTATTTGGGATGAAAGTTTATATAAGGCTTGGAGTTCAATTGTTTGTTCATTAATTCCAAATATGAATCAATATGAAGAGAATTTAACAAATTTACAAAAAATAATAGAGGCACAAGAGATAATATTGTTTGAAAAGACAACTTTCTTGGTTATATGTTCTTCAAATAGTGGACAATTGATTAGTTCAACAAATAATAATTTTGAAAAATTGGATCCAAAGAGATATGAAAAAATTTCAAATATAATGAAGAATTTCAAACAAAGTTCTACAAAATTGAAATCTCAATTCCATCAATTGAATTTAAACAATAATTTATTCATAATGGAGTTGAGTTCAAATCTAATGATTTTCGTTGTTTTACCATTTGATGCTAATAATAATTCAGGATTGATACAAGAGAATATCAAGCATGCAAAGAAGTACTTCCAGTGATAATATACAATAACAGTGTAATTTGACAATGAGAATATACACTGATAGAATATTGTATTGTAATAACTGATTCAGCTTATTTCTGATTACTCATCGATAAAGTTGTGGTGTTTGGATGGTCGCGAAATGTTCTGTTACCTTTTAGGTCCAAAATTCGCGGAACCGCCCATACAAAATTTAGTTAAAAAATTTAGGAACATCGTCAACAATCCAATATGGGATAACGCCCCTAGCACCTAAAAGTTATATATCTACTTGTTAGTACAGAAAAATATTTTGAGATTGTGTCTTTTATGTGGTCGCATGCGATCCATGCTAAAGACTTTACTATTTTGTTGTCATGATGATCAAAGTATTTTAATACAGCCTTGATCACATGGACATCCATAAAATACAAAAAGACTCTTGAACTCAAGCTGCTCTGATAAGAATTGAGGATTTAGCATGATCCAAAAACATTTTTGAAGACTTGAAGTTTGAAGGTTTCATAATTTAATTTTGACAATTGAACCATCACAATATTATGACTATGTAGTGCTTTACGTCGAATGTACTATAGGCTAAAAGAGAGCTGAAAACGGCTACGCCAATTTAACATCCAATAGAATGATTCAATATTTAAAACCATAAGATTAATGCTAAACACACCTGAAAGGGCCCCAAGCTATATAGCTTAGCTCTCCACAAGGCATTCCAACACTCTTCAAGTTATCAATAAACAATTATTCAAAAGGATGCGCGTGGCCAAGGGACTAGCACCCGTAGACATCACATTGAATTTTGGTAAATTTGCAGCTTTAATCCATATACAATTGAGTTCCAAAAGCGAGGAAACACTCACGCTCATATAGGTACCCTACTATGGGTCAAGAATATCTCAATAATGATGATTGTTAATAAAAAGTAGAAGGGAGAAAGTGGCCTTTGCTCTTTTCTTATAGACCCTTCGCGAAAAGATGAAGAGAGCAATTCCAATGCTTTGGTTAAAATAGTGAGAGGTTCTAGAATCTAGATTGATATCTAATTAGTTAAATGATTTGTATTTAACATCTACAATTTCAAGTCACTTGGGTGTAAAAACATATCATTTGATCAGTTGAAGTTGATGCCTGGAAAAATCAAAAGCTACTTAAAGCTCAATTCCTCACAAGGCAACCCACTTTTCAAGATTAAATTCAAATATATCTTGAATAGGATTAATTATCCCTTGTCCAAGTATATGATATATTGACAATAAACAAGCAAATGGCCAGGCTGAAAGAGCAGTCAATCCTCTATCACAAATACTGAGCTGCGTTCTAGTCATCCCACGAGATTAAATAGACCATGGACACACAAAGGGCATTTTCACAAGCACCAAACTCACCAATCAGAAGGTGATTCCCCTATCAATATATATTACAAAGAACATTTTCTTTGGTATTTGTGTGGATTGATTAATTATATCATTATAACGTTGACTAGGATTGTGGTCAACGGCTTTCCCACTATTCAAATTGAAGGACAAGACGTTAATCGTTTATTAGTTGTTATGGACACCCATTTGTTTCCAGTGGTTCCCAGATCAATGTTACAATCATATCCATATCTTCATAACGAGTCTTGCAGTTGGAGGCCGGATCAATTAGAAACTAGGAGAATGTATAAGAAATGAAGCCACAACATAATTATCTTTTTTTTTGAATCTTAACATTCAGAAAAGAATAGGTCAATCGAGTTCTTTTATATTATTTTCGAGAGATGCTTTAGAAATATTTGTTTCAAAATTGTTTCATGTACCGAAATGAGGCTACATATAAATACTGTGAATATTAACGACGTCTTTGATAACGGGCTGCGTCCAATCTAGAATTAGCATGTTGTGTAAAGTTTTCAACTTATTTGAAAGTCTACAACGTAGTAGCATTAGCTTAATCTTGCAAAATTGCTATTCATTTATTAAATCATCAGTTTCAAGAATATGACACTACCTGGGAATATTGATCAAACATCCACAAGGCACACCATTTCTCAACAATTCAAAATTGAATTGAAAAAATCTGACAAAATCAACTGTTCAATAATAGCTAATTATTATGCAAAGTGATTTGACATTTTTTGGATCACCAATTATCCTAAGATGCAAATCCTGTACTGGACGTAGTCAAATCACACAACGTGATAATGAAAATGTAGGCCAATCCCGGATGGTCAGCTTTATGTTCTCTCCCTGATGGTGATGATGTTGATGCAGTGAGCCTTGCTGATGCTAACGTTCATGATAATACTATTAGTGATGCTAACGTTCATGATGTTGATGGTGGAAATGTTCAGTCAATGCTGTGATGTTTTGTAAAATCTAAATAAACGCCTTAGAAATCATTGAATGATAATAGAGTTTATATAGAAATCCTCATGATAGTGCTGATAAAGCGAAGCGAAAACAGGTAGCCTGTGATCCAGTTTGGAAAACTACCTGGCTTTCAAAGGTGGCTAAATATTCAAATGATTAATTTTTTGCTGGCTCTGTTTAGACTCGAGCTAGATAGACTTGATGAGGGACTATTGGTCTTGTTTCGTGGGACTAGGTCACCTGGTCACATGACATGAGACCCTCTTTTAAACCAAAGTTTCTACAAGAGTATAACTTATTTACTTTCATTACTAGATCATTGGTTTTGTGCGGGTCTTAATGGTAGTACTACAATAACATCTACATCCTCATTTGACAAAATAAAACAGAAACATTTGATTGAATAATGTCCATAATTGAAGAAATCAAAAGCTTTAAACAGCTCAATTTCTTACAGAGATAAAGACACATTCTCCATTAAAGGACGCTAGTCCACAAAGTTTGAAAATGAGTGGTGACAATCAAAAGTCTAGCCAGTCCCATGATCAACTTTAAAAGTAACCAGATAAATGGCAGACATCCAAACGAAAACTGGCTATGTGCAATAATCGTGAGATCACAAAGTGGCTAATACACTTTGCTAAAACCGACACTTTCGTCACGGACTCATTTCAAAACCCTGATTTGTACAAAAGCTTAAAAGCACTAGGGTTCAAAAGAAAACGTCTCAAGTTAAACAAAGGCAATGTTAACTGAAAGCTAGAGGAGTGATTGAATCGAAGCTTCGATGAAAATAAAAATGATTTTTTTCACGAAATGTAGTTTTGGTGTTGGGATGTTGTGTTTTCTGAATTCGGGGCAATTTTTGTTCAAAAACTTCAAAACAACAATTAAATTCAATACAAGAAATATTGACCAACAATTCCACAATGGGTTATCGGCTATTTTTTTTTGTCGTTTGACGCCTGGGATATGTGCGCTGAATTTTGGGCTAAAAGGAATCTGATATAATAATGAAGGGATATCTGCTCACTGTGTTTTGACTCCATATATTTTCTAGTTGTTTGATTAATATTGAATCGGCAATGCCTCAAGGAATCTTCAGTTCAAGCTCGGTTTTGATTTTTCTTGAGCTCTATTACACTTTTTGATTGAAGCATTATTTCAAGGAGGAATATATTGTATACAATATATAAGAATTCCTCAACTATCAAGGTCTAATATAAGGATTGAGGGTCTTTTTTATGATCCAACAAATTATCTTTTGAAGGTTTTGTGATTGTTGGGACATTTATTTTTCATTCAATATCATTTGCGTTTATGTAGCAGAGATCAGATATTGAAATTAATTATGTTATGATCTATTGAGCCATGGTACCTTACAGGCCACAGATCATTACTCAACATCACCTGTATGACGCTTGAAAATTCATATATGATAAGACTTAAGAAGTACTGAAGAGCACTCCAATTACTCTATATCCTACACCTTTTAAATAATGATTCGGTTCAGGTGAAAGTTATTTGACCAGTGATATTAATGCCTGGAAAAGTCAAAATTGGACTGATTGTTCAGATAAGCTCAACTAGTCCTCGAAGCATAAATCACTGCTCTAGACCACTAATTTCGATTAAACACATTACCAATATAATCATTTCTCATTTCCACCCATAATAGAAACCAATCAGTGATGCTTATACAGGAAAGATCCACCACCTCAAGAAATGCCTACTACACTTTCCATTTCAAGGACAGTCTGCCATATTCAGCGTGTACAATTAGTTCGCGAAATCGTTTTGGAAAGAAATTTTACAATTTTTTCTCGAATTTCCAACTAGATTGAACAGGGAATACTTGTTTTTGTATCTTTTGTAACTGCGAATAAAAGTTGACCAGAATCCGACAGTTAAAATTGCAAGACTCCATAAGAATGGACTTGAACAACTTATTTTTAAACCGACTCTGAGTCTTGAGTTGGAGCCAGTTCAACATTTCAACTTGTTGGGAATATCATGAATGGTATACTGAGGAATTGAATGCAAGCTTGAAACTGTTGAGCCAATCAGCATAGTTCATCAACACAACTGCAACAAAATAGCGTTTATTTTTTACTCTGTCACACCCTTGTTAGGTCATGTTCATTATAGCTTCTTTTGGTTGCATTAAGCTTGATCTTTCATATTGAGTGTGAATGCTCATTTTTTTAGTTTTTCAGTTAAGGGTTCCTGATAAGGATTGAGGATTATAAATCTAACAACATCTTTAAGACCTTTTTCAATACTAGAGAAACACATGTTTTTTTTCAATTTACAGATGTTTTGATTGTTGTAGAGTGTATTGTTTTGGATGATAAATTATGACAGTATTCATGATTCTGTTCAAGCTAATATTCTAATCTCATAAATTATTCGAGAGTATTATCAAAGTGCTAGCTGTACTAGAATCTAGAAAGGGATATTGTCAATTGATGATATACTGGAGGATACCTCTGACGAAGGTCTGTTACGTACAGATTTTAGGTACCTTATTTGCAAGTTTAATTGACTTTGAATTTCCATCCATCTAATTCTATCTTGTCGTTGTCCATATTAACTCTTTTAGAACAAGAATTTGCAAGTCAGTTCTAGCTTAAGAAAGCCGAGAATACTTACGTCTAAACTACAATTTTGTGTTTATGTGCTAAAAAAATATCATTTGATTTAATGTCAAAGTGCCTGGAATGAACCAAAAGCTATTCAAAGCTCAATTCCTCACAAGGCACGACACTATTATCAATCATCAATGAAAATGTAATAATTTCAGTAGACCACTATTCACTATTCATTATCATCATGAATCAATAGCCCTTAACAAATACATACAAAATCAAGGAAACATACACGTATCCTTGTGCAAGATAATGGCCACCGAAATAGCTTTCCACACTAGCATCACTTTCCATAATGTTCATATGTCTGCCAATCCACAGACTAGCACAAGATCATTGATCAATTCAGGGTTCTTCAACAAAATTCAAAAAGTCGCGAACTCGATTTTTATATTGTGCTTTCCATGTTAACATAGTACTACTCAAAGTATTCTGATATTAGTAGTTATATACTGATAGAATGTGTATCGTACAAATGAAAAATCCTTTAGTTATAATTAATCGATATCCTACAGCTTCTAAATAACTGGTTTTGGTTAAAAAATCAATTGCTCAGTGGCAATGCCTGGAAAAGTCAAAAGCTGGCCAGTTGTTTAATTACCAAGCTCAACTTCTCACGAGGTAAAGCACTTCACAAGTAAAATTTGAATGTATTAATTCTTAAACAATACCATAGACCAAAATGTAATTCATACGCTTAAAAATACAAAAAAAAGTACGAAGCAACAAATTAATTAATCCACCAAATTGGATACTAAGGCATTGAGAAAGGCTTCTTGAATTTTTTGATCAAACAATATCAAAACAATAAACTCGGATATCTTAAATTCTTATGAAAAAAAAATTGCCCAACAATCGACGCAAATGAATTATATTAATGTGACATGAAATTTGAAACAATGCCAAAATTGCGAAAATCTTGAACAACAGTAAGAAATCGCGACCATCTCAAAAAAGCTCTCTAAATTAATAAGTAACAATTACAAATGACACAATTGTAAAGGCGAAAGAGACTATAGATTGTAGGTCGCTTGATTAATTAAATTTGTAATTAATATCTACAATTCCAAGTCACTTAGGCGTAAAAACATATCATTTGATCAGTGGAATCAGATGCCTGGATAAATCAAAAGCTAAATAAAGCTCAATTCCTCACAGGGCAACTCACTTTTCAAAATTAATCATCTCTTGTCCATTAAGGATAATATATTGACAATTAAAATATCTTCATGACAATTGACGAGTGAACAGAAACATAAGCAAGCCACTCATGGAATCAGCCAATTGACCTTGATAGAATGTCCTGTCTATTAATGGATTGAAGAAAGTAGCAGGAGATAATGAGATCATTGCATTTGCTGATGATGTCTCAATCTCGTTTAATAATGTACAGAACATGTCTCGTCTTCTGGATTCAATGAGCATTCCTGCAGGCACCAGACAAACGTGAAGTTATCACTAAAAACATCAAATCATTTCAAAATTCAGACGCAACTATAAACATCAATAATATGATGAGGATAATAATGTCTTATTGAATGATACTCAAGATGCTCGTACCTTAGATCAACATATATACTTCCACTCTTTCGATGTTGCTGAGGTTGATGGTGATGGTGACGGTGATCAATTAAAGGTAAAATTAATCGTAAATTTTATGGAAAACAAAATCAACTTAACTTGTAGTCACGTGCCGCACTCAAGAAATTCAAACCCCGCTGTTAAGGGCACGGAATTAAAGTGTCATGTGATCAGTTTTGACATAAAAAAAGTGTAATACTGTTGCGAGGAATAGATATAAAAATAGAAACAAATTTATAATGTGGATGTCGCCATCAAATGATGAGCATGATTATGTAGCTAGTGATATTATTGTACTGTTGAGTCAGGCTCATCTTGAGGTTAATTACAAGTTAAAATAACTTTCATGGATTTTGATCCTGCATCAGTCGTATACTTAGATCTTCGACGTAGAAGTAGTCCACCGGGTACTATTAAGGTATCTATTATCTACCCAACTAGTTGTAAGTGTACTAAGTTGTAGCTGAATTGTTTCTACAGTTCAGTTTTTTTGTGCTAAAAATATGATTTGGTTTACTTGGACTATCCAAAGCTCAATTCCTCACGACCTCTCACAAGGCACGGTACAACAATACTTTTTTCAAGAACAAAGACGACATTGTGATCCATGAAGAGGACCTCCCACCAGTGTCATCCACTTACCAAGATACGCCGAATTGCCCTGTCTTAACCTCATTTGACTTTTCGTTTTTCTGAAACAACAACGCGAAAAAAAAAAAAAAAAAAAGCGCGTTTGTGTTTACGTTTTTCTCTTTTAACAATCTCGTTCTGTCGTTTAGTAGCTTTGGTGGGTACGTTACTTTCAATCATTTTTGGGTTTCATACTGTAATTCTGAACATTCAAAAACAAGAGCATGTAGGCCAGACACAGCCTCATGCGGTTTGCTTGGTGCATTGGGTTTAGGACGTTTTATTCAGGGTTTACATTTCATCTATTTTTGGATTGAACAATAGTGGATGGGTACGCTGATAACAAAATAATGAATGGATGGTTGATTTGACATCTTCTTTATAATGAGTTGATAATCTCTTTATCATCATGACCAAAGTATTCTGAAAGTCAACAAAACAGTACAGTCAATATGGAAAGTCCTCAATTTAGTTATTACTCTTATAACCCAACTCAAGTTGGTGCCATAATTTTCATTGTCTTATTTGGGATATTAATTCTTTGGCAAACTTTCCAATGTGTTCAATCGTTTATGAGGGTTCATAATCATAAGAAATCAAGGGTTTCCAAAGATTTGGAGAATCCTTTTGATCAAGATACTAAAATCAAAGTATCCTCAAGATATATTTATATTTTGATACCTTTTTATATTGGATTATTTTGTGAATTTATTGGATTTATTGCCCGTTCCATATCTCATGATAGTATTTTTGATCGTTCACCATTCATCACACAAACTTTATTAATCTTGATTGGGCCTCCTTTTTTCAGTGCTTCAATTTATATGATCTTTGGAAGAATGGTTACAAGAATTTTACATAATGAAGAGTTTTTATTATTAAAAGCCAAGTACATTACCAAAATTTGTGTTGTTGGTGATGTTATTTCATTGTTTTTACAAGCTATTGGCGGTATTGCAATTTCTGGTGCTGAAGATAATATTGATCGTTTTAATATGGGTAAGAATATTATTATTGGTGGGTTAGTTATTCAAATTTTATTCTTTGGATTCTTTGTTGTTGTTGAAACTACTTATTATATCAAGTTAAGAATGAATTCAGATTCAAGTGATTATAACCTTTATGTTTTAAATCAAGATATTAAACAATTCCCATATAGATTTAATAATTGGAAAAGTATCTTGGAAAGTTTATTTGTTTGTTCAATGTTCATTTTGATTAGATCAGTTTATAGAGTGATTGAATTCACTGAGGGTAATGGTGGTTATATCTCAAGTCATGAATGGTTTATCTATGTTTTCGATGGGTTGATGATGTTTTTCTGTGCAGTTTTGTTTGTTTCGCAAGATGTTTCCAATTATTTCTTGAAAACTATTCCATTGACTTTAGGTAAACACTGAATAGATTTTGATGAATTGAGTTGATCTGTTTTGTAGATACTGACTATTAATGGTAGACACAGCGGTTCTTGAAGTCACTAGATCTGAATCTAAAAGAGTCTATTAAATCGTATCAAGAACTCATATGATCAAAAATGCCAGATTATTGAAATGACCAAGCTGAATATCTTTAACTCTTTCTTTAATACTGATGAAGAGCTAATAACCAAGAATATAACACACTTGGAAACATAAAAATCGAGTTGAATAGTTGATGATGGTATAGAGATGTCTAATCGTATTAATATACTACAATATTCATAATGAAAAGATCAAAAGCACTATCAATATTGACTATATTCAACTTTATCAGATAATAATAATCATATCAGCGCTTCAGTTGTTGGTTGGGCTAATGTGGATCAAATGACTCTGTTACTTAATCATGTCAATAACTAAGCACCTGTTACAAAGACATAAAGATCAACTAACCTAGAATAATAAAACGACCATTTTATACCTATTCTTGGGAACGAACCCCAAAGAAATGATGGAATAGTAGTGTAGTACTGTCCAGGTCCCAAGCACTAAACACTAAAAGGTATAGAAGGACTCATATCAAGCATAGTCAACAATTTATTTTTCGGTACAGCACATAACTTCTAAAGAAAGAAATCAGCTCAGCTCAGCTCATTCTTCATATACTCAAGAAATATTGTTTTTGTGGCATTGAACCAATATTCAACACAATTCTATAGCCGCCCTTGATTAATCGAGTCACATGACCTAGAAAACTAGTAGACTTCTACGTAAATAGAACAGATATGGAAAATAGAAACATTGTTAGCCATTGACAATACACGAATGAACTAAATCATTATGTTTGATCACAAGACTTCAAAGTATTATACCCATTCAACTTGACCGAAAAGACCAAGAACTCTAGAGTTCAATCTTTATCAGGATTCAAGTCAAATTGGATAGAATCAAAAGAAACATCTCTATCAATTATATGATGACCAGCTCACCGTGAACCCCTTACTAGTTAACAGTTAACATATGGAAAGCCACCGTTGGGTATACGACCTAAGATTAATCAACAACCACTTGAAGTATACAAACCTATGGTTCAAAGTTCAAAGACTTGAACTTGGTATTGTTACCAGTAGCTAGTCAAAAATACTCAATCTTGGAGATAGTTATATTTATGATTCCTGAATCTTCGAATTTGCGGGTAAATCGTGTAAACGGCCTTACTTGTTAAACATACAAAATCTCGTGTAAAAGCTACTTAATATTGAGAAAATAGATAAGTACTAATAGTTGAATTCTAGTATTATCAGGATTACTAATTGATCATTAGTTAAAAGTGAAAACATCTTTTTTAGTTTGAGCACCTTATAATTGATGTAGACTAAATCACACTTCATAATCATATCGAGGTCATCTTCACTTCAACAGACATTAAATCTTCGCTACAACATGGTCAATGCTTAAAATATGAATAGAGCTATATGTTGATGTTATGTACAGCCTAAATACCAGCCAATATGCATGTAATAACCGTATAGCTCACTGGGTCAAAGTTTTAAATCTTCTTGAATAGTGAAAAGATCAAGAACAATGAAGTTCAATCTTTATCAACAATTTCAAGGTAATTTAATCTTCTTAACAGATGAAAAATGTAGGACAATTGTAACTAAAAAATACCGTAACATTCCTTAGGGGACAAAACCAAACAAATTCACGTCGAGGGATTCAGGGAACACTCACAACGTAGAACAAGCTGCAAAACAAATAAGCTTGAATTGTTATCATCTAAGCATTTCAAAATGAAAGATCTAGGTCTAACAAACAAATTTCTAGGTATGAATATCACTCAAACAAAGGACTGCAGAAAGCTAGATCTAGGTGAGTACATTGAAAAGACTATCAAAAATTTTGTTGATCCACGTACATTCTACGAATGACAGATTACGTGTCATTAGGCCAACGGCCAATAAGATCACAGAATATAATTGATCATGAGCTGGCTACTGTCGATGAGTCTATCTGAGTCCACTTGTCTTCCTCTTACTCTTATACTTCCTATTCTTTATATCTTTATCCTTATTATACATGATCAATCAATACGATTCTGACCTTTTAGAAATTGGTTCAATTCAAGTGTTTTTTCGAGCTCATCACTGTTTTTGTTTTCGCAAAAGGCGTCAAAATCCAAAACAAACGCCATTTTTCCCTGATTCGGATATTTCAGCGATTTGTGTCGCTATAATGTCCCAAAACGGCAATACGCGCGCTGGACAATAAAATCGACATCAAAAACGAAAACAACAAAATCATCGATAAAATAATTACCAAGAGCTAATCAGAGCAAATGGGTTGGTGATAATGGAGATTTCATCAAATTCATAGATAAAGGGTAGCACAGGCTATTTAAATGGCTTCATTTATCTTCTTCTTTTCGTCACTTGAGCTTGCAATCATCAGAAACAATGGGTGATGGTTCATCAATGAAGAAACAACTATCCAGTGACAATAATGACATAATATCTCCAGGAGAAGTTGGTGAAGTGGATAATGAGATACTTAAACCTGAGTTGACCAAAGAAGTTGATAAAGCATTCGGGTTGGCTATTGAGACTGAAGGTATACAACTAGATCCTGCTAAAGAGAAAAAATTGGTTAGAAAGATTGATTGGTACATCTTGTCAACAATGTGTGCATTAATGTCTTGTCAACTGATGGGCAAATCCTCAAATTCATATGCTTCAATCATAGGGCTTCGAGAAGACTTACACATGACTTCTAAAGAATATTCATGGGTTGGTTCTGGGTTTTATTTAGGTTATTTGGTTTTTGAATACCCGGCGAGTTTAATCTTGCAAAGATTCCCAATGTCCAAAGTTTTAGCATTTGCTGTGATTGCATGGGGTGTTGTCTTGTGTTGTCATGGTGCTTGTAAATCAAGTGCAACTTTTTTATTGTGTCGGACCTTATTAGGTATCTTGCAATCTTTTATGGATCCTGCTTATATGATTATGACTTCCCAGTGGTATAGAAAAGAGGAACAATACATAAGGTGTGCATATTGGTTAGGTATGCAAGGTTTTGGTACTTTATTAGGATCTGGGATAGCTTATGGGTTTTACACACATCAAGGATCCTTCTCAATGAGACCGTGGAGTTTATTATACATTGTTGTTGGTGTCATCACCATCTTTTTCGGACTGATATCATATACTCATGTTCCTGATATCCCAACTAAAGCTTGGTTTTTAAATGAAGAAGAAAAATCTTATGTTGTGGAAAGAATTAGACAAAATAGGACTGGGTTTGGTAATCCAAAATTCAAATGGTCGCAATTGAAGGAAGCTGTCATAGATCCAACCATTTATTTGTTTTTCTTGTTCATGTTTGGTTATGGTTATAGTAATGGTGCATTGGGTAATTATGGCTCTATAATATTGGAAGAGTATTTGGATTTCAGTACAGGCCAATCATTATTGATGAACATGGTTGGTTCAGGAATGGATATCGTTTTTCCATTAATGTTTGCTTATATTAACAAATACTTTATAAAGAGTCGACTTATTGTGGCATTCATCATAAATGCAGTGGTTTGGGCTGGCTTGTTCATGTTGGCATATTCTTCAAACAGAGGTGCAAGAACTTTTGGTTATTTTATCACATATTGGCAAACTGCATCTTGGGCCACGTTGTCTTCAATTGTTCAAACTAATGTTGCTGGTTATACAAAGAGAAGTACTGCAAATACTTTATTTTTGGTTGGTTTTTCAGTTGGTAATCTATTAGGTCCATTGTCGTACTCTTATAACAACAATGAGGACTTGGATTATACAGCTGCTGGTGCCAGTATGATTGGTACAAATGCTCTCTCTGTTTTCAGTCCGCCTGTGCTATTTGTCATATATTATTTCAGAAATAAAAAGAAGATTAACTTAGAGAAAGGTGACCTTGGAGATGATAATCAACTATCTTTTGGTGATTTGACAGATTATGAGAACCCGGCATTTAGATATGACTTATAATCTATCACATCATGTTTACAAACTACATGACTTCGATATTCACACTTTCAGTTTTCTCAAATGTAGGTCTGTTCATTGTATTTCAAACACAAAGACATATAAACATGGAATGCTTATATGACAACATCCTCCAATCAACAAACATTGTGCCAGTACTGTTTATTTCCCAAACTTTTTCTAGCACTTCAACACAAGTTCTCAAAGGTTCTTTTTTGGTCAAACTGTATAGGTTCATCAATTCGTCTTTAAACCAAGATCTCTTGTGAGTTGATATCAAGTCCACACCTAGCACAAAAAGAGGTAAAATGAAAAGAACCGATTTCTGGCTTTCCTCTGGAGATAAAAATTTCAACTCCCCAAACAACTGTTCAACATCTTTCAACAAGCTTTTCACTAAAAGAATTGTTTTTGGCGATAATGAAGTTTGTCTATAAACAGTTTGATATAAATATAATAATGATGCTTTTTGAGCAAATGTAGATTGTAATTTATGATGGAATGGAATTATTAGATGATCCCAGTTTGAATTCATGGAAGTTTCTGATATCAACTTTTCAATCCTTTCTGATTCTTGAAGGACAAATTCTAAATTAGTCAAACTCACCGAATCATAATCACCATACAGCTTTAATGAAGGATCAGTGACAACGGAACTATTATTTGCATCATATGAAACTGTGGATAGATTGTACATCTGAGTGATATGACCATATATCCTAACAATTCCTTTGGTATCATTCAACCCCAGCTTTGAATTATAGTTCAAATTATCATAAAAGTCAAGTTGTGGATGAGAGTCCAAGATGTTGAAGAAATTAACAAGACTTATAGAGTCACTTGCATTGTCAAATTCATTGGAATTGTCATTACCGATGTTGGATTGGAAAGAACAAAGCCCACCAGCTGCAAAATGGACAGATAGTAATTTCATCAGGCATAATCCTGTCAAGTTCTCAGTCAGTTTCGACACACCACCTCGAATAACAATCATACTTCTCACAAATTTCAACAATTTCACCCATAATTTTCCTTTCAATCCATTAATCACCTCAGTGGACATCAATAGCACGACAGCTAATAAACTATGATCGCAGCATAATGAAAAACAATTTTGTACTCTTTCTTGTAAATCTTCCAAAGCACATATATGGAGCTCTTTGATAATTCTCTCTTTTGATTTCAGAAATTCATTTTCAGGTTCATTGTTTCTCCAATGATAATATGAGAGTACCAATACGCATTTTAACACAGTAACATTACCAAATATCAGAGGTAAACAAACTTTAAGGAAATTTATCTTGACTGAATCTTTATCTATGCCTGAGCTTCCTTCAAATGCAGCGAAAGATGTTAAGGCTAAATCTCCAGTATAATTGGCATCTTGAGATATAGCACAAAATCTTTGGAATAACTCATTAGCGAAAACTGGATCAATGAAATCTGGTAAATTTGAAAATTTCTTAGTTGCATCCTCAGGATTTTCAATTGCAATGGCAGCTTTCTGTACATAATAATGACTTTTCAAATTTTCCAAATCAATAACAAATTCAATATCATCAATGCTGGTGGTTTTAGTTCTTGGTGATGGTGTCCAAACAGGTGCATTCGGTGATTGTGGAGTGTATGATGATCCCCTCAAGTTTGATGTCTTGGAAGCAACTAAATATCCACGTTCTTTTAATGTGTCTATGGTTCTTTTGCTCTTACTAGCTTTCAAGAATCTGTCAATTTCCTCAAAGCTAACAGGTTCTTCTAAATGACAAGTTGCTAAATCCACTAAATTCACCCTTGTAGAAGATAACAAAAAGTCTATCAAAGAAAATTCTTTGGGTATCGTAGTTTCTTTATCAAATATTTTGATTGTTGTTTCATCTTGTAAAATGGGAGGTTGATCAGAATCTTTTACCCATTTCTTTCTAGGTAGATATATAGTTGGTGCATTATCCACAGCTAATCCATCAAAATTGAGATAACAAGAACCATTACCATTCTTTGGTAAGTTCTCTTTAACCAAATTCACCAAAGCTGAAGGTGTGAGTTTATGATAATCCATTGATATCCCTGAGGAATCTTTATGAGGAAAAGCTTTTGGATGTTCAGCCACACGATCTTCATCTTGTTTCCCCTTTGAATCAATTTCCAACTGTGGTGACTCCTTTTGTTTCTTCCTCTGTGGTCCTTCAAATTGAACTATTTGTAAAGCATCATAATTGTTACAATTCAAACCTTTCTTCTTGCAAAAATCGCAAACTGGACCATCCCCTACACATCGTTTCTTCCTTCTTTTGCACTCATCACACCTCCCTCTTTTCAGTATTCTCCCTGTACTGGGGATAAATTGCATTTTCACCGACACTATATTCATTTGGATTGTTTCAGGGAAATTTTCCTCTCAATATTTTGAACCTTTAACTCTTATTGTTGACTGAAAATATTCGGATCGATCATCTGCCAACTTTTGAAGTGCGGATAAACGATTAGGAAACATCCGATCACCAGGGGCATCCAAGGTCAATTCGAAGTCAGCTTCAACCATGCAAAACGTATAGAAGAGGAGTGTTTTTAACGAGGAATGTTTTTGATAAGTTGTTGAGCTGACTCGTACTTTTAGGAGTCAAAAAATCCGGTAATTTTGTAGTGAAATTTGGTGGAAATTATTAGATCTAGACTAAATACTCGAGAAACGAATCAGGAAGGTGGTGCGCGTATGCTTGATCAGTGTGATTTTGAAGGTACTTGATCGTTGGGTTTTCTAGAATGAAGAAAGTGAATATTCGGCTGCGATAAAGTAGAGAAATGAAGTCATTAATAAGAAAATATCATAGAATCAGATCCTGAATCCTCTCAGTTGATCAATGTCTTCATTTTGCAAAAGTGATGCACGAACGCGGAGACAATAGGCAGAGACAATAGGCATATCAACTAGAGTATCTACAAGCCCTTTTGTGAATATTGACAATGTATAATTGGACATATTTACCTAAGATATTTTATCTTCATAGTCAACTTATAAGCTCAGAGCTTTGAAGAGATTTCAGGACCAGCATGAAACTTCAAATCTTCACGACTTGCAATATCTTGAACATCATATCTTCTTTTACTTTCAAGTTTTTCTTTTAACCCATTTGGATCTTTTTCAAAATCTTTTTGATATCTCCATTTGAACTTTTCAGTATAGATGTTTTCACGACCTTCAATCTTATCAACTAAAAATTGACCAAGTACAGGTAACATTTTAAAAGCATGACCTGAACCACCACAAGCAACAAATAAACCTTTCTTTTCTGGGACAAAATCATAGATATAATCATTATTGATTGTATCAGTATACCATAAGATCTTGCTATCCATTTTAATTCCAGCTGAAACTAAATCTGGGAAGAATTGTTTTAACCATTCTCTTGCTTGATAGACAATATTTTTTGTCAAATTTTGGAAAGGTGGTGAACTATTTGAAGTCTTTGGGATTGAAATGATTTTACCATCTTTTTCCACAGGATTGGTGTATTTTGTTTGTCTAACAATAACCTTCATGATACCTTCAGGTTCAGTAACTGGGAACATAAACATACCTGCCAAATAGTTCTTCTCTCTATCGTGACCAGTTTTCCACCCAACAAGTGGGAAGTTCTTGGATGAATATTTAACTCTTAAATCTTTACGATGCTCTGGGATTTTGAAGTGTAAGATATTACCAGCAGTACCTTCATTGATACCATCCAATTCTGGAACTAAAGAGGTTGTCCAAGGACCACAATTGACAACAACCAAGTCAGCAAAATGAGATACACCATCTTTTGTCACAATCCCACCGATATCACTCTTTGCAGAATCTTTATAGATGAATTTTTCGAAACTACCTTTATCACCACCAACAATAAACTTAACACCCATTTGTTCACAAAGATATTTAGCATATTGACAAGCTCTTGAAGCATACAACATACCTGATGTAGTATCTAAAACACCAACCATGCTTGGAATTTTTTGTTGAATATCATGAGCATATTTGACTTTAGATCCAAGACCAGCAGCATTAGCTCTTTTGACATCAGCTTTGTCATTGATATCATAGATCAATGGGAGTAAACCTTCTTTTTCGAAATTCATCTTGGATTGTTTCGATTCACCACTGACAACATCATCAAGACGTAACATACCACAAAGATCCAATATCTTTAGGTCAGTATATTTTTTCGCTTCGTGTTCTGGTAGTAATTGAATTTCTCTATCCCATCTTTGCCAAACATCGAAGGCTTCAAAAGCTAGATCTTGGTAGTACTTCTTGTCAGCATATTGAGCTCTAAAGATCTTGTTCAAATCTGCAGAGGCAGTATCAGCACCTTCGAGGAATGTATAATGGTTTTGATTGAAGTCTAAACGGTCAAAGACAGTAATGTTCTTGTATCCATTTTGAGCTAGATGGAGAGCATTTGATAACCCAAACACACCAGCTCCGACAATGATGATATGGGAGTCCTTGTTGATAGCAGCCATGGTCCTTGATAAGCCTTTGCTTAAGCATTCAAACCACCATTCATCTCTATATCGTTTGTCCCCAATCCTCTGTTTTTATACAAATCCTCGATAACGAAATCGTCGTATCGCTACTTTATAGGAGATGTCCCAATCGGGAAGCTCTGGCGCTGTGTTTCGCTGGTGTTTCCGCATTAGGAAGGCGCTGCGTATTTTTCACAAAATTTACGTCTTTTAGCAGAATCAACGTCGATAACACCAACAACGACGCTTTGGACGATGATGGAGCTGATGCGTTGATAAAGAAGCTGATGATGAGTTGGAGATAGCAACGCACTTGTGCAGAGGGTGGGAACTTATAAATGGCCTGATTTCACACAATCAGATCATCAAAGAGTCGTAAGAATAACAAATATCACTTTAAAGATTCAAGATATAATAATGGCTGACAAGGACTCGAAGAGCATCGAAGTGAAGGACGGTGTTGTCGCTACAGACTCTAATGGTAACTCAAATGGTGAAGTCACCGAGTTCAACGACTTGCCTGTGAATGCTAAAGTCGCTAAAGAGGTTGACCGTGGGTTTGCCATGGCTCAAGAAACTGAAGGTATTGAATTGGATCCCATCAAGGAAAAAGCTTTGGTGAAAAAAATTGATTGGTACATCTTGTCAACTATGTGTGCATTAATGTCTTGTCAGCTGATGGGTAAATCTTCAAACTCATATGCTTCCATTATGGGTCTTAGAGAAGATTTAAACATGACTGCTAAAGAATATTCTTGGGTTGGTTCATCCTTCTATTTGGGTTATCTATTCTTTGAATATCCAGCTGGTTTATTATTACAAAGATTCCCTATGTCAAAAGTCTTGGGTGTTGCTATCGTTTTATGGGGGGTTGTCTTATGTTGTCATGGTGCTTGTAATTCAAGTGTCACATTCTTATTATGTCGTACCTTATTAGGTATTATGCAATCTTTTATGGACCCTGCCTATATGACAATGACTGCCCAATGGTATAGAAAAGAAGAACAATACATTAGATGTGCTTACTGGTTAGGTTTACAAGGTTTTGGTACCATGCTTGGTTCAGGAATAGCTTATGGGTTTTATACTCATCAAGATTCAATCTCAATCAGACCTTGGACCGGATTATACATTGTTGTTGGTTTGATCACTGTTGTCTTTGGTATCATTTCTTTTATTCATGTTCCTGATATCCCAACTAAAGCTTGGTTTTTAAATGAAGAAGAAAAATCTTATGTTGTGGAAAGAATTAGACAAAATAGAACTGGGTTTGGTAATCCAAAATTCAAAGTTTCTCAAGTTAAAGAAGCCCTTTTGGATCCATGTATCTATCTCTTCTTCCTCTATATGTTTGGTTATGGATATACAAATGGTGCCTTGGGAAACTATGGTTCCATTATTGTTAAAGATTACTTGGGTTTCTCAACTGGTCAATCTTTATTACTAAACATGGTTGGTTCTGGTCAAGATATCATTTTTCCATTATTTTGGGCTTATGTTAACAAGTATTTAATCAAAAGTAGATTGATTGTTGCATTTATTATCAATGCCATTGTGTGGTCTGGGTTATTCATGTTGGCATTTTCTGAAAATAGAGGTGCTAAAGCCTATGGTTATTTCATGAACTATTGGTTGACAGCTTCATGGGCTACATTATCATCAATTGTCCAAACTAATGTTGCTGGTCATACAAAGAAAAGTGTTGCAAATTCTTTATTCCTTGTTGGATTCTCTGTTGGTAATTTGTTAGGTCCGTTATCTTTCACTTATAATAAAACTGCTGATGGTTCACCAAATTATAAAGTTGCCGGTGCAAGTATGGTTGGTACAAATGCTCTTGCATGTTTTTTACCATTGGTGCTATTTGCTATTTACTTGTTCAGAAATAAACAAAAGGATAGAGCTGAAGAAACTTCACAATACATGGATGATAACAAACTATCATTTGGTGATTTAACTGACAGAGAAAATCCTGCTTTCAGATATGGTTTATAAACACAACTGCTGGTCAGAAGGTTTTCCATTCTTATACATATTCAGATTTATTTAGCTCTTTAATATTCTACGTCATATTTTTTGAAATTCGTTGTAGAATATTTATTAAACTATGCACATAAGCATATATCGAGCTCATACTTTTGAGCAATTGCTTTCCAATCAACATGAATTGATCCAGTAGCATTTATTTCCCAAACTTTCTCCAAAAGTTCAACACACGTCATCAATGGTGCCTTCTTTGTAGTTAGATATAATCTTTCTAACTCTTCCTTATACCAATTTCTCTTGTGGTTGGAGATCAAATCAACACCAAGTAAAAAAAATGGCATAATGAAAATAACAGACCTTTGAGATTCTTCAATTGATAAGTTTTGTAAGTCATCAAATAATTGCTCAACTTCTTTAACTAGATCTTTAACAGCTAGTACAGTCTTTGGTGAAAATGATGTCTGTCTATAAACCATTTGGTATAAATACAGTAATGAAGCTTTTTGGGCAAAATTAGCTTGTGATTTATGATGGTGTGGTAAATTTAGATTATTCCCCAGTTGTGAAATGGTTGAGTATTGTTGAATATCTTTTTCTAAAGTTTCTGCATCACTCAAAACAAGTTGCATGTTTGTCAAGCTCACTGATTCATAATTCCCATAACGTTTTAATGAATTTTGTCCATTCTCATTATTAGCATCATAAGAAATAACAGATAGGTTGTATAATTGAGTGATATGACCATAAGTTCTCATAATATCTTTCATATCATTTAACCCAAGTTTTGAATAATAATTCAAATTATCAAAGAAATCTAATTGATGATGCGAATCAATAATATGGAAAAAATCAGCTAGACTAAGTGAATGAGTTGCGTTATCAATCTCATTAACATCAAAGGAAAATAATCCACCAACGGATAAATGAACTGATAATAATTTCAATAGACATAACCCAGTTAAAGTTTCTAAAAGTTTTGGCACACCACCTCTGAGAACAATCATATCCCTAGATAACTTCAAGAGCTTGCCCCATAGAGAACCTTTCAGCCCTATCACAACTTCCGTAGATAATAAAAGCAAAACACAGAGTAAACTATGGTCACAACATATTGAAAAACAATTGGTTAGTCTATGTTGTAATTCTTCCAAGACACCTAAATGAAGCTCCTCAATAAATTTCTCCTTCTGTAGTAAATATTCATTTGTTGGATCAATATTCTTCCAACGGTAATAAGAAATAATCAAAACACACTTTAATACTGATATATTTCCAAAAATTAAAGGGAAACAAACTTTTAAGAAATTTATCCGAACATACTCCTTTGAAGTTTCAAAAGGCTCTTCATAATTTGGCAATGACCCAAGATCCAATGTGGAATAACTTGTTTCTTGAGAAATGGCACAAAATCTCTGAAATAATTCATCAGCAAATTCAGGTTCGATGAAATCTGGTAAATTTGAAAATCTTTGATGTTCAGTCTCAACCTCTTCAGCAACTGATCCTTGTTGAATAAAGAAATTTGTTCTTAGATTTTCCAAATCAATGGTAAAATCAACATCTTTTTTCGATTTAAATGCAATTAATGATTTCGTTGAAGAATCTGGTGAAATTGGTGAAGGTGGTGCGTCTCGAAGATTTGAAGTTTTAGATGAAACCAAATAACCCTTTTCTTTCAAGATATCCATAGTTTTCTTGGAACGACTAACTTTCAAGAGTTTTTCAATCTCACTGAAACTAACAGGCTCTTCTAAATGACATGTTGATAAATCCACAAAATTAACTCTTGTTGAAGATAATAAGAAGTCTAACAATGAAAACTCTTTAGGGATAACTGTCTCTGAGGAGAAGACTTTGATTATGATTTCATCATGTAGTATTGGAGGATCAGATGAGTTTGGGTTTGAAGGTTCTAGCTTCTGTCTTGGTAAATAAATTTGTGGAGCTTTATCTAAATCAAGACCATCGGGTGCAATTATTTCTGTTCCATGGGGTAAATTATCTTTGATAATCTTGATTAAAGATGATTGAGTGATTGGGTTTGATGAAGGTAATGGTAGTGACTGCTTGGAAGGTCTAGGCGTCATCATTTCTTGAATGTTTAATTGTGTGTCTTGAAGTTGAGGGTTGATGAAATCTGGCTCTATTGGTTCAGTTTGATCAAATGAAACTTGGTATAATTGTGGTTGAAGTGAAGGAGTATTTGAGACACTGGTATTTAGCTTCTCAGCAGGCTTTTTCTTCTTCTTTGATGGGCCTTCAAAATGTAGGATCTGGAGTTGATTATGGTTGGTACAATTGTATCCTTTCTTTGCACAGAATTCACATATTGGACCATCGCCAACACACCTTTTCTTTCTTCTTTTGCACTCATCGCACCTTCCCCTGTTAACTCTTTGTGTCAGCACCATCTCTAGGACCTTTTGAAGCTTTCCTCTTCGAAAGATGAACTTGTATAAAGATTTCTTTGCTTTGTTGATTGAAATTTTGATCCTTCATTGTCTGCCAAAATCAGACGTGCGCCGATAAGCTCGAGATCGCGAAAAGATACGGAGACTTCCTTTTTGGGAAGTTTTTGCGAAAGTTGAATATTTAGAATTTAAATCTATAAACAAAATTTCAAAGCTTTGATGTGATTTGGAGATTGCTTAATCCAATCTCTGAACTAAAACTTTTTTTCTGAAACTTTAGATCTTCAGGACCTGAAAGCTCTTGCAAGTCATATCTTCTTTTACTATCAAGCTTTTCTTTCAATCCATTCACATCTTTATCAAAATCTTTTGGATATCTCCATTTAAAGATCTGGGTGTACAAATTCTCACGACCTTCAATCTTGTCAACTAAAAATTGACCAAGTACAGGTAACATTTTGAAAGCATGACCTGAACCACCACACGCAACGAATAAACCTTCTTTTCCTGGAACAAAATCATAGATATAATCATTGTTGATTGTATCAGTATACCATAATGCCTTACTTTCCAAGTGAATACCAGCTTCAACTAAATCTGGGAAAAATAGTTCCAGCCATTCTTTAGCTTGTGAAACTATGCTTTTTGTTAAATAATTATGAGGTGGTGAGCTATTTGAAGTCTTTGGGATTGAAATGATTTTACCATCCTTAGTCTTGATAGGATTAGTATATTTGGTTTGTCTAACGATAATTTTCATGTATCCTTCAGGTTCAGCCATTGGAAACATCATCATACCACCCATATGTTCTTTTTCTCTAGCATGACCAGTTTTCCAACCAATTAATGGGAAATTCTTTGCTGAATATTTCACTCGAAGGTCTTTGCGATGTTCAGGAACTTTGAAAATAAAGATATTACCACCAGTAGCTTCATTGATGCCATCTAGTTCCGGGACAATAGAAGTTGACCATGGACCACAATTAACAACAACTAAATCTGCTAAATATCTTCTGCCATCTTTTGTTATGATGCCTCCCACTTGTTTCTGTTCCTGATCTTTATAGATATAATCTTGGAAACTACCTTTATCACCTCCTAAAACAAATCTAACCCCTAGTTGTTCACAAAGGTATTTAGCATATTGACAAGCTCTAGAAGCATATAACATACCAGATGTTGTATCCAAAACACCTTCAATTTGTGGAATTTTCTTCTTCATATCTTGACCATATTTGACTTTATTACCAAAGCCTGCAACATTCGCTCTTTTAACATCCTTTGGGTTATTGATATCATAAACTAATGGAGCAAAACCTTCTTTTTCAAAATTTTCTCTAGATTCTTTAGAACCTTTACTTAAAATGTCATCCATAGTTAACATACCACATAAATCTAATAATTTCAAACCAGTGTATTTCTTAGCTTCATGTTCAGGTAATAATTCGATTTCTCTATCCCATTTTTGCCAGATTTCAAAAGCTTCAAATGCTAAATCTTGATAATGTTTTTCATTTTCATAACGAGCTCTGAAAATTTTGTTCAAATCAGCAGAAGCAGTATCAGCACCTTCAAGAAATGTATAATGATTATTAGTGAAGTCTAAACGATCAAACACTGTAATATTCTTGTATCCATTTTGAGCTAGATGAAGAGCATTGGATAATCCAAATACACCAGCACCAACTATGACTATTTGTGAATCTCTTGTAATGGTTTTATTCATGATCAACCCTGGATTGAATGTTACACTTTTAAATGATATTTAGCGAACTCTTTGGGTCTTAAATAGCATCATCTGGCCATCGAACGATTAATACTCCAAGACCCATTACAACCATCCCAAGGCAAAAACAACCGTCAATTCTATCGTTCAACTTGCTTTGATAGGTAAAAAAAACGACCTTGCGCTTACATTTCTCGATTCAGAAGATTCGCGAAAGGGAAGTGGCACGATGGGTTTGGCAGACATGGAATAATACGAAGTATTGTTAATTCATTAATAGCTACTTAGTTAACGGTGACTATGAAGTTACTTGATTAATCTTAAGTTGGTACTTGTATATTAATTAATTATGATCTCACGAAAATATGACATGACATGAATATTAATAATAGTCGATAATTATAGTTGTAATTTAACCGTTTAATTAATTAATAGTTTATTTGTAAATATGCGTATAATTATATGAATAATTATTTTCTTATGAATATCATTGTATATTTAATCAGCTACTATTAACCTAAAGAAACACAATAGACTGCGAATAGAGCCACAATTGGATACATAAAAGTAAAACAATAAAATAGATATTGGCCGGTTTCGGACCTCCTTCCCAAAACAGAAGCCAGTGCGAAACTGGGATCCATATTGAAATAACTTTTCAGTATAAAAAGGTTTGAATAAGATCAATCTACCAGTACAACACAATTGGCCTTACCCTCAAGAATGTCAATCCCATCAGAAGTCATAATTATAGGCACAGGTGTCTTTGGTATCTCAACTGCTATTTCATTAGCCAAAAGATATCCATCAACTAAAATCCATGTTTTTGATCGTTATGAACCTCCAGTTGCAGATGCTACAAGTGTTGACACTACAAGAGTGTTGAGAACAGATTATAATGATGAGATTTATGAAAAGTTATCATATGAAGCTATGCAATTGATTAAGGCAGATCCTGAAATTTCTCAATTTTTCCATGAATCTGGTATGTCTGTTATTTATGATGGAAAAGATGATAGATGGGCTAAAATGTATGATGGTGATATAAAATCTGCTCAAAGGATTTTGAAAAATGAGCCTGAAAAATTGGTGGAATTTAATGACTCTACTGCTGTTTTCAAAAGTATTCATGGCTCTGAAAATGAACCTGAAAGTTTAACAAAATTGGGCAGAAAAACTTGGTGGAATAAAGGTTATTGTAATAAGGCAAATGGGTTTATTGATGCTGCTAGGGCAATTGAAGCTTATTATAAGCGTGCAAAGACATTCCCAAATATCAAATTTACTTTCAATCCAGTTGAAAAAATCATTTTTGAAGATAATACAAATAGAGCATGCGGTGTTCAATTACAAGATGGTTCAATGTTTTTCTCAAAGTTAGTTATAGTTGCAGCAGGTGCATGGAGTGCTAAATTAGTTGATTTGGAAGGTATTTGTTTTTCATCAGCTATTGAAGTTGCATGGTATAAACTTTCAAAAAAAGAAGAAGAACAATGGAAAGATATGGCAATTACTACAAATCTATCAACTGGTATTAATATTTTCCCTCCATATAACGGTGAAATTAAGATTCTAAGAAGATCTGCAGGTTATAAGAATACAATTGAAATACCACATCCTGATCCTACTAAAGCTGGTTCTAAAATCAAAATTTCACATCCAAGAACAATATTAACTAATAAGAATGATTACATCCCAGAAGAAGCTGAAATTGCACTTAGAGAAAACATGAAGGAAATTTTACCATCTTTGTATAATAGACCTTTTGATCGTACAAAACTTTGTTGGTTAACACAAACTAAAAGTGCAAACTTCTTGATTGATTATCATCCAAAGTTGCAAAATGTTTTATTAGCCACAGCTGGTTCTGCGCATGGTTGGAAATTTGTTTCAATAATTGGTGACAAAGTTGTTGATTTTATGAGTGGTAAATTAGATTCAGTTTTGAAACAAAGATGGTCATGGAATGAGAAATTAGAATTACAAGATGATAATGGTAGTGCACCAAGAATGACTGGTGAGGCTCATGAATTGAGAGATTATGTTAGGGATGGATCAAAGCTTAGACAAAAGGCTAATTTATAGTTATTCAATATTCATATAGTTAATTGTTAATTGAAAGGTTGATAGATGTAGTTACTCTCTTTTGTGGTTGATGGTTTCTGTTGATACGAACTAATTCATGAACCAGAATCATATTTGACACAAAAAGTACAAAATGAATAAAATTGATAAATTCTATGCTTTCCAACACCTAAGCCACCACTTTTCCAAACCAAAGATTCCAGTGCCTTCACTGCTCCTTGACAAAACGGGTTCAAGTGCCATCCTTACCCTTGAAAGCAATTTTCTTCAAGTGCCTTCACTGAAGTTGATAAAGCTGATGCGGACATTCACGCCCTGATTGTTATTCTCGGGTACAAAAGATTTCGGCAGAATCGAAAAATTTCCCCCGCAAAAAAACAGTTTTAAAAAGTGTCAAAATTCTGATTTCAATTTCAAATTTTCATTTTCATTTCGGATTTTTAGATGGAAAATGTCATTTAAAGAATCAGATTTTAAAAAATTCAACCATTTCAATGTCAAGTCTATTGGTGGTGAAGTGGGTGTGGTCCATGTTGAAATCAACAGACCTAAAGTGTTCAATAGCATGAGTGAAGAGTAGGTTAGAATGTGTCAAATATTGAGGAATTAAACATTAACGTTAATTAAAAGGACATGGACTCAATATGGTGCAATCATCAACAAGTTAAACACACTCAATGACGTTAATGTCATTGTGTTGAGTGGCACAGGAAAACATTTTTGTGCTGGGATCGATTTGAAAGCCTCAGCCAATTCTTTTCAACAATATAGTCAAAAGGGTGGTGAATCAAAAGGACTCCAACACGTTAGTGATTTCCAAAATGATATCAAATCTGGGGTTGATGGTAGAATCCCAATCATTTGTGTTATACACGGTGTTTGTTATGGATTAGGACTTGATTTGATCTCTGCAACCTCGATTAGATTTGCCTCTAAAGATTCAAGACTCTCAATTAAAGAGATTGACATCGGAATCATGGCAGATATTGGTTCTTTAGAAAGATTACCATTCTTGGTGAACAATATTTCTAAATTGAACCAATATGCACTAACTGCACAAGAATTTAATGGTCAAGATGCTAAAGATTTAGGATTAGTTAGTGATGTTTTTGCTAATAAAGAGGAAGCTTTCGAAAACGCAGTTAGATTAGCCAAAACTATTGCAACTAAATACCCACCAGCAGTACATGGGACTAAGAAAAACTTGGATTTAGTCACAATTAATAGTGAATCTGTGATTAAAGGTTTGGATCAAGTTGCGCATGATAACGTTAAATTGATGACTGATCCAGGTTTTGCTAAGTTCTTCATCAAATCACAACAAAAGAGGAAATCAAAGATGTGAATAAACATATTCAATCCATTTATTTATTGAAAATTTTGCTATTAAGAAAATGCTTTAAATTTTGTAGCTTTATATGGTAAGAAATTTCGCGAACCCGTTTCGTATTTTCTGATTCGCGAATAATGAAAAAAAAAAAAATTTCAAACAACGTCAAAATTATATCAAATTTGATTTCAACTAATCGATTGATTTTTAAATTCCATGAGAATTTTCCCAATATTGAAAATGTCACAGAGATCAAAATCACCACCTGTTAAATTGGAGAAACTTCGTTCAGAAGCTGGGTTCAGAGCCAAGAAACAACATAAATCAGATAAGGCAATGGATGATAACCAAGTTGATTATATTATTCAAGGTCCATTGCGTAAAATTGAACCATATTATTATACTTACCTAACTTATTGTAAGCTAAGATGGAGAGATCGTACCTTGTTTGATATTTTTTCAAATGAATTTCGGGATAGAGATTCTGAATATTATGCACAAGCTATTAAAAATGGTGAAGTTAAATTAAATGATAAAATTGCAGATATTGATACTCTTGTAAGGAATGGAGATCTGATAAGTCATACAATCCATAGACATGAACCCCCAGTCACATCAAGGCCAATCAGAATAGTTAAAGAAACTGATGAATTGATAGTTGTGGATAAACCTGCCGGTATTCCTGTTCATCCAACTGGTAGATATAGATACAATACAGTAACCAAGGTTTTACAATTAGAACAAGGTATTGAAGCACATCCTTGTAATAGATTGGATAGATTAACTAGTGGATTAATGTTCTTGGCTAAAAATCCCAAGGGAGCTGATAATTTTGTGGAACAGTTAAGGAAAAGAGATGTTTCAAAAGAATATATTGCTAGAGTTAAAGGGAAATTCCCATTAGGTGAAGTTATTGTGGAAAAACCTTTAATCACATTAGAACCAAGATTGGGATTAAACAAAATTGATGAAGTGAATGGGAAAGAAGCAAAGACAATTTTCAAAAGATTGAGCTTTGATGGTGAAACAAGTATAGTTAAATGTAAACCATTAACTGGACGTACTCATCAGATTAGAGTTCATTTACAATATCTTGGGTTCCCTATTGCCAATGACCCAATTTATTCTAATACGAGTGTTTGGGGTGAATCTTTAGGTATAAATAACGAGGCAAATTATGATGATATTATGGCTGAATTAGATAAAGTTGGTAAAACAAAATCTGCATCATCTTGGATCAATCCAACTTCAAAAGGTGAAGTATTATTAGATTCTAAATGTGAAGTTTGTTCAACTGATCTATATTCAGACCCGGGTCCAAATGATTTAGATCTTTGGTTACATGCTTATAAATATTCTTATAACGGTTCAGATGATGATGTGGAACCATGGAGTTATCAAACACCATTCCCTGATTGGGCTTTGGATTGTCATAGGTCCAACATGGAATTGGCATTGAAACAGGCTCAAAAATGTGAAGAAACAACAACTGCATTTAGTGTTGGTGCTGTATTGGCACTAGATGGTGAGGTTTTAGAGACTGGTTACTCAAGGGAATTACCAGGTAATACACATGCTGAACAATGTGCATTGGAGAAATATTTCGCTAGAACTGGAGAAAAAGATGTCCCTGAGGGCACTGTTATTTACACTACAATGGAGCCATGTTCAGAAAGATTAAGTGGAAATCTACCTTGTGTTGATAGAATTTTGGGAACTAGCATCAAGACAGTTTTCGTTGGTGTTTTGGAACCAGATACTTTTATCAAAAACAACACTGGGCTCAGAAAATTACAGGATAAAAACGTGGAGTATATACAAATCCCAGGCTATGAAGACGAGTGTCTTAAAGCAGCATTTAAGGGCCATCCAGGGCATTAAACATTGCATTTTCCTATATAATTCTCATCAATTGTAGGCTCAAAAGATTTTTCGCGAATTTGTGGTCGCGAAACTTTTTCAACCATTTTTTTTCAGTTTTGTTCGACGACGACAAGGTCAAAAAACATTTTACACCAAATTCAATCCCAATTGGATACTAAAGACCAAAGATGTCCAGAAGAAAAGGTCAACCAATCATCACTTCCAAAGAAGATGGCTCATTCCGTGAAGCCTTGAAACTTTATGAATCCAAACAGTACAAAAAATCATTGAAATTGACTGAAGGTATCCTAAAGAAAAATTCCAATTATGCTGATGCTTATGCCTTGAAGGCTCTTTTATTACATTTTTTAAATGAACCTACTGATTCAGAATCATATGTTGGTAAGGCAATTGCTAAAAACCCTGATTCTCCAATCATTAATCATGTTTTGGGTATTTTAAGAAGAAATCAATTGAATTATGTTGAAGCTGCTAAATTTTTCAAAAAAGCTTTGGATAATGGTGCAACTAATAAACAAATTTGGAGAGATTTGAGTACAATGGAAGTTCAAAATCGTGATTATAAAAACTTGTCAATCTCAAGACATGCTTATCTTGAAGAATTTTTAGGGTTTAGAGCAAATTGGACCGGATTAGCTACTGCTCATCATTTGAATAAAGATTATGCAGCTGCTGAAAAAGTGTTGACTAAATTTGAAGAGTTGGCAAAGGGGAAATTGACTGATGCTGAAATGTTTGAACATTCTGAATTACAGTTATACAAGAATCATTTAATCAATGAACAAGATACTGAACGTGCTTTAAAAGATTTGGATGAATTGGACACTTTGGATAAATTGGATGAAATGGAATCCCGTGCTAAATATTTAATGAAATTGGGAAGATCAAAAGAGGCTTCAAAAGTTTATCGTCAATTGTTGAAGAGAAATCCAGATAATTTCAAATATTATACATTATTAGAAGCTTCTTTGGGAACTTTAACCAAATCACCAAAATATAGAGATGCATTGTATCAAAAATTAGTCAAGTTCTATCCAAGATCAGATGCTCCAAGATTTATTCCATTAACTTTTTTGAAAGGTGAATTATTTGCACAAAGAGTTGGTGATTATATCTTGTCATTATTGAAAAGAGGTGTTCCTGCAACTTTTACAAATGTTAAACCATTATATTCAGACCCTGAAAAAGTTGAAATAATTGAAAAAATTGTGTTAGACTTCTTACCAAAATCTTTAGAAATTTCACCATTAGTTTGGGTTTGGACAAGTTATTTCCTTTCTCAACATTATTTGAAGAAAGGTGATGTGACTAGTGCTAAAACCTATATTGAAGCTGCAGTGGAACATACACCAACTTTAGTGGAATTATACATTTTAAAAGCTAGAGTTTATAAACATTTAGGTGATTTCAATAAGGCTGCTGATATTATGAATGAAGGTAGATTGTTAGATTTACAAGATCGTTTTATCAATTCAAAAGCTGTTAAATATTACCTAAGAAGTGATAATGTTGATGAAGCTTTAACCTTGGTTTCATTATTTACCAAGAATGATAATTCTGTTAATGGTGTTAAAGATTTACATTTGATGCAAGCTAATTGGTTTATTATTGAAAGTGCTGAAGCTTTTTTCAGATTATATGAAACCAGTGTTGCTAAAAATGAATTGGAAGATGCTCAAAAATATTTAGGTTTATCAGTCAAAAGATTTAATGGTATTGTTAAAATTTTTGAAGAATATTATAATGATCAATTAGATTTCCATACTTTCTGTTTAAGAAAAGGTACTGCTAGAGCATATATTGATATGGTTTATTGGGAAGATAAAGTGTTTGCTAATCCAGTTTATTGTCGTGCAGTTGAAGGTGTTTCCAAAATTTATTTCCAATTATTTGATAAACCAACTAAAGAAGAAGAACATGAAGATCATGAAGATCATAAGAAGAAGGACAAAAAGGCCAAGAAGGATAAAATTGCTAAACAAAAGGCTTTAGAAGGTGAACGTGCTAAACATTTAGCATATGTTGATGATTCTGATGTCTTTGGTGAAAAATTAATTGAAACTTCAACACCATTAGAAGATTTCCAAAAGATTTTCTTCAATCATTTATTAGAACAAGGTGGTGATAAGATCCTAACTAATGATTTGCAATATAATGTTCAATTTAGATTAAATAAAGTTGCATTAGCTATGGGTGCTTTAACAAAATTGAAAACATTAACAAATGATCACTATCCTTATATTCCTGCTTATGTTTTAAATTTGAAATATAATTCAGTTCAAGGTATTAGTAAAATGTTGGCTGAAAAGGGTATTGAAAAGAATTTTGAAGTTGATTTCAATAAAATTGATGAATTTATTGATAAATATACTTTTAAAGATGATTTGGATTCAGTTTTAGGTCTTGTTGAGATTTTGAAATTGAACTTAGAAGCTGTCGATAATAACAAATTAAAAGAAAAGATTTCATTAAAGACTGAAAAACTACAACCATATCATCAAATTAAAATCAAATCATTATTAAAATAGGTTATACACTAAAATCTAAGAATTTATCCAACTATCAACTTGTACTATAGCGACATTTGAAGCTAATCTCAATCCATTCTTACCAAATGGGAAATAACTAATAGTATAAGCAACAGAACAAATCAATTGTACAATACATGCAATAATTGCCAATATTGTACTATGTAATACTAAACTTGATACTAAAGTAACCACGATACTTGCTGTAAAAGATATTGTGAACCATAATCTATCAATTGAAAACAAATGGATCAGATATAGTTTAGCACCATGCAAAGCACCAAAACTAAATAGGAACAGGATTGAACCTAAAGACCATAATATTGCAAACTTTCTAGGTTTTAATGACAAGACAGGGAATAAAAGAAAGCATACAATCCAACAAGACAGGGCACCAGCCATTGCGACTGCGAATATGATCAGTCTATCCCATCTTGAGAATTCGAATAATCCTTGGGTAGGTAAAGGTTCTTGCACCACTGGTTGTTGAGCCTCTTGGTCTATTGGTAATTGTACTGGATTTGAACGGATTTAAGTTTTCGTCTGATTTATAATCACGGATTTCATCGCCCTTTGTTTCATTCACTGAGTTCAAGTTCAACTTCTTCTCCAAGATGTACTTGAGATCATCTTCACTCAAACGATCAGAGAATAACTCATCAATTCTATCTTTGGTAGTCATAGGAATGTCTCCATCGGAGCTGTCACTTTCTAACTTCACCATGATGTTTAATGATCAACAGAAGAATCGATTTAATAACAATAGGAACAACTAACTGATGCCAATCTAACTCTAGAAGCGTCTGGAGCTGCTAATAAGAGATCTGATACTAGATTAACGACAAACAAATCAATAGATAACAAGACAAATATAAGATGTAACAAATAACAAATATGTATTCAACACAAACAGCAAAGTCAACAAGTCTACAGTGGTAATACACCAGGAATGTTTCAACAC